TGTGTCTCACTGTGAGTGATGTTGTGTCTCATTGTGAGTGATGCTGTGTCTCACTGTGAGTGATGCTGTGTCTCACTGTGAGTGACGCTGTGTCTCACTTTGAGTGATGCTGTGTCTCACTTTGAGTGATGCTGTATCTCACTGAGTGATGCTGTGTCTCACTGTGAGTGATGCTGTGTCTCACTGTGAGTGATGCTGTGTCTCACTGTGAGTGACGCTGTGTCTCCCTGTGAGTGATGCTGTGTCTTCCTGTGAGTGATGCTGTGTCTCACTGTGAGTGATGCTTTGTCTCACTGTGAGTGATGCTGTGTCTCACTATGAGCGACGCTCTGTCTCACTGTGAGCGATGCTGTGTCTCACTGAGTGATGCTGTTTCTCACTGTGAGTGACGCTGTGTCTCACTGTGAGTGACGCTGTGTCTCACTGTGAGTGACGCTGTGTCTCACTTTGAGTGATGCTGTGTCTCACTTTGAGTGATGCTGTGTCTCACTGAGTGATGCTGTGTCTCACTGTGAGTGATGCTGTGTCTCACTGTGAGTGATGCTGTGTCTCACTGTGAGTGACGCTGTGTCTCACTGTGAGTGATGCTGTGTCTCATTGTGAGTGACGCTGTGTCTCATTGTGAGTGATGCTGTGTCTCACTGTGAGTGATGCTGTGTCTCATTGTGAGTGACACTGTGTCTCACTGTGAGTGATGCTGTGTCTCACTGTGAGTGATGCTGTGTCTCACCCTGAATGATGCACCATGCTGCTACCGTACTGAATGTCCCCTCGGCTCCCGCTCGCGGCTCCCCGCACCAAGAACCCCCGTCCTGTGCCGGGGGGTTCCACTCTCTCGCGGGGGGGCCCTTCCCCGTGTCCCTCCGTCTGTAGAGCGGCCGCCTCTTCGAGCACGAGAGGGAGAGAGAGCGAGAGAGAGTGGGGAGAGTTGAGCTCTCGTCGCGCCCAGCTCGCTCCTTATTTGGTGGAGTCTCTCCGCTGTGCGTCACGGATGCAGGCTGCAGGGGCTCCACGTTCACCGCACAGCCTCGAATTGCGCTCTTCCTCCCATGCTCATCTGCCCCCCCACCAGGCCGTACTGGCGTAATTAAACAAGGAGCCACTCGGAGAATGTAAATGAGCCGCCCCGGATTGATTGTGGAAAATAATATCCTGATCGCGGCACGGCTGGTCCACACCACACTCATGCACGCACGGACACACGCACGGACACACGCACAACACAAAGATGCCCCGTATATGCTTGGACAGACTGTTGGGCAAGGTGCTGTTAGCGAGCACCTATAACGGCTGGGACGGCACACGAACGGGTAACCAATGCCAAGCTCGGCCGCTTCTGTCTGCCCAGTTGGGTCATTTGCACATCGCACCAGGTACTAATTTTTGGCTGAGTCGACCAAGGGGAGACCCATAACTTGTTAAGATATTCACCGCTGATGTTGGCTGTGAGCGGGAATCGAACCGGGCCGCCGGGTTCGTAGCGCGGTGCGCTCACCACTGCACCACCGCTCCCCTTTTCCACGACCGCTCATTCACGCACACATTACCATGCAGCCTTACAGCGATGAAGAATTCTGCCACACGTCCCGTGAGCGAACGCCTTTAAAGGACCGACAAGATACACAAAAGGGGGTAGGCACAACACCAGCACAACGCCAAACCACCTTTGTCTCTCCGAGGTGCTGACGTTTACATAGTGTACCGCACAAGGTACACATTGTTGGCTGAGTCGACCTAGGGGGAGGGGGCCCAGCACCGGCTCAGATATCAATTACCGTTGATGGTAGCCGTGGCCGGGAATCGAACCGGGGTGGCCCGGACCCTGGCGCAGTGCGCAATTCACGGCACCACCGCTCACGGTTCTTCTGTACACGGAGAGCAGAGGCGACGCGCGGACACACGCGCACACAAAGACAAAGATCCCCCCTATAGCCTTAATAGACTGTAGGGGCAAGTGCTGTCAGCGAGCACCTATGAAGGTCGGAACGGCACATGAGGGGGTGGGTGGCCAGCACCACGCCCGGCCACCACCACGCCCGACCACCTTTGTCTCCCCAGTGGCGATATTTGCGCATTGCCCCAGGTACTGATTTGATGCTGAGTCGACCTAGGGAGGCCCAGGACCGGTTCAGATAATCGTCACCTATGTTGGCCGTGAGCATGAATTGAACAAAGCCAAATATACTTTCACGCAACGCCACGTGCGAGAATGGACTCACACCCACGTGAACACAGCCACAGCCGCCGTTCGTCACAAATTGACAGCCACATGACCAAAGGGCTCGTACCAGGCTAGGTGCACTTAGCGGTGAACACAGACAAATACACGAGCACGTACATACAGTGGAGTGGCTGTCGCAACTTTGCGATGAAACCCATCGGGGCCTGCACAGCAGCTGCACAAAGTTTGAACGCGTGGCCGCAAAGCTTTGTATGCCGAGTCAGTGGCAGTCGACGGAGACCACGTGATCTTCTCATCGTGGGAATTTGTCCTGGACGTCAATCATACACGGGGGGAGCGGTGGCGTTGTGGTTGGCGCACTGCGCTACGAACCCGGTGACTCCCTGAGTTCAGTTTTCGCGCACGGCTAACACCAGTGACGATTATCTGGACCAGTCCTGGGCGTCCCTGAGGTCGACTCAGCCTCAAAGTTAGCACTGTACCGATGTGTAAACAATGTCACAAGGGAGACGAAGGCGGCCGGGCGTATTTCTGGCCACTCACCCTCGTGTGGCGTTTTCGGCTTTTTTAATAGGTGCTCGCTAACAGCACTTGCCCCACAACAGTGTTACGGCGACACACACACACACAAACACACGTGTGTGTATACGTGTGTATAAATAAACCCCCAGGGCCTCGTGAGTTGGAGGAGGGGTTGGGGCTTGCGATAGTGCCGACCACTCACGGGGCACCACCGGAGCCGATCTCGCGGACCCAAAACTGCCCAAATGTCCCTCTCGATGTCCTCGTTCAAGCGGCGCGCCGCGCGTGACTTCGTGACGCGCGGCGCCTTGCATGCACCGCGCGCAGGAGGAGCGGTCGTCTGGACAGCCCCGGCAATGCACGGGGAGGTTTAGAGAATGTGACAGCGGGAAGACTTCTTCACACAATTTCGGGCAATTCGCCTGAGCCGAAGCTGGTTGTAATCGCCAGCGAAACGTCGTGCCTCAAATCGCGAATGTTGCGTGGGGGTGGTGGTGGTGGATTATCGACAGGCGATCCAACCCAGCACCCCCCCCCCCCCCCCCCCCCTTCTGTTATGGATATTGGTCGCGACAGCCGACTGCGTGTTAAAGTGACCACTCTGACTACGTCTCAACGGCGAGGCTGTGGCCGCGAACAAGGAGGGTCCTGACCCTCTCAAAGCCACATCTTAACCCCTTTCCCGTTCACGTGGCGACCATCCCAGAAGAGTCGATTATATAAATGTAATGTTGTTGTAGTAGTAATAATTATCAGCCTTTCTCGCGTTATCAAAAAGCGAAGCTCAAATTGGGTCATATTGTCTCTCGTTGCTCCTTGAGTGGTATTGACCCGCGCTATGGACGCGTGAGAGATGATGGAGGGGCAGGCGAGTCGCTTGTCCCGTGCTCGGTTGGCCGGGGAATGCGGGGGCCCAGGGGTCCCCGGGTTAAATTTATCCTCCCTGCCCCCCCCCCACTCTCCCTGGCGCGCACGCGTCACGCGGCAGCTGTCTCAGCGCTAATGGAACCGGGGGGCGGTGGGGAGGCTGGGGGTGTTTTGGAGGCATCGTCGCCACCTGCAGCAGCGACAGCAGCAGCAGCAGAACCTCGACTTTCCCCGTCTCTTACAGACGAAGCGCGCGTTTTAAGTGCCCCTTATCTGTGGCCCAAGGCTTCGCTACCAGCCTGGCACGGACCCATGGCACTCATTTCCTAGGGATGAAACCACCTCATTACCGTATGATCTGGATAACCGAACGCTCCAGGAAGAAAGACTCGCCCCAAGCTGGTGGCGCGAACACATCTACCGTATTTTAAGACGCTCCCCCAACTTTTGGTGTTTTATTCAGGCGGCAAGGTGCGTCTTATAATCGGTCATTTATCCCACGCCACAGTAGCCACGGTAGATCGTGACCACATTCATTACAAGTGATCGGAGAGCTCTTGGCGACAGCACTATCGTGAAAGTCCCGTTACACAACACAGAAGCTCGTGTTCTATTCAGTATAATTATTGGAGGATGTGTTAATTGTGCGCATTAGTCGGCATGAAGTAAAGTGGTGTATGCTGCCTCGCGGTGAGCGTGAAGGACAGATGTCCTGAGGTTGTCCGCGTGGGGGTGCGATGGTGAGCCAAGTCGCCGAGAGGAGGAAAATCAACCATAGCGAGGGATTGTCTCCCATGTGATGGTTATAATGGTGCATCTCGAGGAGAAATAAGAACCACGGGGAGTGTTTAGCGCGTGGAACCGGGTCCAATGCAGGCGGGAGCCAGCTGAGTTGAGGTGGTCTCGTCTGGAACAAAGTCTCCCCGAGAAAGTGACGGAGCCTCGTGTATCTGGGCGATCTCACAGCTCTCGCTGTTCACTCTGGGACGGGCGTCTCCCAGCCAGGCCTCTGCCTAACCCTTCCCCGATGAGTTTTGAGAAGGTGGCTCATGACTCCGAGCAGGAAGAACTGCACGAGTCCTGACGAGGGAGCCGAGTGTTGGCTCTGCAATGGGTGAGCTGCAGCGCGACCCCTCGCGCCACACCCCCGCATGCCCAGCGCGATCCCCAGCGGGCTGAACGCGATTTCACCACCGCCACCCGCCCGCCCGCCCGCCTGCCCGCGTTACACGCAGACCCCCCGCGGCGCGATGTTAAATACCGACGGGTACCTCGCGAGAGCAGCGGAGAGCGGAGGCGCGTGGGCAGCGCCAGAGCGAGGCCGGATCAACACGGGGGCCGCAGCCTGGGCGCTTCCTCTCACTCGTCTCCCTCTCCACTCCCCCTACACCCCCACGGGCCCACACCCCCACCACCCCACCACCACCCCCACCACCCGACCACCACCCCCACCGCGCGCCAGGAGACGTCACCGCGTGGAGCGCGGGGGAAGATGCCACCAGGCCAAATGGGCTTTGGGGGCGGGGGTGATCTCCCAGCCGCATCGTCATCCGTCACGAGTCGCAAATATTTGGAGTCGCCCCTGGGTGATTGTCGCTCTGCTCCACCGTGGCCCGGGGCGCGCTGTTCGGCTCGGGCGCAGAGCGCGGGGAGCCGCTCACGAGGCAGGGGGCACGCCCGGAGAGAAGATCTCTACTCTGTTGAGAGGGCGTAGCCAGGTGAGAAGGTGCTCTCAGTGTGTCACCCTGCCTCGAGCGGCCCCGACAGTGGCCTCTCCCTCGATCCACCCCCTACATCCCCTCGCCGCCGCTTGCAACCCCAGCAAAATCGGCGGCGCGGATCATTCTGAGCTGGGACGCCGAGCGCGCTCCGCCGGCTATGAATAGCGCGCGTGAGCGACAGCGCAGGTGAGCGGGTCTTACCGACGGCGGGCGGACTGTGGTGCCCCACTGATAGCGAACGTCTCTCACTGCTCAGGCCTCCGAAGCGAGTCGCGGCCCTCCTCCTCGAGCGCGTGGCGCAGTTAAATAATCCCCCTTCGCGACCGCGGCCCGTCCACGCGAGCCGCACAAACACGACACGGGCACGGCGCAGTCACGTGCAAAGTGTCCGCTATTTTTATTAAAGTACAAGTTTGTACAATGCATTCTCATCGCATTCAGCAGCAGCAGCAGAGACGGGGAGTCGGAGCGGCCCCCGAGGGGCGACCATGCAGTGAGGCTCCGCGCACTCGCGGCCGGTACCTGCGGGCGAGGTGACGGCGAGGCGCGCACAGGTTCGCGCCTCCCCGGCGCAGTTGGACGCCACGCAAGCGTAGACCCCGGCGTCTCGGGGCGCGCAGTCGCGCAGCCACAGGCAGCCGTAGCCGTCGCGGCCCTCGGGCTCAAGGGGCGCCGAATCCTTCTGCCAGCTCAGGCGGGGCCGCGGCGAGCCCGTCACCTCCACGCGCAGCCGAATGTCGCAGCCCGCGCTGATGGTGCAGCTGTGCAGCCCTCTTGCGAACGCCGGCTGGCGGGGGTGCGGGCCGGCCTGGGTGCCGTTGCTGTTGGGGACCGCGGCAACCTCCACCTCGGCGCGCTTGGTGGGGATGAGGGGGCTCGCCGGGGCGGCCGCGGGAGCCGGGGGCCTCCCGAGGGAGCGCGGAGTCTCCTCCCCTCGCGACTCGTCACCGTCGCTTCTCAATGTCATTTGTGCTTCGGCGTTATGCATTGCGTACCGCTTTAGAATGAACAGCCCTAAAAGCAAACTGGCTTTTTTTTACACAAACGAACAGATGTACGGCTACTCAAGGCTACAGCACCACAAACACCACACGAGACAAACGCGCGCCGCCGGGGAGCGAGGCCTCGCCACGGTCACTGCCCGCAGCAGCTGCGGCCGCCGATGTTGGCTCGGACTGGCGGCGGCGGTGGAGGCGGTTGCGCTCTCCGCTTTATTTTTATCCGCGCCCCGCCAGCCCCGAGCGGATCGCATTGCAGCAGCAGCAGCAGCGTGAGCCGCGCGTGAGAGGTGCGAGAGCCTCTCTGCGCTCGTCCCGGGGTACAGCCTCGTCGTGCTCAAGGCGAGGTTCCTCCGCACTTGAACCTCCAGAACCCCCGGAGCTCCTGGACCCCGGGACCTCCCCACGGCAAATTCCGGAGCGGTGTTATTGGGGCGCCTGTGCAAACGCGACAGGCGGAGACCTCGCTACGTCTGTCGGCTCCTCTTGTCTGCTGGACAGCGTCACTCGTGCCCTGCGACGTCGCGGGCGCCCACATCCAGTGTGGCCACGGCTGCGCCCGCGACCCCGCGGGCGATCGAGTACGCGGCCCGGCTCGGGGTTTACCTCGTCCTACTCTAGCTGCGGAGCGGACGCAGACGCGGCGAGGTCTGCCCCCTCCACCTCCCACCCCGGCCCCTCGCCGTGTATGGCCGTCACGGACACCTCTACGCCGCTATGTTGCGCGTCGGGGGACGGGTGCCGCGCGGGACCCCGGTGCTCTAGAGGGGACGAAACACGATCTTCAGGGGTGGGGGATCCCGGTCGAACGGGGTCCGCGCCGGCGAGCGGCGACGGCGGCCACTCCTCCTCCGCCTTGTTGTTGGAGTTGTTGGTGTTGGGGTCGCCTCGTGGGGGGGCCGGCTCCACCGGAGAGGCTCCACGCGCGCGGCTCGCGAGCTGCACCTCCACGCGTTCATCCACCTGCACCCAGCCCGCCGTGGGCCCCTCCCTCTGCGGACCTTCTCCCGCCGGCGCGATCACCCTGACGCGAGGCACCGCGCCGGTGGTCGCCGTGTCTGAGTGCGCCTGCGTGATGGTGGTCTCCGTGAGGATCTCCGTGCGGCCGGCGCACCCCGTGGACAGGGTCCAGGAGGAGGACTCGGCGCCGGGAGGCCCCGGGGGAGTCATCATCATCGTCATCATCGTGGGCTGTGGGGAGCGAGCGCGCATGGCGGCGCTCTTCACAACCGTGGTGACCGTCTCCTCGCTGCACGCGGCGGAGAGTCCATGCGTGGCGTGGGGCACGCGGAGGCCACGCATCAGGTGAGCGGGTGAATGGAGCAGTGGACGGGCAGTAGAAGTGGGGCAGTGGGGGTTGTAGGAAAACAAGAGAATGACGCAGGTTAACGAGTTCAGTTGGATTAATGTAAGGACCCCAATACTGCTGTGTCAATAGACATGGCTATATGTCAGCGTGCAGACTTCCGAATCAATGCTCTCAAGCAGTGTTTAAGCAGGGAAACAATCTAGTTTTCGCCTTTCTAGCCTGGTCAGGAAGGTGTTAAACAGTCCCTGATGTTGTTATAGGCGAGAGCTCTCTCCATGAGCACCGCGGGGATCATGCAGTGCAGTAGAGCAACGCGGTACAACATGTGTCATGCACTGTCACGGTGTGGGCAATAACAAAACTCGCAAACAACCCAACCAACCACATCTGTGCCGTGAGCACGTGCTGGCAACTCGACGACGGATGACCGCTCGAACAGGACCTACTTTCCCAGCCTGGATTGTCTGCCCTGCGCAGGTAGCACGGAGCCACCAGGGGTCACTAAAGGTCACCGGATTATCATCTAGGAGCAGGGGAGGAGCGCTCGCAAGCCTCACCCTGCTTCGAGAAGCCGCGCTGAATCACAGACTGGCCCTGGAAGCAATCGTCTGCTGTGAGTGTGGACCTGCTGGCGGCTTCCTAGGCCTGGCATCTCTGGGGCTGCAGCTGCGAGGCCTTGCCGTGGTCGAGGCCTCCTCGTCCTCACAGACGTGTGCAGGCAGTGCCACGCCAGCAGCGTCTTTTAAACTCTTAACCACAACTGCGCCGGGTGCCTTGCGTCAGTTTTGCCACGCAAAAGCGATGATGCTTTGGATAGAAGCGCTCGTAGAATTTCACATCACGGCTCTCATGGAAGCAGAACCCCCCCAGTGGTCGTGAAGGCTCTGTGTTTGACAGCCGCTGCGTGCGGGACCGTCAACGCAGAGCGCCAGCTTGCTGTCTGCCACCAACTCCGAGAGGCTGGTGCCTGAGCCTCCGCGCATGGCTGTGAGGGCTGAACACGCGTGGGGAGGAGCCCGGCTTACATGATGACAGTTTTCTTTGAGCTTCTGGCGTCTTTCTCAGTTTCTTGCTCGGCACCTAAGCCAACAAAGTCAGAGGGCACCTGTTGGTTATTCAGTGATCGGCAGCAGCGGATGCTCACACAAGCCTCCTGAATAACTAAGGTGAGAGCCACTGAAGCAATCGTTTAATTTGCCAAGACCGGGGATGCGAAGATCATATGGCACCAAGAGGTGTGCAGTACGGGCAATACGATTACAAGAAGTGTCAAAGATATTCGAGTGGATTATTCACCCCACGGCTCGATGCCAATAGCATGATTGTAATAAGTTAGGTTTAACAACAATAATGTGATGCCAAAATAGCCACTGGCCAACACAAAATATGAATCGTGTGTGCAGGAAATCCGGTGTACGAGCACTTTGGGCTCTACGATTGAGATACTCTGATGTGGCCCACTCCGAGGACAATCGTGCACCACCTCCCATCAGTGACATGAGCAATAGCACATGGCCTGGTAGCGAACCGGTGGAGAGCCCTCGAGAGACCTATACGGCGGCCGTGCCGCGCGGGCCTCCCTCGCACGGTGTGGCACGTGCAGTGCGAGCGACGGACGCACCGGCGATGCGCAGGGCGGCCGCGGTGTCGGCCTGGCCGGCCGCGCTCGCCGCCTCGCAGCGATAAAGCCCCGCGTCGCTGCGCCGCACGCAGCTCAGGGCGAGCGTGCAGTTCCGGCCGTCGTCCACCCGTGGCTTGTGATCATCGTCCACCTCCAGGGGCCAGCCGTCTGTGGAGCCGCGCCACGCAGGACACTCATTCACGTCGGAAGGCCTCGTCCCACGCAGCTCCGTGCCCATCCGGACAGGGGCTCGTCGGGTGAGGAGGAGCTGCCCACGCCCTGTCCATGCCCTGTCCATGCCCTGTCCATGCTCTCTTTGCGCCATCAGGGAGCGCTGTAGTGAGAATCGCCAATGCTCTAAAAAGTAACGCTGCCTACAATCAGAATTGCTTCTGGGGCCCAGCGGATGAAGTAATGGGTGAATAGTAACGGCATAATCATGCATGGCTGGAGCGGTGAGACAGGGGTTTGCGCACTGTGCTATGATCCCGGCGACCCAAGTTGGATTGCAGGCCACAGTTGAGACTGATAGCAAGCGACTGCTAAAGCGGTCCTCGAGATCCCCAACTAGCACTGCCCAGCGGGGTGAAATGTTTCCAAACAGCTCACGTGGGTTGATAGAGCACTGTATATGCAAGGCTGTTTATGACTCTTAACAGATACCCATGCATGGGAGCGGGGTAACGGCGGGCAAGGCTCGGGATACAGCTCAGGCTTTACCGAGCTCACCTTTGTACCAGGTGATGACGGGCCGCGGGGTGCCCATCACGTGGCAGCGCAGTGTGATGGAGTGGCCCTCCCGCACGGTGCACTCCTCCAGCTTCTCGGTGAAGCGCGGGGGGCCTGCTCAGGGCCACGCAGAAGCCGCGGCGACACAGACATCCGTGTTTCTGGCTCCCTGCTCTAGCCCATTGGTTTTTTTTCCTCTGTCGACGATTGCCTCTTCCCATAAAACACAATTAGTCTACGTGGAACCTCGTTTGTCCCCGCGATGCGCGCACCCTACTTTCTGTGCGGCAATCCGAGATCCGGTTTATTGCACGCGTGTTACACATTGCTGGGTAAGTCAGGACTCGCTTCCCTTGCGATTTCTTGAGTCTCAATGCGAGAATCAATCGTTCCTTCACCATCGCGGTGCATGTAGAACATCGGGGCTGTAAGGGTCCCCGTAAAGCAATTGCACACGTCAAGTACGAATACAAGATAATCAATCGTCTCAAATGATTTGAATCTCGAAATGCGAGTGAAAGATTTAGGTGGCTTAATGGACGCGTGGTCACATACATCTCGTGCACATGTATCACCCATCGACACGCACACACACTGTGCGTATACACGCATAGCCAGGCAGATATTGCAAATGGTGTTGTGTGTGATACAGGTGAGGTGGGTCATGCACACCCCAGGCTGGATCTTGCGAATCCTGCGGCTGCTGCTGCGTCTTCTGCGTCTTCTGCCTCCCCTGCAAGAGGTACAGCTCACAAAGCCACGCGTCCTTGTGGGCCACGCTGGCTGCCTGCAGCGTGAACTTGTCCAGCCCGCTCTCGTGCTCATGCAACAGCTCCAGGATTCGCTCGTGCCCCTCCACCACCTCGCTCACCTCTACGTTCCGCACCTGGACGCCACGGAGGGAGAGAAAGGGCATCTCTCCGTCAATTGCGAGACGTCGGGAGCGCGCCAGGGCTGGAGATGCCACGACCGAGGGCTTCCCAGGGGGAACGGAGGAGACGCTCACCGGCAGGGCGTGCAGGCACGTGTAGGCCTGGGAGGCCGAGTGGCTTCCACGCCTCGCCTTGCACACGAGCAGGTGGCTGTTGAAGAGGAAGAGGTGGCGGCGGTGGCCTCGTCGGCTTATCGCCTCGCTGCCCTCCCACGCCTCAAACACGTCCTGCGCTCGCAACGGCGGAGATGGTTGGAGGGGTGAGCGATGGTGGCGGAGGGGTGGGAGATTCCATCCAAACGAACAAAACAAACACTGATCCTGCCTTCAGTAATGGCTCAATTAATGCTTTTAAATTAATAAGCGTTTGCCATCTTGGACCACAGCCAGAAGCACATGAATGGCGCAGGTATCGAACCCTCTCATGAAACCATGTCCACTGTGGTGGACTACTATGATATAAATGATTGCGATGAAATTATGAGCATTTTTAATGATGACTCCATATTTTGGCGTTCCTTTAACTCCTGAAATCACAACATCAAAAAATAAAGTTCGGGTTAAATATCACAAAATATTTAAGTAGAAATAAATGACTTCTTGAATAATGATAATTCTCCAACTAAGCTGATTGCTTCGCTCGACTGAGAGCACCTGTCTAATGGGAGAGCGCCTGCTGTGTGCACGTGGCTGCAGGGTTGTTGTGTGCACGTCGTGGTGACGTCATTGCCACTTAGTGGCGAATGGCGGTTGTTGTTGTTGTACCTGTCGCAAGAGTGGGCCAAGGTCGGCGAGGTTGGTGGGCACCTCCTCGATCATGGACAGCTTCATCTCGTCCTCCGCGCGTTTCGGAAGCGACGCCACCACGCCGTAGGCCTCCTCCAGGCCTCGGCAGTCGCCGCCCCGGCTCGCGCGCCTCCGGATCAAGTCCTGTGGGCGGGCGGTGGCAGCGTGAGCGACCACACCTGGGCAGCTGTGTGACACCGCTGATCTGTGCCACACTGCGGCTGCTGACCACTGAGGGTTTTTCTTCTTTCGTACAGCTGATGTAGATGTAGAGCAACAACTACAATTTCACATTCAGGAGGTCAAGCCAGACAACCGCGTTATCTGGCTTGATAACAAATGTGGGTAAGGTTGGTGAACGGTGTCCCAGGACGGTAAGCGGTGGCCACGCATGCCTCTAACGCAGCACTTGAAGACAACGGCTGGTCGACTTCATTCTGTGCTGAAATTCCCTACAAGGTAGCCAAGGATGGCAGTACAACAACTAGGATTGGTTGACTGCTATTCCTTGGATACCAGGTACTCCTTTTTTCTTCCCTCATGAAAAGGAATTTGGAAAACAGCACCATGCAGGATCCTCTTAAAAAAACAATTTTGAGGCTCATTGGTCCTTTCCAGGATAAATGGTTGACGAGACTTTATGGACAGGGACTGGGCGCCTTTCCCTTTTCTCAGAGCCAGATGCCCGGCTGCTCTCACCTTCAGTGCCACCTGATAAATGTGCAGCTGCTCCTGGGGCAGGTCCAAGTATTTCTGTATGGACAGCACCGACTCGGGGAAGTGTGTGGACTGGCGTAGGATCTCGGTATATTTCTGCACAGACAGGAAGGGAACAACGGAGAGATTTGAGATAATCCTCACGGAGGACAATCGACACCGATGCACGATAACTGAGGGTGCGGGTCCGTTGCTTCATCGCGTGGCGATGGCTTGGGGGGGAAAGTGGAGCTACCTCGAAGGTGACCCTGACGGCGTCGCTCAGCAAGAGCAGGTCGGCCTTCGGTTTGCCGCGTAGGTACTGCACGTACACCTGGAGTTGCTCGCGGCTGCCCAGGATGGCGTCCACCACGTCGCTCTCGTCCCTGCACGCCCTGAGCCTGGGCAGGAAAACCCTGGGAGCGCAGCACAACGCGTGAACCGCCCGTCGGCATACGGCCCGTGTCTCTGCACGTGCACTCTGCTCACGTGGCTGGCAGATGGCACGCGCTCGGCTTCGGTGAGATAAAAAAGACGTTTGAACAAAAAATATCAATAGCATGGATGAAAGATTAAATTTCTTTAAAAAACAAAGCCCAACGTGCTCCATTCAAGACCAAAGCTTATTTACATGTTTTAATACTTTCTAAGGCCACAGTCAATCAGAAGGAGAACGAGTTGGGAGTAATTTGTCCAACATCTATCATTGAAAACCGGCGATAGGCGTAGGAAATTGGCGAGGCAGTGGCAGCAGGAGGCAGTGAGTGCTCACTGTCGGTGGAAGTTGAGGATGTCCTGCACATTCCTGAAGATGGCCTCCCGCTTGGACCTGACCAGTGCCGGGATGTTGACCTGACTCTCCACGAACTGCACGTGATGCGACACCAGGAAGGACAGCTTCTTCACAAACTTCTCCTCCGCCGCCACCAGCTGCTGCAGGGTGACCCTGCCGCGGGAAATGCCAACGAGGGATCGTGACGTTGCGCAGGCAGCTTTCGGAGCAGGGTGAGGCCCTTTAAAGCCTTTTTCGGTGAGGCCGGAAATTATTTTTTCCCCCGACATAAACAATGGTGTGCGACGGTGCGATTCTGGGTACATTTAGAACAATGTTCGAGTTGTGTGTGACGAAAATAGACGTGGACTTACTCGATGGGTTGTTCCTTGCGGCCCGTGGATGGTGTCTAGAGAAGGAGCGACGGTGGACGACAGAAATTAAAGTAACCGTTCGTGTTCAAGTTTTTTGTTCTTTTTGTACACAGTTGTGAGCGCAGGCCCAAAATGCCCAAAATGTCAAGCAGCCAGAAACAAACAGCACTATTAAATATGTAATCGATAACAGTTACTATTGTTAGAGCTCAGAGATAATTGACGATGATGGGAGGGAATTCCAAAGTGGAGCAGTGCGAGGGAAGACGCAGAAAGAGAAGTCTAGAGACCTGTAGTGTGGTGGTTTAGTTGAGTGAGTTCACGCTTGAGTGAGTGCATAGGCGATAGGAAAGAATCTGGTAGACTGAGTCCTCAAAATGGATGGAGGATTGAACAAGTGAACTTCACGGGAACAGTAACCGTGGTAGTAGCCATAGACGAGTGATGAGAAGGCGACTGACTACCGGCGAGCGAGTGACGGCAGTGAATCAGTTCCGCCGGCATGTCTGGGGGACCAGCCATCTGTGCCGTGCATGCACTACCTGTGGCTTCTTCTCCAGGTAGGCGGAGGAGACCCATCCCTGCTGGCACGCGGAGGTCTCTGAGGACCTGCTGCGCACGAGCCACAGCAGCGGGTGGGCACAGTCCAGCACCTCCACGTGTTCCCCCCTGCCCAGCGACAGGAATGCGCGCTCCGTGCTGGTCCACGTGTAGTCGGCCACCAGCACGTACACCTCCACGCCCTGCACAACAACACAGCGGGCAGCCCCACCACAGTCCAGCCCTCCCCACCGCGTGTCCCGAGCCCTCAAGGATTCCGGGGGCTAACGGGTCTTAGCCCAGCTGGATCGCTGTCGACCAACGCCTTCACGCCACAGCAGCTGCGAAGGCTGCTGTGTTGTTTGTGCAGTACCACGGCGTGAATTTGGTGGCATCCGGACTCTGCTGGACATATTTGTCACGCAGCAACAAACTGCCACCTATGACCAAATCACCCGGGACGAGCGCAATGCTGTCAAATCTAGGAAGCAAATCAGGGCTGAGCCTAGAGAGTACTTGGATGGGTGACCATTATACGTAAACAGTTTGTCATAGGTTTGTGGAGCTGCAATGGGTAGCGGGCATACTTTTATACTCCCACGTCTATGCTCCCTGCCATCACCAACCTTCGCTGATCAGCAGAGCTAAGTATGATCAAATAAGCACCACTTCCTGCATGTAATGAGTGGGCCCCTCATCCAGCAGTGGACTGACAAACGGGGACATGCATGCACACTATACCGACGCTGAACCTGGCCTCTGCGGTAGAACGTGTGGTTTTGCGAGCGATCGAGTGTGGCGTGTGGGTCAACGCACCCGCTGCTGGAAATCGTCCTCCTCGGACTCAGAGGTGGCCTCGGCGGGCCCGGGGAGGCGCGGCGGAGGGGTGGAGGTCTTCGGGGACGGGCTGTGAGCTCTCCTCTCCTCCTCTCCGGCTTCTAGTAGGCGCACGCGCAGGGACGCTGCGGGAGACCGTGCACGGTGGTCAAACACGGCGTCCCGTCTCGCCGGCGGCCGGCTGCGAGCGCACTGCCGCCGCGACGGGAAAGCCAGGTTTCCTTGAAGCCCGGAGCGATGCCTCACCCTGAGAGAACTGCGTGGAGACGATCTCGGTGATCTGAGATGTCAGCTTCTGGATGAGCTCCTCCGACAGGAAGATGGGGCTGGAGGCTCGCGAGTCTCGCTCTTCCGGCACCTGCAGCTCCTCCCTGACGCGCTCCACGGCCCGATCTGCAAATGGGCGCGAGCGGCTCGTTAACGTGATAAGCGCGTGGCTTGCTAATGCGAGATAAATCGCAGCTCGGTGGCCTTAGGCAAATCCCTGTTGGGGACGGACGAGCTCACAAATCCCAGCCGCACACACGAGACTCACCGCTGCTCTTCTTGGGCACTTGTCCTACAGCGTCACCTCCTATCGGCCTGACAACAAACAGAAGAATCATTAAACTGTCATTTGCGACTGGATTGCTGAGTGCGCTCCTGCGCAACATGATGAGGCCGTTACCGCTGCCACACATTATCCCCAACCTTGAGAGAATTTAGTTACGTCGTATTTTTTTGTCTTGTAAATCTTTCCACACAGAAATATTCGTGTTTTTTGTTTGTTGTGGTTGCACCCGATTCAAGAGCCGAATGGCTCACAGGGCTATACCAAAATAAATAAACTGAAACTGAACTCCCGTCCAAGGTCAGTTAAATAAATTGTTAATTTTATGGTGTGGTCGAGGCGGACGGAACGTCAACACGCATGTGATCTCGGTGCCGTCGCATAAAGGCGGCACCAAGGAGGTGGATGTGCTCAGCCCCAGCCGTGTGACCCCCCCCGCTTCTCACCACCCCTCCCACCTCTTGAGGATGTAAGAGAGATGCTCCTGCTTCATCGCCGACCGCACTTCGCTGTCCCCACTGGGCCCTCGATCTGGAGGAGCAACGGTGAAATTGCGTCAAGACCGCCGCAACCACCCCAACGACGCCCCCCCCCCCCCCCCCCCCCCCCCCGGCGTCGCGCACACGCCTTGCGCTCCGCCATGACAGTGATGTCCATTGCATGGCAGTCAAACCGACAGTTTAATTCTCAGACCAGGAATTTCGGAACAATACACGCAACGCCAAATTTAAGGAGATGGTCTTTCGTTGGTGACTGGGCTGAAACCATCAACTCGAGAGCCCGCTTTAACCACAGGTGGCCGCCTGCGTTCAAACCCAGGACCTTGGCCGCGCCAGCTCGGCGCTATGAATTCCGTGCCAGGCGGCCGGCTGCCTCTAGCCGTGGGTGACTTCAATGCTCAGCCGATTGGCATCTGCACCCTCCTTTAAAGACGACAACGCCGTGCCGGTTTGGATGGCGCCCTCGCGAGGCGTACCGGGGAGCACCTCCACGTTCGCCGTGCAGATGGCCTGCCCCGCGGGGTTGCTGGCGATGCAGGTGTAGCTGCTGGCGTGGTGTGGTGCCGCCCGCGGGATGCACAGGCTGTGCGCGGGCGCGCTGCTCGTCAGACGAAACCCTTCCGTCGTCCCCTTTATCCGGTGCACCTTGTCCGGGGACTCCTCCTTCAGCCACGTCACCAGCGGCTCCGGGCAGCCTGGGCGCACGGGGAACACGCCGAACGGCATTTTGATTGCGTTGTCACGAGGTGGAGTGGGGTTGTGAAGGGGGAGAGGGTGGCACGGCCTGGCAGGGGGCTCCGCATGTTCCCCTGCCGGGTGCCTCCCGCGCACGACCTTTGGCAGCGGCGTCGCCTGCAGCGGTGGACCATGCAGAAGATTCCATCCAGCAGCAGAATGAGAATGGCTAATGGTGTGTTGTTGCTGCTGTGTAAAGCATCTAACGATGCAGATTTGTTTGGCTGAAACGGTTTTTTTTGCACTCACTATGCGTTTATAAAACTGTGTACCGCACATAAGAGATGGGGAATTTTCGATTATTGAAATCGAATCGTGGGTGGCCTGTATGTATAAATCATCATCATCATCATCGTGCATAAACACGCTTATACAATACGCTGGCTGCAACCCCACAGAGGCCGTCACTGGGAGCTGGGGGAAGCGGGGAGAAGCCCTGGTGGAGGCGAGGGCCGGGTCCCCGTACCCTCGAGGATGACGCCGAGTGTGACGCTCGCGCCGCGTGACACGCGCTGGTTGGTGAACCTCTCGAGGAACCGCGGTGGCACCAGACTCCCGAGCGCTGGGTACGGCAGTCCACACACACACACAAACATATAAAGACAAAGATCCCCCGTGTAGCCTGTAACAGACTGTAGGGGCAAGTGCTGTTAGCGAGCACCTATGAAGGCCGGAATGGCACACGAGGGGGTGGGTGGCCAGCACCACACCTGGCCGCCTTTGTCTCCCTAGTGGTGATGTTTACACACTGCACCTGGTACTCATTTGAGGCTGAGTCGACCTAGGGGAGGCCTATGACTGGTTCAGATAGTTGTCACTGGTGGTAGCCGTGAGCGGGAATCGAAATCGGCTCGCCAGGTTCGTAGCGCAGCACACTAAAAGCTACCCTACCACTCCCCACACACGCACACACACAACAACAGCCGCCAGTCGCCACTAAGTGGCGGTGACATCACCACGGCGAAGGCTCACTGACAGGAGGTCACGGGACAGACCCAGGTGCCATGGGTTGACTGAGATGACTGGCAGATGCACCAGTTGTGCCCCCTACTCTGCCAACTGTGCCACGCACACACACGTACGCAGCACACGCCCGTGTCCGTACACAGGTCTGCACCCGGCAGCATCAGCACCATGGCCGTGTCATAGTTTACACAACTTCCAAGTTTTATTGGCTACAGTTTGACGCAGTTTGTATTCATAAAACATCTAAATATGAAAGCAATGTGCATACGCTGACCTAAACGCTCCTGAATATATAACTGGCTAAACATCCTGGTGCAGGAGCATCCTGAAAAAGGACCTATGAAACGCAGCGAGGCTTTCCAGGATAAATCTATTCCACGGCATCCGTTCGTCAGCAGAACGACGATGGGTTTTCATGTTTCACTTTTCTCGTAAGGATTTAAACCATTTGAACGTCTCCTGCAACGACTGAAAAGGCCGATCCTGCAACGACAGAGGCCGCTATTGCATTTGTCGTATCTGTGATTGGCTGCGGTCCTGTCATGGCTTGATGACTTTTGTTTATTGACAAGGCTGCATGGCGGTGCCTTGCGCTGACGGCACGCGTTCGTATGGGGGGAGTTGTTCCGTAATCCCGTGCGCCTTTCTCTTTCCAGAGCTTCGCATTCATTGACGTTGATGTCAGAGTCTTTTGAGATTTACGCGTGTGCGGACGTCCTTGAATTAAAGTTTTGGGCGACCCACAAGTCTCTTGTCATTTGATATCTCAAATGTATTATTAGAGTCTCTTCATGGAAACTGCTCTGCTACATGCAACTTGTCTGATTTGTTGCAGACGTTAGTGTGTGTGTGTGTGTCACGGCCATTGTTGTTCATCTTATCTCACCTTCACCCGCGGATCTCACTTCTGCCTTTGCTTCCGCAGTCTCTGGGGCTAGAAGGTGGCACAACATTGACCACACACACGCGCACAATAAAGTGCTTCTCACATTCTATCTCTCGACATTGACGGGAATCCCTCATTCAGTAACCAATAGATCAGGGTGCAAAATGTGGCAGTGGAAGGTGAGCGGTGGGAGGTGAGGGGGGGGAGGTGAGGGGGGGGTGAGGGGGTGAGGGGGGAGGTGAGGGGTGGGAGGTGATGGGGGAGGTGAGGGGGGGAGGGGGGAGGTGAGGGGTGGGAGGTGAGGGGGGGAGGTGAGGGGGGAGGTGAGGGGGGAGGTGAGGGGGGAGGTGAGGGGGGGAGGTGAGGGGGGAGGTGAGGGGGGGAGGTGAGGGGGGAGGTGAGGGGGGGGAGGTGAGTGGGGGGAGGTGAGGGGGGGGAGGTGGGGGGGGAGGTGGGGGGGGAGGTGAGGGGGGAGGTGAGGGGGGGGGTGAGGGGGTGAGGGGGGAGGTGAGGGGTGGGAGGTGAGAGGGGTGAGGTGAGGGGGGGGGTGAGGGGGGGGAGGTGAGGGGGGAGGTGAGGGGTGGGAGGTGAGGGGGGGGAGGTGAGGGGGGAGGTGAGGGGGGGGAGGTGAGGGGGGGGTGAGGGGTGGGAGGTGAGGGGGGAGGTGAGGGGGGGGAGGTGAGGGGGGGATGAGGGGGTGAGGGGGGAGGTGAGGGGGAGGAGGTGAGGGGGGGGAGGTGAGGGGGTGAGGGGGGAGGTGAGGGGTGGGAGGTGAGGGGGGGAGGTGAGGGGGGAGGTGAGGGGGGGAGGTGAGGGGGGGGGAAGTGAGGGGGGAGGTGAGAGGGGGGGAGGTGAGGGGGTGAGGGGGGAGGTGAGGGGTGGGAGGTGAGGGGGGGCAGGTGAGGGGAGGTGAGGTGAGTGTTGGGAGGTTGTTGGTGAGATGCGGGCAGTGGGAAGGCACAGGTGGTGTTTGGCTGACCCTGCAGGAGGAGGTAGGCCGAGGTGTAGACGCAGCCGGCCATGCTGCTGGCGCACACGGCGTACTCCGCGAAATCCTCGGGCAGCAGGGGGTCGATCGTGAGCACGTGCCGCGTGCCCACCTGACACACCTGCAGCCGCTGGGAGCTGGCCAGAGGCCGCCCGTCCTTAAACCAGTAGAGCCGCGGGGCCGGGGAGCCTGCAGGCCGCGCGGGGCGGCGAGCGCGAGAACGCACACAGCGGCGATGCAGGCGACAATACCGGGGCAGACAGGCACGGTCGCTCACACAGACATGGCATAACACACGGACAAATATCCCCCGTGTAGCTTTAACAGGCGGTTGGGCCAAGTGCTGTTAGCGAGCACCTCTGAGGGCCGGAATGCCACACGAGGGGGTGGGTATCCAGCACCAGGCCCGGATCGACCTAGCGGAGGCCCAGGACCGGTTCAGATAATCGTCACTGGCGTTAACTGTGAGCGGGAATTGAACGCGGGTCGCCGGGTTTGTAGTGCAGCGTAGCGCTAACCACTGCACGACCACAAAGACAACGTAATAGAGGCACAGACGAGAACAAAAAGAACCCGCAGGACAGGACACATGGACACCAACATGAAGACATGGACACACAAAAGTATAAGGATACGTTGGCACGGACATACTGATATGGACGCACAGACAAGGGCACATCAAGAAGACACAGTGAAATGGATAGAGACACAGTCACATAAACATAGGCACACTCAGAGGCAGAGCGCTAACCCACTCATGGAGACATACGGACACATTCGTAGACGTCCAGACATGCACGGGACCACCGACTCTAAACGATCCACAGTGCAGCGAGACCGGCAGCCAAGCGACGCCCACACCCAGGTCCCAACAAACACAAGCGAGCTGTCGTGCGTGTGCGTGGCACGCTCACCTGTGACTCTGACGGACAGGCTGACGTTCTGAGCGCCAGCGGACACATACGTGTCTTGCAGTTCCTGTGTAAACTGGGGAGGTTCTTCCTCCACCTGAGACTCCAGAACCTTCTCCGATTGGTCCCTGCGAGTGAGAGTAGCACAGAGCCGTTCACCCAGCAAGGCTTCACAGAGTCACGAGATATTTTTTTCAGAAGGGTCCTGCAAAGTTTTTAGCAGTAAGAAGTGAGCTTGCTAAATGTAACCCCAATTGAGTAATTTGCAGTAAAATGTTCACCATTGTGATGTTTGGCTAATTTCTGCTGCAGTGTATTTTTTTTTTACTCTGGGAAGAAACCAGAGAGGCTGGAGGAAACTCATGCAGAACAGGAGGAGAACATACAAACTCCACACAAAAAGGCACCCAAGTCCCGGGAATCAAACCCAGGTCCTTCTTGCCATGAGGCACGAGTATGGCCACCGTGCTACCCTGCCGTCCTAATAACGACGACTGCCGCCAGAGGCAGCGCTGGATGCTGGTGCGAACTCCTCTGACCCGCGCTCACCTCGGTAAAGTAGCACCAGTAGCAGCGAGCAGGCCCGCTCCACCGGCATCCCCGGATGCTGCGGGGACAACGGACGACGTCACAAGGACACAGCGGCCGGCGATGGCGCTCCCCAGAACGCGCTTCTCGCTGCTCGCACCAAACCCCCGGCGAAGTGCCTTTGGTAACATTGCGCTTGACGACCCACCGAGAAATCAGGGGGCACGATCGGCAAATCCGTAGCTCACCGTCCAGGTGTAGCTCCGCACGGCTGGAGGCGATGCCGGCGCGGTTCTCGGCAACGCAGCGGTACACGCCGGCGTCCTGGGGCCCGCACGCCTGGATCACGAGCCGGTGCCTCCCGTCCTCGCGGGCGCTGATCTCGTAGTGCTTGCTCGTCTCCAGGTGCCGCCCGTCCTTGTACCAGCGCACGACGGGAGTGGGTAGTCCGGCCACGGCGCAGTGCAGCGTCACCTGTTGGCGCAGCAGCAGCTCCTGGCTCCGCAGCTTCCGCAGAAACCAGGGCGCTGCCCGACAAAGACACAACATACATCAACACCAACCACCGTGTCACAACATACATCAACACCAACCACCGTGTCACAACAAACATCAACACCAACCACCGTGTCACAACATACATCAACACCAACCACCGCGTCACAACATACATCAACACCAACCACCGTGTCACAACATACATCAACACCAACCACCGTGTCACAACATACATCAACACCAACCACCGCGTCACAACATACATCAACACCAACCACCGTGTCACAACATACATCAACACCAACCACCGCGTCACAACATACATCAACACCAACCACCGTGTCACAACATACATCAACACCAACCACCGCGTCACAACATACATCAACACCAACCACCGCGTCACAACATACATCAACACCAACCACCGTGTCACAACATACATCAACACCAAGCACCGTGTCACAACATACATCAACACCAACCACCGTGTCGCAACATACATCAACACCAACCACCGCGTCACAACATACATCAACACCAACCACCGCATCACAACATACATCAACACCAACCACCGCGTCACAACATACATCAATACCAACCACCGCGTCACAACATACATCAACACCAACCACCGTGTCACAACATACATCAACACCAACCACCGCGTCACAACATACATCAACACCAACCACCGCGTCACAACAAACATCAACACCAACCACCGTGTCACAACATACATCAACACCAACCACCGTGTCACAACATACATCAACACCAAGCACCGTGTCACAACAAACATCAACACCAACCACCGTGACACAACATACATCAACACCAAGCACCACGTCACAACATACATCAACACCAACCACCGTGTCACAACATACATCAACACCAACCACCGCGTCACAACATACATCAACACCAACCACCGCGTCACAACATACATCAGCAGTAGCAATAGGTTATTACCCTTTTATCTGGCACCAGAACTGATACCTTTATACAAGGGGATCATGTTTGCAATAACCACAACACAAGCAGTCAAAATGCAAACAAAAAGAGACAACTCTGATAGTAATATACATTGTCCTTGAAGTTGATTGGTCCACACCCGAGACGGCTTTTCTTAGAGCCTAGTCTCCACTGGTGTTGGACCAGATGATGCCAAAATACGTACAACTCAAAGACAGCGCACTATCAGAGTATTGAGAGCTCGGGGTAAGCAGTTACATTATAATGTAAAAAAAAAACATACATCAGCTTAGTAATTGTATGTTTCCCACTGTTATTTACAAGCCATGCGGCGACGGTACAGCTCCGCCATTCGATGTTCAGTCCCACATCTCACGGGCATTGCTGTGGATGCGCCGACAGTGCGTGCGTGCGCGGGTGCCCTTCGACAGAAAGGGGCCCCGTGGCAAAGGCCGCGTGCTCGCCTACCGCTGTCGTTCTGGCCGCTGGCGCTGTGCTCGCCGTGCTCCGTGGGAAGCCTTGGGCACGAATGCGCCAGCACGTGCCCGAGGAGCAGGCGGCGGCGCCTGGTGGCCGGGCTCGGCAGGACGGGCTGCTTGCTGACGCGCACCTCGGCTGCCCCGCCGGGACCCTTCTCCAGCAGGCTCACCTCCACCGGCGAGCCCTGCGCAGCGCGCCGCCACGGCACAGTCAGCAGCAGGACCTCCGCCCACTCGCGCCGTCGCAGAGCGCACGTTTCATATATATATATACACACACACACACGTGATCTACTGGTTCATTCACACAAAGTGAAGGGGAGAGGGGCAGGAGTTCTCAAGCTCCGTCGCTTGGGAAGCGTCGCTTGTATCATCGAAGGCTCTGCCAAGGATCGGGGCCAAACAAAAGACAGCGACATGGATGACATTACGGTGAAGCGGGAAGATCTGGCTTTCACTAAAGTACATCAACATCAGTGGTGATCAGTCCACTGTTGCATGATGGCCAAGTATACGAAAACAGCAACACCCATCTCTTCTAGATTTGAAGCTTTCGTGACTGCAAGGATCCATACTCTTTGGTTCTATTCGGTAAAAGTAACGTAGGTAAAAAATAAAACAACAAAAATCGCGACGTTTCGGCCACAACACCCATCTCATTGTTAAAGAAAAAAAGACTGGCGGGGGCAATCATGCCACTTGTCACGCTGATGACCTGCAGTCCAAAGAGCTTGCGGAAGCTGCCGGCTGCCAGGTGTGCCTCTCCCGCGTCGAGGAAGGTGATGTAGATGTAGTGCTCGTCCTCGCGGTATGTCTGCTCCGACGTCAGCTGCTGCTCCTGCTGCGTCTCGTCTTCAGCCTCGGGGGTGGCCTCGCTCGGCTGCGGACGGGAAGCACCTCGTCACTCTCGTCCATGGGTCAGAGCGGGCGGCACCGCGTGCCCTTGTCGACCGTAAAACCAGCGGGAAGAGGAGACTCGTGAACGTGCGTGGATTATGTAACGTTTTGCCCAGTATTTACGCAGCCGTATGGAAGCCGACGGGGTTTCTCTGTGGGAGTAATTCGTCTGCATATTTGCTCTGGTTTGTGTCTCCAAATTTTGGGCAATAATCTTTTAATCCATGTGGTCGGCTTTCAACAAAGTCCCTAATAGCAAAATTACTTTACACTGCAGGTTGGTTCACATCGGATCATCTCTACGGGAGTTATCGTGTGTCCCCCATTATGTCTGGATGGCAGAGCTGACACATCATTAGACCACCTTTGCCAGTTCCAAAATGTAATAAAAGGGTTTTTCCCCTTTTTTCTGCCAACAAAACTGCAACCTTCTTACTAGGATTCATGTCTGCATTAACCACAATACCTGCAGTCAAAATGCAAACAAAAAACATACTATGACGCCTTTTGGCGTCATCTGGTCGAGCACCAATTGGGTCGAGGCTCAAAAGAAAGCCGTCCCTTGGTGTGGACCAATCAGTTTCAAGGACAATGCATATATTATCATAGTATGTTTTTGTTTGCATTTTGACTGCAGGTATTGTGGTTAATGCAGACATGAAGCCTTGTAAAAAAGGTTTCAGTTTTGTTGCCAGAAAAAAGGGGAAAAACCCTATTATTACAGAGCTGACCTCAGTTGGAAGCATAGCCATTGAAATCGGTGACATCGAAGGCAATGTCCTGCAGGGAACAAAATGGCCTCAGGGGGATCACACCTCCGTGCACGGCGCAGCATGCAACTGCACCTCGTCGGTGCTGGTGTAGGACTCCTCGGTGGACTGGCGCGTGATGAGGAAGCGCCGGAGGCTAGTGCGAGTGGGCTCCAGCAGCACGGGCCCCTGGGCGTCGCCTGCCTCCGCCTGCGGCTCCTGCTCCTTCTGGCTCCTGTAGTCGCGAAACACCGCCTGGCACACGCACGGGCAGGGGCTCTCCATCACTTCGCTGCCAAACCAAATCGCGCCACCCTACCCTGCCTCACCACCCGCCAACTCGCTCGGCCCCCGTCGAGGCCATGGCTTCATCTGAACGCGGCGGTCTCACTGAACCCTCTCTGGCGTCCTGCAAAGCTCAAGTCAGGTGGGGCCGGACACATGTCATTTTCACCATGTCTGGTTTTTCAATTTCAACATGGCTGGTAGGAGTTTATATAACGTCACAGCGGGCAGGCATGACAGACAAAGAACATATAAGCAGCGGATGACACAAGCGATGGTTCGAGATGGCCAGAGATAGAGTCACGCTCCCTGGAGGGGTTGAGTGATAGACTAAGAGCCACAGTGGCCCCATAAGCAACCAAGGCAAAAATCACCTCTTGTGCGAGCAGTGGAACCAGGTTCGTGCTTTCCGTGCAGTGGTCCGGGGTGATATTTGCTCATCGCACACAGGAGCCGAGGACCTACCTCCTGCTGCTCTTCCCGCTGCTGCTGCTCCTTCTCCTCCACCTCGGCGCTCCGTGGCGAGCGTTCCGTGTACTCTACACGCAGCACAGCGGTGGTGGCGGCGCCATGGTCAGCAGAGTGCAGGCGCTGATGCGCCAGTCTGTGCTGGATGCAGGAGGCTCAATGGAAAGATTGTGTTATGCCCGCAGCTCCAACACTGCTGGCTTTTCGAAGGTGCAAACATCAAATATGTACCCTTTAACTGAGCATGGGATGGCACGAGAAACTCAGCGCTTACTCTTTTAAGTGCAGCCATCCACAGCGAAACACAAACATTTTCCATCTCCAAATAACAGCAGCTACACAGCCAACCGTGGAAACCGCATGGATGTGAAGTCAACGCAGATAAAAAGCATTTCGTACATTTTATATTTTCACCATTCTCATCTCGCGAGGCTATCAAGAAGGTGCTGTTTTTCACATAGTCAGCAGGAGATTCACTGCAGGGGATGATGTTGCTGTACTTAATCCCAATTTGCAATGAAAAGTTTTCGAATTAGGCAAATTTGGACCACGACGCTGGGCACGCAATCGCCTACCCTTTTTGAATTATGTCACAGGATCTTAAATTTACACTTCATCTTTCCTATGGCTGACGTAGATGCAGCGCAACTACTGCGATTTCACATTCAGGTGGTCAAGCCAGATGACTGTGTCAGGAGCACATGGCACGTATTTATGTCCTCGTAAACCATCGCTGCGATAACCAGGGCCGCCCTGCGAGTCGATCCGCGAATCTGCGCATCGATCGGCGAGAGCGCCCCCGCCGCCGGGGTGCCGTGTGAGCGAGCCGCCGCGGCTCACCGAGGCGCACGCTCTGCGGCAGCTGCATGGCCTTGCTGCGGCCGTGCTGGTTGACGGCGAAGACGCGGAAGCAGTAGGAGATGTCGGGGAGGAGGTTCTGCACGGTGAGCCGGGTGCTCCGCAGGGGCTGCCCGTGGCACGGGATCCAGCACCTGTCCGTCGACGGGAACATCTCCACCCAGTAGCCCGTCACCCTGCTGCCACGGTCCGCCTGCGGCGCCACCCACGACACCGTGACCGAGTGCCGTGTCACGACGATCACCTCGGCGTCCTCGGGCGGCTCGGGGGGCCCCGCTGTGAGAGGATGGGGGGGGGGGGCGATAGAAAATTGGGAGCGCACGGAGCCTCAGAGCAATTCCGTTGCTTTGCTCATTGATGGATTCCTGACGGTGCTTCGTGGTAGAGTGCAAATCCGGAAATAAGCGAGTTCCTCATTTCCAAATTGCAACTTTAATTTTCGCTGCCAGCAAGGTGAGCTTTGTGACACCATGCGCGACTCTGAGGTGCGCGCTTGCAAGCACACGTAGAGGAATTCCTGTATAGGGTGCGTGCCTAGAGTGTGTGTCTATAGTGTGCATCGAGAGCACGGGAGGGCAACCCGCATGCGGCTCCTTAAGGTTCAGCTCGTACTCACATGCATTGAGGCTCTTGAAATATTACGTTTTATACCGAATTTTAAAATAAATCGCTCTCGTTATTTTATTTACTGACCCCTGAACTAGAGCGTGCCCAGGTTCAGCGTGTGTAGAGTGCATGCCTGCCGAGACTATGTTTGGCGGGCGTGTTTCGACCATGGGGCCAGGTTAAGTGTGTGTTTAACGCAGCTGCGTGAGCGTGCGCTTACCGGAGACCGTGAGGGTGGCGCGGGAGACAGCGTCCCTCGCCTCGCACTTCACCTCCCCGCTGTGCTGAGGCTGGGCGAAGTGGAGCAGCAGGGAGCAGGTGGCGCCCTCCTGTCTCCGCTCCCACAGGGGCGACGTATCGGCCTCCGCTCCGACTGCGACGCCGTTCACGAACCACGCCACTTCCGCGGGCGGCAGCGCGCGGTTGAACTGGCAGGAGAAGTGCGCCGGCTCTCCCGGCGCCACGCTCACGTCCGTCAGGCCACGCCGCACCTCCGTGTGCCACGCTGCCTCGCCCAACGGGAAGATTGAAAAGAGGGACGCCCGCGTGAGTTGCAGCTTTCTCCACGCTGCTGATTGACTACTTAAGGCACGCTGATCAAATCGCTAAAACACACAAAAAACAGTGCTCGCTTTCACGTGTTCTTCAGCAGGCCAGGAGGCACGATGATTTTGGCGTCGGCTGTCTGTGCTATCTGCTGTCTGTGCTATCTGCTGTCTGTGCTATCTGCTGTCTGTGCAATCTGCTGTCTGTGCTATCTGCTGTCTGTGCTATCTGATGTCTGTGCCGTCTGCTGTCTGTGCTATCTGCTATCTGTGCTATCTGCTGCCTGTGCTATCTGATGTCTGTGCTGTCTGCTGTCTGTGCCAGTGCTACGTGTGTGTTTTGATTTTGTTCACATTGTCGGCTGCTCATGCTGTCCGCTCTAGGTGCTGTGTGCTGTTCATATTGCGTCGGCCGTTAGCACTGCCCGCTCTCCGTGCCGGCGCAGTGCGATGCTAACGCGGGCGGTGCCGCTGGTGGGCATTCAACCTGTGACCCCGAGGATGCAGGTGCTGACGGCATCCCCGCTCTTGCAGGTGTACATGCCGCTGTCGTCCAACGCGACGCGGCGGATGGCGAGGCGCGCGAGCGAGCCGCGCTGCTCCGTGACGACGCGCTCGCTGGGTGGCACCGCCGCTCCGTCCCGCAGCCACGACACGGCTGCCGGCTCCGACAGCTCGCACTCGAGGGTCACCGAGGACCGCTCCTCCGCCACCGTGTCCGAGAGGGGTACCACCACCTTTACCGGCCGCTCTGCCGAGGGAGACAGGGAACGGTCACTCGCGTTGAGTGCGTCAGTCGCGGCCGTTCTGTAGCTGATGGCCATTGGTGGATAAAACGACATTAACATCGTTTATTTATATTCGTTTATTTATCCAGGGAAGGCTTTACACGGATGTTTGTCCTTTCTTTTCAAGGGCATATCTCGCAGGGGGAGGAAACTGAAATATACGGAGCGGATACCACTGAAGGCCCGCACAGACAAATTCACAAAGCGACTTTCTGAACTGCCATCTCCTGACCACCTATCTGACACGATGGACCAATTAAAACGTGGCGACGTTGCACAGGGGGAAGGTGGCGGCTGCACCGAGCCAAGCGTACTGTTCACGGTGAGCAATGCCGAGCTGGCGGCGTGGCCGGCCCAGAAGCCAACGGGGCCTCCGTCCTGCGGGCCTGGGCTGAGGAGAACGAGCCTGTGCGTCCTTCCCTCCACCGTGATCTCGTGACTGGCGTCGCTCTCCAGCCGTCTTTCTCCCCGCATCCACCGTGCGTCATCGACGTGCTCGTGGGAGAGCTCGCAGGTGAAGCACGCCGCTTCGCCCTCGCACACCTCCGTGTCCTGCAGCTGCTGCACGATCTGGATGTCCCTCTCTGCACCAAGGGGTCAACAGCAGTCGGCTCGGTCACTATTATTTTCTGATGCTTTGCCCGGCAGGTCATCGCCGTGAGTGCCGCTGCCGTTGAAGACGAAGGTCACCCGCTTTTTATTTTTAAATCATGGGGAGCGGTATTGCTCACAAAGACAAATATCCCCCGTATAGCCTTAACAGACTGTTGGGGCAAGTGCTGTTAGTGAGCACCTATGAAGGCCGGCACGGCACACGAAGGGGGTGGGTGGCCAGCGCCACGCCCGGCCGCCTTTGTCTCCCACTAGGTACTCATGTGAGGCTGAGTCGACCTAGGGGAGTCCCAGAACCGGTTTAGATAATCGTCACTGGTGTTGGCCGTGAGCGTATTGTTAACAAGCACCCGTTAAGACCACCATGACCCGCGAGAGGGGTTTGCGGCCAGCATCGTGCGAGCGAAGGGACCCAGGAAAAACCAGATCCTCCGTGCCACTTGTGCTACGCATGGCCAGGAATCGAACCCAAGTCACAGGGTTCGAGGTGCATTAAACAAAGCACTGCGGCACCGCGCCCCCCCCAATGGAAGCCACGAGCGAACACGCGTGCAAGTCACCCGTGATGGTGAGCACCGCCGAGGTGTGGTCGTGCCCTGTGTGGCAGGAGTACTCCCCGGCGTCCGACAGGCTCAGCTTGGGGATGAGAAGCGCAGCCGAGCAGCCGTCGCGCAGGAAGCCGTGCTTGTGCCCAAGCGGGAGCGTCATCGCGTCCTTGCTCCACGTGACGGGCACGTCCGCCCGCGATAGCTCGCACGTCAGCATCGCCTCCGTCCTCTCCTCCTGCACGAGGTCCTTCAGGCCCTCCGTGAAGACGGCTACTTTTTCTGAGGGTCAAGAAATGTATAACCTCCGGCTTGCGTGTGCCAGCACGCGAATCTGCGGTGAACAGTACCAGCTTTCCCTACATCTCAAGCCTTACTCGCGAGAACGAGCTTTGAACACAATGATCCAGCACTCACTGATTCACTCCAGTCACTCGCTCAATGGCGGCCAGTCACCTCCCTATCGCTCTTCTATCGCTACTACCATGGTTCTTATGAAAGAAAAAAGAAGAATGGGTTTTAGCCGTTCTGGCAATAAAACAGCACGTGTTTAGATGTTCAAACACCAAATAGAAACCTTTTGCAAGGAATCGAGTTACTGCATTAACCACATAGAGTACTTGTAGTGAACATGCAAATAAACATGCTCTAATAATATATACATTGTCTTTGAAACTGACTGCCCTTCGTTAGGGCCTCGTCTCACTCGCGTCAGACCAGAGAACAGCAGAAGGTGGACAGTACGGAGGCAATGCACTACCAGAGCATTTCTAGCTCGGGGTGAGCAGTTTCAAAGAGAATGCATTGATAATTATCAGAGCATGTTTGTTTGCATGTTCGCCACAAGTACATGTGGTTAATGCAGACGTGATTCTTTTTAAGAGGCATCTATTTTGGTGTTTGAACATCTTAACACCTGTGTTATTGTCAGAAAGGGTCAAACCTATTCTTATTTTTCTTTTCATACTTTGATATTGGCAAAAAGGTCCCATGTTGTACCATGGTTATTGTTCAAATGATGTTCACTTGCTTATTCCTCCACCCTTGTTGCTTCACTCATGCTGTGTTCAACAACCAAACTGCAGGTCACGACACTTCTCTCCTTGCTTCTCTCCTTGCAATGCAAGACTTTGGAATCCCCTCCCATCATCTCTTCTGCCAAGTTCTTATAACTGTTCGTGCCCTTTCTTGCTGGCTGTTCGGGATTTTGGACATTTCAGCCTGTGCTCAACAACCGCGATTGGAATAAAAACCCCGCAAGAGTCATTAATTTGTGATCCTCGCACTGGCTGTGCTCCACTCTGCCCCTCACCTGTGACGGTGAGAGGGGCAGAGGTGCTGTCATCCTGCGTCTCACAGGTGTAGACGCCCGCGTCGTCCACTGCGACCGGCGCGATCCGCAGGCTCGCCGTGCCTTCGCCGTCCACCGCCATGCGCACGCGGTCGCCGGGCTCCAGCGTCGAGGCCTCTCTCCTCCAGCTCACGGGGGCCGTCTCGGAGAGGCGGCAGGACAGCGTGGCTTCATCCGTCTCCTCGACGGTGACTGGGAGCAGCGGCTCCACCACCAGCACAGGACGCCCTTGCAGGCGTAGCAACAGATCACCGACAAAGCGTGAAGGGCGCGGACCGCACACTCATTCCCCTTGCTCGCCAAAGCCAACAAAAGCTCAGTCTGGGAATATGTTGGTCCAACAACGTACACTAAAGCAACCTTACATTTCATGAAACTAGGCGAAAAAATATAAAAATCTCAACTGACCATTCTTCTGTCGATTGGAGGGGAATTGATCTGCAACGTTTATTTGTTCACGTCAAGGTTTCAGGAGTAGCCTGGTGAATATTTGAACCGCTGCCGGCGAATGATCGAAGTGGGCAGTGACGTTGCTTTGTGGTCCATGGTTTGAAATTGGTGACCACAGTCGCACTGCAGGCGATTCGTAATTGTCCAATGCTGTACAATATAACTGCCTCTGCTATAGGATGTCTTCTGATGCAGACCAATGTACGCGGCTCACTGATGACTCTGTCTATGTCAATCTAAAGACAGACTGTGCGAGGAAGCATATGCCTTGTATGTATGTATGTTGAACTTCTTTCTCACTGGAGGTAGCCAGCCACGCTAATCGGAGGTGTAGGGGAAGGACAACAACCTAGACACAAAAATCAGTTCTAAAGAAATTAGTTTTGAATCTAGATTTTGAAATGCATAACTCTAGTGGCTTCTTTATATCGGAAGGAAGAGCATTCCAGACGGCCACAGATACAGCGTATCGAAAAGCGTGCAATGCAGTGACTATCTTTGTTGAATGGCGAGCCAAAAGCCGCCGCCAGGATGACCAGAGTTCACGTGATGGTTTATGCTCCTTGACAAAATTTGCGGCAATTACTGTGCGTGTAATGAGTGCCTTACTTTTAACGGTAAGTGTGGCGGAGGAGGAGGCCCCTCTGGCCCGGAAGGTGAGAGTGCCAGAGTCCTCCAGGGAGAGTTGCACCATGGTGAGCACGTGGGTTCGCTCATCACGAACGCTCATCTGGTTAAGCTCGTTGTCCTGCAACCGTACGTCACCCAGCCACCACTCGACGTCTGCGCACCGATTCGACAGCGTGCACTCGAACGCAGCGCAGGCGCCTGGACACAGAACACGCCGGGCAGACAGCACCGCAGTGAGAGGGACACAGCAATGCAGTGAGAGGTCCGTCTACTGTGAAAACAATAACGGCTACGTAACCCTTAACACAGGGAACAGAAACACAAGCCACTCTCTCTCACCTGCAGTAACTTCCACATCCTGAATGCAGCCGAGCACCTCCACAGGAAGCTCTAGAAAATACAAAAAACAACAACCCATGGTCACCCTCAGGATAAGCATACATAACATGCACTCTAGCGAAGTGAATTCGAGTACACACTGTGGTACACGTGCGCCAAGCTTGGAATAAAGGCCACAGTGAGAATACAAGTCTCAATATGAAACAAACCCATTTATTGCGTATGACCAATGAAGTGTGCAATTAGACACACCTGTGACATTGAGCGTGGCGGTGGTGACATCATGACCAGTGTCACAGGAGTACTGCCCAGCGTCGTGCAGGCCCAAGTGATGCAGGACCAGTCTGGCCGCTCTTCCATCCTGACTTATCTCACACTTTGCTCCAGGGTAAAGCACCCCACCATTTTTCAGCCACGTTACTGGGGCCCCTTCTTTGGATACCTCGCACACAAACACAGCGTCTCCTTGTTCGTCTTCAGTCAGATCCTGCAGGCCCTTGGTGAACACCACTGGCTTCTCTGTACAAATAAATATCATGGATGAACAACAATTAAAAGGAATAGAAATAATATGAATTAAACACATCGTTTGAAAATTAAAGTTGTTTTTAAAGGCTGAACCCACCCCACACAAAGAGTGAAGCCGTGCTCTGCTGATCCCCGACCAGGCAGCTGTAGCTTCCCGCATCCTCCAGCTCCAGTTTGTGAACGGTCAAACTTGCAGTGAAGTCCTTCTGGTGCACTTCAAATTTATCATCTGGCTGAATGGGCTGGGAGTCCTTCCTCCACTCCACATCCACTCTGGGTTTGGAGAGGCGGCAGGACAGAGTTGCAGAGCTGTCTTCAACAGCTTCAACGTTCTGTAGATGCTCCATGATCTGGAGTGGCAGCTCTGTTGGATATGAACAATAAGACCAGTTTCAGAACAATAACTCACACATGTAACGTCATTTTTTCGAAGATTAGATTTTGTATTGACAAACCTTTTACACTCAGCCGAGCAGATGAGCTGTCACTGCCGACATGACAGGAATATTCCACTCCATCCTTCTTGGTCACACCAAGGATTGTGAGTCTTGCCGTGTTGTCCTGCTGCCACATATGGACCCGATCGCTGGCCTCCATCACCCGCCCAGCCTTCCTCCATGTGATCTCAGATGGTCCAGACAGCTCACACAGGAAGGTCGCCTCCCCAGACTCATAAGCCTCAGTGTCCTGCAGTGGCTGAGTGATGTGGGCTGGACGCCCTGTGGAGACAACAATAACTTCAATTAAACCAATTATTCAAATATGTTGCCTTACAGAAAAAAATGGAAACATTGGAAAAAACTTAAAACAGGTTTCAATTTATGGGCAGATATTGATTAAAAATAGAAAAATGTATGCTTGTTATATATTTAAAAAGCTTACGTTTGACAGTGAGTAGAGCAGAGGATGTTACATTCCTTGCACTGAAGCTGACAGTGCCACTCTCCTCCACCGTGAGGTGGTTAATCGTCAGCACGTGGGTCTTGCCATTTGTGACACTGATTTCATTGAGCTCGTTGTTCTGTAGCGGTGTGTCCGCCAACGACCACTTGGCTTCCTTCACATTAGCGTGGGAGATCTCACAAGTGAATATGGCCGAGCCCTGCTCAAACACCTCGCAGTCTTTCAGGGCCTTCATGATAGAGATGTTGGGTTCTGAAAATAGAATTACATTACATTATCGGTGGGGTCAAAAGTGCAAATACATAATTTACATTGTCCTATTTTATTTCATCAAAACGAGCAATATAAATCACCTGTGACATTGAGCGTGGCTGCAGTGACATCATGACCAGTGTCACAGGAGTAATGCCCAGCGTCGTGCAGGCCCAAGTGATGCAGGACCAGTCTGGCCGCTCTTCCATCCTGACTCATCTCACACTTTGCTCCAGGGTAAAGCACCCCACCATTTTTCAGCCACGTTACTGGGGCCCCTTCTTTGGACACCTCGCACACAAACACAGCGTCTCCGAGTTCCTCTTCTGTCAGATCCTGTAGGCCTTTGGTGAAGACGACTGGCTTCTCTGTAATAAGATATTCCAATAATTAATCACATCTAAACATGAAAGACACATTTCATACATGTTGCAAAATAAAAAAGGGAAGAGCTGAACCCACCCCACACGATGAGTGAAGCCGTGCTCTGCTGATCTCCAGCCAGGCAGCTGTAGCTTCCTGCATCCTCCAGCTCCAGTTTGTGAACGGTCAAACTTGCAGTGAAGTCCTTCTGGTACACTTCAAATTTATCGTCTGCCTTAATGGGCTGGGAGTCCTTCCTCCACTCGACATCTACTCTGGGTTTGGAGAGGCGGCAGGACAGAGTTGCAGAGCTGTCTTCCACAGCTTCAGCGTTCTGTAGATGCTCCAAGATCTGGACTGGCAGCTCTGTTGGATTTGAAACACAACAAAAGCTTAATAACTATAATATACATATTCTGTGGTTTAATTTATTTTCATAAAAAAATGAAGAGTGGGCAAACCTTTTACGATGAGCTTGGCAGTGGAGCTGTCACTGCCGACATCGCAGCAATATTCCCCTCTGTCCTCCAGGGTCGCACCAAGGATTGTGAGTCTTGCCGTGTTGGTCTCTTGCCACATATGGACCCGATCGCTGGCCTCCATCACTCGCCCAGCCTTCCTCCACGTGACCTCAGATGGTCCAGACAGCCCACACAGGAACGTCACCTCCCCAGACTCATGAGCTTCAACATCCTGCAGTGGCTGAGTGATGTGGACTGGACGCTCTGCGAAGACAAAATAAAAAGATAATTTGCTCAAATTATATCAGAATACATATTCAATCGTTCATGAATCATGAACGTTTGATAAAAAATAGTAAATATTCTCGTCTACCAGATTCAAATCCTTACGTTTGATGGTGAGCTGAGCAGAGGAAGTGGCATTCCTTGCACTGAAGCTGACAGTGCCACTCTCCTCCACCGTGAGGTGGTTAATCGTCAGCACGTGGGTCTTGCCATTTGTGACACTGATTTCATTGAGCTCGTTGTTCTGTAGAGGTGTGTCCGCCAACGACCACTTGGCTTCCTTCACATTAGCGTGGGAGATCTCACAAGTGAATATGGCCGAGCCCTGCTCAAACACCTCACAGTCCTCCAGGCCCCTCGTGATGGAGATGATGGGTTCTGAAATTGAAATCAAATTATATTATCGATGGCAGGCAAAAGTACAATTGTATAATTACATTGTGCTATTATGTTTAAACTAAAATTAGCAATGTGTTCTTGGACGGTGGAAGACATTTTGGCTACAGGGCTATTTTCATTCACAAGGCTATTATTGTCCATAGAGCTGCTCTGTATTTGTCTGACCTGTTATTACAAAACTGAAACTAAACAATTGTTTTTATTTTACCAGGTAAGACCTACTAAGCTATATAGTTATTTTTCAGAAGCGACCTGGCCGCAAATAATTGCTCAGTGAAGTCGCTTATCGCGTGGAAATTTATAGTCGCCAAATACGTTAAACGCGTGTTTCTAAATGTGGAGGGAATAACTGAAGGACCCGAAGAAAAATCCACAAAACAACAGGGAGAACACACAAACTACAAATATACAGCAGGCATTAAGGGTTGGGATCGAACCCACGACTCCCTGTATACCAGGCGAGGTAGTTAACATCTCACGACCGTGGCACCCAAAAAAACCTGCGATGCACGTTCTGATTGTCTATTAATATCTTCCGGATTTTTCACACTATGCATCAAAAGCATTTAACGAAGCTGCCCCAAAGTGTTACAAACCACCTAGTTTCGTCTCTCGGCATCTGTATTCTACCATGTCTGTCTTCATATAAAAATTACTTAATTAAAATCCCTGAAGTTTAAGTGTGAATATAATTTTACACCATAATTGCTATTAAGTGCGTTTTTAAAATCTGTTATTGTGGAATTATTTGATGTTGTCTGCCCTTGAAAAAGAGTTTCTTAGCTCTACGGGCTTTGCTTGGGAAATAAAGTTATGATTTTGATTCTCATATAAATCACCTGTGACATTGAGCGTGGCGGTGGTGACATCATGACCAGTGTCACAGGAGTAGTGCCCAGCGTCGTGCAGGCCCAAGTGATGCAGGACCAGTCTGGCCGCCGTTCCATCCTGACTCATCTCACACTTTGCTCCAGGGTAAAGCACCCCACCATTTTTCAGCCACGTTACTGGGGCCCCTTCTTTGGACACCTCGCACACAAACACAGCGTCTCCAAGTTCCTCTTCTGTCAGATCCTGCAGGCCCTTGGTAAACACCACTGGCTTCTCTGTGAACACATTCCATGAAAACATCATTTAATAATCATACAATTCGGATTTCATTGACAACTTTAATATAAACAATACAAACAAGCTCTCGAGGTGAATGCATATTCTGACTACACAATCCGCAAAGCCATCACCCCAACCGTGAGGAAGGAGCCATCTGAGGATCCAATAAAAAACATCACCTTGCCATACATAGCAGGGGTAACCAAAAATATTTCCAAAATCATAAACAAACACAAAATCCAGGTCCAATTTAACAAAGTACATACAATTCGTGATCTGATCCTATATGTGAAGGACAAGATTCCTGACATGCAATATCCCGGCGTCTACAAATAAGATGTATCTGCGGCAGCAGTTACATTGGGGAAACTAAGCGACATGTCTCGGACCGTGTTCGTGAGCATAAGGCAGATTTGAAACACGGTAGGACCAATACTTCTGCCGTGGCTGATCATTATTTTAATGCGGCTGGCTCACACGAAATGTATTTCTCTAAGACGATGGTACTTTGCAAGCCTATTGGCTATCAACAAAGATTCGTTCTTGAAGCCATCCATATATACAGACACAATTTCAACCGAGAGGATGGTTATGAACTCAGCAATCATTGGAAAGATGTCATCAACCACATTGGGTCGTGACTTGATTTGTGTTTTCTTGTCAACCTCCACCGTCAGCAGTGTGGGTGTGTGGGGCGAGGTGCAATGATTGCCTGGCGGCCCTTTGATTGGTGTAGTTGCTTGTCTTCCTCCAACATTAACATTAGCTGCCCCGCCCATGCTGTTGACACACTTAGGCGACGCGCATCTCTAAACCTTTATAAACCGTTTGCCGTTAAAGGCTAACCCCCCTCTTTTCCTGATGACGACTGCTTGTGTTGCGATCGAAACGTCTTGGCTTTTTTTGACTGAAAGAACCAGGCTACAGTCTACATTATAGACTGCCAGTACGATCACTCAGGTTTAGAACCAGGCTACAGTCTACATTATAGACTGCCAGTACACTGATCCAGATTAATAACCATTTCTACAGTCTACATTATAGACTGCCAGTACACTAATCCAGATTAATAACCATTGCAGTCTACATTATAAACTACCAGTACACTCACCAAACTTAATAACCAGGCTACAGTCTACATTATAGACTGCCAGTACACTCATACAGATTAATAACCAGGCTACAGTCTACATTATAGACTGTCAGTACACTCACCAAACTTAAGAACCAGGCTGCAGTCTACATTATAACTGCCAGTACACTCATCCAGATTAATAACCATTGCTACAGTCTACATTATAGACTGCCAGTACACTCATACAGATTAATAACCATTGCTACAGTCTACATTATAGACTGTCAGTACACTCACTCAGCTTAATAACCAGGCTAGTCTACATTATAGACTGCCAGTATAACTCATACAGATTAATAACCATTGCTACAGTCTACATTATAGACTGCCAGTATAACTCATACAGATTAATAACCATTGCTACAGTCTACATTATAGACTGCCAGTACACTCACCCAGGTTAATAGGCTAGATTCTACATTATAGACTGCCAGTACACGTATCCAGATTAATAACCAGGCTACATTCTACATTATAGACTGTCAGTACACTCACCCAGCTTAATAACTAGGCTACAGTCTACATTTTAGACTACCAGTACACTCACCAAACTTAAGAACCAGGCTGGAGTCTACATTATAGACTGCCAGTACACTCATCCAGATTAATAACCATTGCTACAGTCTACATTATAGACTGCCAGTATAACTCATACAGATTAATAACCATTGCTACAGTCTACATTATAGACTGCCAGTACACTCACCCAGCTTAATAACCAGGCTACAGTCTACATTATAGACTGCCAGTACACTCACTCAGGTTAATAACCAGGCTACAGTCTACATTATAGACTGTCAGTACACTCACCCAGATTAATAACCAGGCTACAGTCTACATTATAGACTGCCAGTACACTCACTCAGGTTAATAACCAGGCTACAGTCTACATTATAGACTGCCAGTACACTCATCCAGATTAATAACCATTGCTACAGTCTACATTATAGACTGTCAGTACACTCACCAAACTTAAGAACCAGGCTGCAGTCTACATTATAGACTGCCAGTACACTCATCCAGATTAATAACCATTGCTACAGTCTACATTATAGACTACCAGTACACTCACCAAACTTAAGAACCAGGATACATTTTTTATTTAAAGCTTTCGTGACTGCAGGGATTCATAGTCTTGGTTCCTTCGGTAAAGTCACGTATTGTTTCCCTTCTACGTGACTTTACCGAAAGACCCAAGAATATGAACCAGGCTACAGTCTACATTAGTGTTTTTTTGTTTTATTAAATTATTTATACATCTTTATTCACTTTATTTTTATTTATTATTTTCTATCTACGTGACTTTACCAAAAGAACCAAAGAATATAAACAATACAATGGAGATTAACTCACCCCACACGATGAGTAAAGCCGTGCTCTGCTGATCCCCGGCTACGCAGCTGTAGCTTCCCGCATCCTCCAGCTCTAGTTGGTGAATGGTCAAACTTGCAGTGAAGTCCTTCTGGTGCACTTCAAATTTATCATCTGGCTGAATGGGCTGTGAGTCCTTCCTCCACTCCACATCCACTCTGGGTTTGGAGAGGCGGCAGGACAGAGTTGCTGAGCTGTCTTCCACAGCTTCAGCATTTTGGAGATGCTCCAAGATGTGGACTGGCAGTTCTGATGGATATGAGCAACATGATAACATTCATGAAAACAGTTTGCACAGGTAATGTCACATTTCTTTAAAGATTGTAATTATAATTCACAAACCTTGCACATTGAGTGTTGCAGTGGAGCTGTCACTCCCAATGTCACACGAATATTCCCCTCTGTCCTCCAGGGTCACACCAAGGATTGTGAGTCTTGCCGTGTTGGCCTCCTGCCACATGTGGACCCGATCGCTGGCCTCCATCACTCGCCCAGCCTTCCTCCACGTGACCTCAGATGGTCCAGAGAGCTCACACAGGAAGGTCGCCTCCCCAGATTCGTGAGCCTCAGTGTCCTGCAGTGGCTGCGTGATGTGGACTGGACGCCCTGTAAGGGACAACACAGGAATATATTTTAAACCAAACAATAAAATATACAACCACACAAATGTACTTAAGGTAACGTAAAAATATTAAATAGTAGGTTAAAGATTATGGGAATATATAACTGATTTTAGTTATTCAAATTCATGTTTCTTCAATATGACAGCAAATCATAAAACCTTACGTTTGACAGTTAGTTGAGCAGAGGAAGTGGCATTCCTTGCATTGAAGCTGACAGTGCCACTCTCCTCCACCGTGAGGTGGTTAATCGTCAGCACGTGGGTCTTGCCATTGATGACACTGATTTCATTGAGCTCATTGTTCTGTAGCGGTGTGTCTGCCAACGACCACTTGGCTTCCTTCACATTAGCGTGGGAGATCTCACAAGTGAATATGGCCGAGCCCTGCTCAAACACCTCACAGTCCGCCAGGCCCCTCGTGATAGAGATGTTGGGTTCTGAGAAAAAAAACCCTTGTCATCAGGAGGCGTTATGTAATAAAATAAATTATAGTATTGTCACCAAATGTGTGCATGCAGAATTGACATTGTACTTATATTCTTAGTTTTTTTACGTGAAATTAATTCGCTTAAATCACCTGTGACATTGAGCATGGCTGTGGTGACATCATGGCCAGTATCACAGGAGTACTGCCCAGCGTCGTGCAGGCCCAAGTGATGCAGGACCAGTCTGGCCGCTCTTCCATCCTGACTCATCTCACACTTTGCTCCAGGGTAAAGCACCCCACCATTTTTCAGCCACGTTACTGAGGCCCCTTCTTTGGACACCGCGCACACAAACACAGCATCTCCAAGTTCCTCTTCTGTCAGATCCTGCAGGCCCTTGGTGAACACCACTGGCTTCTCTGTGAACACATTCCATGAAGGAATAACATTTAAAAGCCATACAATTCAAAATTAATTTATGCCTTAAATATAAACAATGAAGTTGGAACTGAACCCACCCCACACGATGAGTGAAGCCGTGCTCTGTTGATCCCCGGCCAGGCAGCTGTAGCTTCCTGCATCCTCCAGCTCCAGCTGGTGAACGGTCAAACTTGCAGTGAAGTCCTTCTGGTGCACTTCAAATTTATCATCTGGCTGAATGGGCTGGGAGTCCTTCCTCCACTCCACATCCACTCTGGGCTTGGAGAAGCGGCAGGACAGAGTTGCTGAGCTGTCTTCCACAGCTTCAGCATTCTGCAGATGTGCCATGATTTGGACTGGCATCTCTGTTGGATATGAACAAGATATCACTATTTGTGAAAACAATATACACGTGTAATGTTTAATTTATTTGAAGATACTAATTATAATTCACAAACCTTGTACATTGAGTTTGGCGGTGGAACTGTCACTCCCAATGTCACAGCAATATTCCCCTTTGTCATCCATGGTCACGCCAATGATTGTGAGTCTTGCCGTGTTGGCCTCCTGCCACATATGGACTCGATCGCTGGCCTCCATCACTCGCCCAGCCTTCCTCCACGTGACCTCAGATGGTCCAGACAGCTCACACAAGAAGGTCACCTCCCCAGACTCATGAGCCTCAGTGTCCTGCAGTGGCTGAGTGATGTGGACTGGACGATCTGTGGAGACAACAATATAAATTCGTGGAATCCAAACCATTAAACTGTGACTAAAAATAATAATTGAAACGTACTGTAATGACTAAAATCAGGCTGAATCATATTTTCTGATATTAAACCACCTTAAATAATTTATAGCAACGTTTTTAAGTTATATTTTTAAACCCTTACGTTTGACAGTGAGCTGAGCAGAGGAAGTGGCATTCCTTGCACTGAAGCTGACAGTGCCACTCTCCTCCACCGTGAGATGGTTAATCGTCAGCACGTGGGTCTTGCCATTTGTGACACTGATTTCATTGAGCTCGTTGTTCTGTAGCGGTGTGTCCGCCAACGACCACTTGGCTTCCTTCACATTAGCGTGGGAGATCTCACAAGTGAATATGGCCGAGCCCTGCTCAAACACCTCACAGTCCTCCAGGCCCCTCGTGATAGAGATGTTGGGTTCTGAGAAAAAACCCCTCATCATCAGGATGCGTTATGTAATAAAATAAATTATAGTATTGTCACCAAATGTGTGCATGCAGAATTGACATTGTACTTATGTTTTACGTGAAATAAATTCGCTTAAATCACCTGTGACATTGAGCGTGGCTGTGGTGACATCATGACCAGTGTCACAGGAGTAGTGCCCAGCGTCGTGCAGGCCCAAGAGATGCAGGACCAGTCTGGCCGCTCTTCCATCCTGACTCATCTCACACTTTGCTCCAGGGTAAAGCACCCCACCATTTTTCAGCCACGTTACTGGGGCCCCTTCTTTGGATACCTCGCACACAAACGCAGCGTCTCCGAGTTCCTCTTCTGTCAGATCCTGCAGGCCCTTGGTGAATACCACTGGCTTTTCTGTGAACACATTCCATGAAGGAATAACATTTAATAGTCATACAATTCAAAATTAATGTATTCCTTAAATATAAACAATGAAGTTTGAACTGAACCCACCCCACACAAAGAGTGAAGCCGTGCTCTGTTGATCCGCGGCCAGGCAGCTGTAGCTTCCTGCATCCTCCAGCTCCAGTTTGTGAACGGTCAAACTTGCAGTGAAGTCCTTCTGGTGCACTTCAAATTTATCATCTGGCTGAATGGGCTGGGAGTCCTTCCTCCACTCCACATCCACTCTGGGTTTGGAGAAGCGGCAGGACAGAGTTGCTGAGCTGTCTTCCACAGCTTCAGCATTCTGTAGATGTGCCAAGATTTGGACTGGGAGCTCTGTTGGATATGAACAAGACATTACTATTTGTGAAAACAATATACACGTGTAATGTTTAATTTATTTGAAGATACTAATTATAATTCACAAACCTTGTACATTGAGTTTGGCGGTGGAACTCTCACTCCCAATGTCACAGCAATATTCCCCTTTGTCATCCATGGTCACGCCAACGATTATGAGTCTTGCCGTGTTGGTCTCTTGCCACATATGGACCCGATCGCTGGCCTCCATCACTCGCCCAGCCTTCCTCCACGTGACCTCAGATGGTCCAGACAGCTCACACAGGAAGGTCACCTCCCCAGACTCATGAGCCTCAGAATCCTGCAGTGGCTGTGTGATGTGGACTGGACGATCTGTGGAGACAACAGTATAAATTCGTGGAATCCAAACCATTAAACTGTAACTAAAAATAATAATTAAAACGTACTAAAATGACTAAAATCAGGCTGAATCATATTTTCGGATATTAAACCACCTTAAATAATGTATAGCAACGTTTGTAAGTTATATATATTTTTAAACCCTTACGTTTGACAGTGAGCTGAGCAGAGGAAGTGACATTCCTTGCACTGAAGCTGACAGTGCCACTCTCCTCCACCGTGAGGTGGTTAATCGTCAGCACGTGGGTCTTGCCATTGATGACACTGATTTCATTGAGCTCGTTGTTCTGTAGCGGTGTGTCCGCCAACGACCACTTGGCTTCCTTCACATTAGCGTGGGAGATCTCACAAGTGAATATGGCCGAGCCCTGCTCAAACACCTCACAGTCCTTCAGACTCCTCGTGATAGAGATGTTGGGTTCTGAAATTTTCATTAAATGATGTTAGATTTGGAAGGCATGAAGTACAATCATATAACTAAATTGTGCTATTATTATTAAAACAAAAATAACAATATAAATCTACCTGTGACATTGAGCGTGGCGGTGGTGACATCATGACCAGTGTCACAGGAGTAGTGCCCAGCGTCGTGCAGGCCCAAGTGATGCAGGACCAGTCTGGCCGCTCTTCCATCCTGAATCATCTCACACTTTGCTCCAGGGTAAAGCACCCCACCATTTTTCAGCCACGTTACTGGGGCCCCTTCTTTGGACACCTCGCACACAAACGCAGCGTCTCCGAGTTCCTCTTCTGTCAGATCCTGCAGGCCCTTGGTGAACACCACTGGCTTCTCTATAAATAGATATTTCAAGAATTAATAAAATCTAAACATGAAGGACACATGTAGAAATACAATAAAATTATATTAAAACAAAAAAGAATCACGACGTTTCGATCACCACGCAAGCGATCTTCATCAGGTGTCAAGAACAAATCACGCAGGTAAATACCTGATGAAGATCGCTTGCATTGTGATCGAAATGTCGTGATTGTTTTTTGTTTTAACATAATTTTATTGTATTTCTACATACGTGACTTTACCGAAAAAAACAATGAGTAATTTTATGCAGTCACGGAAGCTTTAATACTTTATTATGAAATACACATTTCATAGACATTCCAAAATAAAAAGGGAAGAGCTGAACCCACCCCACACAATGAGTGAAGCCGTGCTCTGCTGATCCCCGGCCAGGCAGCTGTAGCTTCCCGCATCCTCCAGCTCCAATTTGTGAATGGTCAAACTTGCAGTGAAGTCCTTCTGGTGCACTTCAAATTTATCATCTGGCTGAATGGGCTGGGTGTCCTTCCTCCACTCCACATCCACTCTGGGTTTGGAGAGGCGGCAGGACAGAGTTGCAGAGCTGTCTTCCACAGCTTCAGCGTTCTGTAGATGCTCCATGATCTGGAGTGGCAGCTCTGTTGGATATGAACAGGAAGTAAATATTCGTGAAAACTATTTACAAACATAAAGTCACATTTTATTGAAGATTGTAATTATATTCTTTGGGTCTTTTGGTAAAGCCACATAGATAGATAGAAAAAATATATAACGACGTTTCGATCGCAACACAAGCAATCATCATCACCTGATCGTCACCTGATGACGATTGCTTGTGTTGCGATCGAAACGTCGCGATATTTTTATTATTTTTTTATATCTACGTGGCTTTACAGAAAGAGCCAAATAATATGGATTCCTGCAGTCAAGAAAGCTTTATGTCAAGAGTGTAATTATAATTCACAAACCTTGTACACCGAGTTTGGCGGTGGAGCTGTCACTCCCAATGTCACACGAATATTCCCCTTTATCCTCCTGGATCACGCCAAGGATTGTGAGTCTTGCAATGTTGGTCTCCTGCCACATATGGATCCGATCGCTGGCCTCCATCACTCGCCCAGCCTTCCTCCATGTGACCTCAGATGGTCCAGAGAGCTCACACAGGAAGGTCACCTCCCCAGACTCATAAGTCTCAACATCTTGCAGTGGCTGCGTGATGTGGACTGGACGATCTGTAGAGACCACACGAGAACCTAATTTAAAGCGAACTATTCAATTATGCAACTATACAAAAGCACTTAAAATACTAAACAGGTTAAAAAAGTTATGGGAAGATATATAACTGATTAGAATTATTCAAATGAATGTTTCTTGAACATTAAAGCAATTTTTAAAAGCTTACGTTTAACTGTTAGGTGTGCCGAAGATGTTGCATTCCTTGCACTGAAGTTGACAGTGCCACTCTCCTCCACCGTGAGGTGGTTAATCGTCAGCACGTGGGTCTTGCCATTGATTACACTGATTTCATTGAGCTCGTTGTTCTGTAGCGGTGTGTCCGCCAACGACCACTTGGCTTCCTTCACATTAGCGTGGGAGATCTCACAAGTGAATATGGCCGAGCCCTGCTCAAACACCTCACAGTCCTCCAGGCCCCTTTTGATGGAGATGATGGGTTCTGAAAATAAATTTGTTTCATGAATTTCATGAAGCAATGTTAAGGCCTCATGTAATTTATAATTATCAAGAATCGTTGAACGAGAGAACATTTAATTTAGAAATTGCATTTTAGGACAATATCAATCTATATCACCTGTGACATTGAGCCTGGCGGTGGTGACTTCATGGCCAGTGTCACAGGAGTAGTGCCCAGCATCATGCAGGCCCAATTCATGCAGGACCAGTCTGGCCGCTCTTCCATCCTGACTCATCTCACACTTTGCCCCAGGATATAGCACCCCACCATTTTTCAGCCACGTTACTGGGGCCCCTTCTTTGGACACCTCGCACACAAACACAGCGTCTCCAAGTTCCTCTTCTGTCAGATCCTGCAGGCCCTTGGTGAAAACCACTGGCTTCTCTGTAATCAGATATTCCAAGAATTAATAACTAAACATGAAATAGACATTTTGACAGACGTTGCAAAATGAAAAGAGAAGAGCTGAACCCACCCCACACAATGAGTGAAGCCGTGCTCTGCTGATCCCCGGCCAGGCAGCTGTAGCTTCCTGCATCCTCCAGCTTCAGTTTGTGAACGGTCAAACTTGCAGTGAAGTCCTTCTGGTACACTTCAAATTTATCATCTGGCTGAATGGGCTGGGAGTCCTTCCTCCACTCCACATCCACTCTGGGTTTAGAGAGGCAGCAGGAGAGAGTTGCTGAGCTGTCTTCCACAGCTTCAGCATTCTGTAGATGTGCCAAGATTTGGACTGGCATCTCTGTTGGATATGAACAAGATATCACTATTTGTGAAAACAATATACACGTGTAATGTTTCATTTATGTGAAGATACTAATTATAATTCACAAACCTTGTACATTGAGCTTGGCAGTGGAACTGTCACTCCCAATGTCACAGCAATATTCCCCTTTGTCATCCATGGTCACGTCAACGATTATGAGTCTTGCCGTGTTGGTCTCTTGCCACATATGGACCCGATCGCCTGCCTCCATCACTTGCCCAGCCTTCCTCCATGTAACCTCAGATGGTCCAGACAGCTCACACAGGAAGGTCACGTCCCCAGACTCATGAGCCTCAACATCCTGCAGTGGCTGAGTGATGTGGACTGGACGGTCTGTGGAGACAAAGAGCTTCATTTAAATCATACTTATCACATATGTAGCTGTACAAACGAACTGAAAATATTAAATATTAGGTTTTAATTCATGGTAAGATATATAACTGATTTGAGTACTTTAAATGACTGTTTCTGAAATATTAAAGCATTTCTTTCAACCTTACATTTGACAGTGAGCTGAGCAGAGGAAGTGGCATTCCTTGCACTGAAGCTGACAGTGCCACTCTCCTCCACCGTGAGGTGGTTAATCGTCAGCACGTGAGTCTTGCCATTGATGACACTGATTTCATTGAGCTCGTTGTTCTGTAGCGGTGTGTCTGCCAACGACCACTTGGCTTCCTTCACATTAGCGTGGGAGATCTCACAAGTGAATATGGCCGAGCCCTGCTCAAACACCTCACAGTCCTCCAGGCCCCTCGTGATGGAGATGATGGGTTCTGAAATTGAATTGATATTACAGTTGGCAGGAAAGAGATACAATCATATAACTACACAGTGATATTATTTTTAAGCAAAAATAAGCAATATGTATGTATTTGAATATTTAACTTTTTTGCACTGTATTTAGCCAACCGTGATAATCAATGATGCAAGGTAAGGTCAACAAACATCACCTATATATAAATCACCTGTTACATTGAGCCTAGCAGTGGTGACATCATGACCAGTATCACAGGAGTACTGCCCAGTGTCGTGCAGGCCCAAGTGATGCAGGACCAGTTTGGCCGCTCTTCCATCCTGACTCATCTCACACTTTGGTCCAGTGTAAAGCACCCCACCATTTTTCAGCCACGTTACTGGGGCCCCTTCTTTGGACACCTCGCACACTAACACAGCGTCTCCGAGTTCCTCTTCTGTGAGATCCTGCAGGCCCTTGGTGAACACCACTGGCTTCTCTGTAATCAGATATTCCAAGCATTAATAACAACTAAACATGAAATACACATTTTGACAGAAGTTGCAAAATGAAAAGAGAAGAGCTGAACCCACCCCACACAATGAGTGAAGCCGTGCTCTGCTGATCTCCAGCCAGGCAGCTGTAGCTTCCTGCATCCTCCAGCTCCAGTTTGTAAATGGTCAAACTTGCATTGAAGTCCTTCTGGTGCACTTCAAATTTATCATCTGGCTGAATGGGCTGGGAGTCCTTCCTCCACTCCACATTCACTCTGGGTTTGGAGAGGCGGCAGGACAGAGTTGCTGAGCTGTCTTCCACAGCTTCAACGTTCTGTGGATGCTCCAAGATCTGTACCGGCAGCTCTGTTGAAAATGAACCAAAAAATATGTTGATAACCATATTTAGACGCGTAATATTTTATTATGTTGATGGAAATAGAAGGGTATAACAACCTTGTACAGTGAGCTTGGCGGTGGAGGTGTCACTGCCGACATCGCAGCAATAATCCCCTTTGTCCTCCAGGGTCACACCAAGGATTGTGAGTCTTGCCGTGTTGGCCTCCTGCCACATGTGGACCCGATCGCTGGCCTCCATCACTTGCCCAGCCTTCCTCCACGTGACCTCAGATGGTCCAGACAGCTCACACAGGAAGGTCGCCTCCCCAGATTCGTGAGCCTCATAGTCTTGCAGTGGCTGCGTGATGTGGACTGGACGGTCTGTAGGGACAACACAAGAACATAATTTAAACCAAACTACAAAATATACAACCACACAAATGTACTTAAAGTAACGTAAAAAGATAAAAAATAGGTTAAAGATTCTGGGAAGATACATAACTGATTTTATTTATTCAAATTCATGTTTCTTAAATATGACAGCAAATTATAAAACCTTACGTTTGACAGTTAGTTGAGCAGAGGAAGTGGCATTCCTTGCACTGAAGCTGACAGTGCCACTCTCCTCCACCGTGAGGTGGTTAATCGTCAGCACGTGGGTCTTGCCATTGATGACACTGATTTCATTTAGCTCGTTGTTCTGTAGCGGTGTGTCCGCCAACGACCACTTGGCTTCCTTCACATTAGCGTGGGAGATCTCACAAGTGAATATGGCCGAGCCCTGCTCAAACACCTCACAGTCCTCCAGGCCCCTCGTGATTGAAATGATGGGTTCTGCAAGGTAAAATATCTTCTGTGAATGTCAAAATATATATTTATCAAAATAAACGACAATGTAGTATGGAGTGGAACATTTAAAGTACCTAAAAATACATTGCTAGGTTTTTTCACAAAATCATCAATTAAATCACCTGTGACATTGAGCGTGGCTGTAGTGATATCATGACCAGTGTCACAGGAGTACTGTCCAGCGTCGTGCAGGCCCAAGTGATGCAGGACCAGTCTGGCCGCTCTTCCATCCTGACTCATCTCACACTTTGCTCCAGGGTAAAGCACCCCACCATTTTTCAGCCACGTTACTGGGGCCCCTTCTTTGGACACCTCGCACACAAACACAGCGTCTCCAAGTTCCTCTTCTGTCAGATCCTGCAGGCCCTTGGTGAACACCACTGGCTTCTCTGTAATCAGATATTCCAAGCATTAATAAAATCTAAACATGAAAGACATTCATAGACATTGCAAAATAAAAAGGGAAGAGCTGAACCCACCCCACACAATGAGTGAAGCCGTGCTCTGCTGATCCCCGGCCAGGCAGCTGTAGCTTCCCGCATCCTCCAGCTCCAATTTGTGAATGGTCAAACTTGCAGTGAAGTCCTTCTGGTGCACTTCAAATTTATCATCTGGCTGAATGGGCTGGGAGTCCTTCCTCCACTCCACATCCACTCTGGGTTTGGAGAAGTGGCAGGACAGAGTTGCTGAGCTGTCTTCCACAGCTTCAGCATTCTGGAGATGCTCCAAAATCTGGATTGGCAGCTCTGTTGGATATGAACAACCAGAACAGCTTCATAACTATAAGACACGTAAGCTGTTTTCAATTTATTTTCCGAACAAATGATGCAGAGACAAACCTTGTACATTGAGCTTGGCAGTGGAGCTGTCACTTCCGATGTCACACGAATATTCCCCTCTGTCCTCCAGGGTCACACCAAGGATTGTGAGTCTTGCTGTGTTGACATCTTGCCACATATGGACCCGATCGCTGGCCTCCATCACTCGCCCAGCCATCCTCCATGTGACCTTAGATGGTCCAGACAGCCCACACAGGAACGTCACCTCCCCAGACTCATAAGCCTCAGAGTTTTGCAGTGGCTGCGTGATGTGGACTGGACGATCTGAGGACACAATAGGAGGTTGGCAATTACAACGTCAGGTTGTTACATATGTTTACGCCTTAGTCGGAACCTTACTAGTTTAATAGTCTAAAGTTATTAATATCAGGATGGTCTCATAATGCTAAACAAGTAAATAACAGTAAACTAGTCTTCATGAAAAAACTTTGGGAGCAACAAAAAACAAAACCGTTCAGTAACAATAACCATCTCTCGATAGTCCTTATCAATGGTACCTACTCTCAAAAGCATCCACGACTAAGCTCCAACCCTTGGTGATGTCACGCACATGTGCAAGTTTCCTACACTGTGTTCCGAAAAAGATTTTAAACAATTACTTTTATTTTCATTTTATTATGTTTTATTTTTATTATTTTATTTCCATTCTACGTGACTTAACCGAAAGAACCAAAGAGTATGGATTCCTGCAGTCACAAAAGCTTCAAATCAATTACAGTGAAACCCTGGATTGCGAGTAACTTGGTCTGCGAGTGTTTTGCAAGACAAGCTAATGTTTTAAATAAATATTAATTTGATAAACGAGCGATGTCTTGCAATACGAGCAGTACGTAGAGTAAACGCTTTGTCTGCCGAGCGTCACGTGATCACAACTGAGCCAATGGTTCTTCTCTCTCTCTCGCTGCGGGATTGTGGGTAATCATCTCCCATGCTCGGTCTCAGTCGGCGTGCCTCACTCGTATAGTCAACATCCGTGCGAGCGTATACTGTTTACTATAGTACTATAGTGTTGTGACCACGTGTATACTGTTTACTACAGTACTATAGTGTTGTGACCACGTGTATACTGTTTACTATAGTACTATAGTGTTGTGACCACGTGTATACTATTTACTATAGTACTATAGTGTTGTGACCACGTGTATACTGTTTACTATAGTACTATAGTGTTGTGACCACGTGTATACTGTTTACTATAGTACTATAGTGTTGTGACCACGTGTATACTCTTTACTACAGTACTATAGTATTGTGACCACGTGTATACTGTTTACTACAGTACTATAGTGTTGTGACCACGTGTATACTGTTTACTATAGTACTATAGTGTTGTGACCACGTGTATACTGTTTACTACAGTACTATAGTGTTGTGACCACGTGTATACTCTTTACTACAGTACTATAGTGTTGTGACCACGTGTATACTGTTTACTACACTATGGTGTTGTGACCACGTGTATACTGTTTACTACAGTACTATAGTGTTGTAACCACGTGTATACTGTTTACTACAGTACTATAGTGTTGTGACCACGTGTATACTGTTTACTACAGTACTATAGTGTTGTGACCACGTGTATACTGTTTACTATAGTGTTGTGACCACGTGTATACTGTTTACTACACTATGGTGTTGTGACCACGTGTATACTGTTTACTACAGTACTATAGTGTTGTGACCACGTTTATACTGTTTACTTTAGTACTAGTGTTGTGACCACGTGTATACTGTTTACTACAGTACTATAGTGTTGTGACCACGTGTATACTGTTTACTTTAGTACTAGTGTTGTGACCACGTGTATACTGTTTACTACAGTACTATAGTGTTGTGACCACGTGTATACTGTTTACTACAGTATAGTGTTGTGACCACGTGTATACTGTTTACTGCAGTACTATAGTCTTGTGACCACGTGTATACTGTTTACTACAGTGCTATAGTATTGTGACCACGTGTATAATGTTTAAAACAGTACTATAGTGTTGTGACCACGTGTATACTGTTTACTACAGTACTATAGTGTTGTGACCACGTGTATACTGTTTACTACAGTACTATAGTGCTGTGACCACGTGTGTACTGTTTACTACAGTACTATAGTGTTGTGACCACGTGTATACTGTTTACTACAGTACTATAGTGTTGTGACCACGTGTGTGTGCGTAAAGCATTTTTTTTATTTTGTGTCCAAGTGTAGTGACTGTTCTTTAGTAACTGTACTGCAAGTGAAAGTCTTCCTACACAATAACCCTCCTCCTCCTCTCTCGTCTCCCTCACACCAGCCACCATTAAATGTAATGAATAAATTTGATTACTTTATATTAAATTTAAATAATAAAAATATAAAAAGGTATTTTGTATTCATCATTTTTGTATGAATACAGTATTTTTGGGTTGCGGAACGAATCATCTGAGTTTCCATTATTTCTTATGGGGAAATTCGCTTTGATATGCGAGTGCTTTGGATTACGAGCACGTTTCCGGAACGAATTATGCTCGCAATCCAATGTTTCACTGTACTTGTAATCAATGGTAAACATATTGCGTAAGCATTTATGAACCTTACGTTTGACAGTTAGTTGAGCAGAGGAAGTGGCATTCCTTGCATTGAAGCTGACAGTGCCACTCTCCTCCACCGTGAGGTGGTTAATCGTCAGCACGTGGGTCTTGCCATTGATGACACTGATTTCATTGAGCTCGTTGTTCTGTAGCGGTGTGTCCGCCAACGACCACTTGGCTTCCTTCACATTAGCGTGGGAGATCTCACAAGTGAATATGGCCGAGCCCTGCTCAAACACCTCACAGTCCTCCAGGCCCCTTGTGATGGAGATGATGGGTTCTGAAATTGAAATTAAATTGTTATATTTGGCAGGCATAAAGTACAATTATATAGCTAAATTGTGCTATTATTTTTAAACCAAAACGAGCAATATAAATCTACCTGTGACATTGAGCGTGGCAGTGGTGACATCATGACCAGTGTCACAGGAGTAGTGCCCAGCGTCGTGCAGGCCCAAGTGATGCAGGACCAGTCTGGCCGCTCTTCCATCCTGACTCATCTCACACTTTGCTCCAGGGTAAAGCACCCCACCATTTTTCAGCCACGCTACTGGGGCCCGTTCTTTGGACACCTCGCACACAAACACAGCGTCTCCAAGTTCCTCTTCTGTCAGATCCTGCAGGCCCTTGGTGAACACCACTGGCTTCTCTGTACAAATAAATATGGATGAACAACAATTAAAAACGAATAGAAATAATATGAATTAAACACATTTTAGAAAATTAAATTTCTTAAAAAGCTAAACCCACCCCACACAATGAGTGAAGCCGTGCTCTGCTGATCCCCGGCCAGGCAGCTGTAGCTTCCTGCATCCTCCAGCTCCAGTTTGTGAACGGTCAAACTTGCAGTGAAGTCCTTCTGGTACACTTCAAATTTATCATCTGGCTGAATGGGCTGGGAGTCCTTCCTCCACTCCACATCCACTCTGGGTTTGGAGAAGCGACAGGACAGAGTTGCAGAGCTGTCTTCCACAGCTTCAGCGTTCTGAAGATGCTCCAGGATCTGGACCGGCAGCTCTATTGGATAAGCACAACAAAAACTCTTCATAAGGAATAAGGATTTGCATTTTTACGGGTGCATTATTTCTTTTACATTTGCTGAGCAGAGGACCAAAGGCCCAAAATGTTGAGTAGCCAGTGTCAACTAACACTATCAAAGTTTTAAAAGATGAAAGTTAACACGTTTCCTGCTTTGAGAACATCCATAACAGCTCCAGAATATCAAAGTGAAACGTCGTACTCAGATTGTAAATGTTGTGGATTGGCTCTCCAACACACAACCGGTGTGCTGTACTTGTAACGAATTGGCATGTTCTGTTTACGTGACAAACCTTACTCATGGGCTGTGTCGGGTGGCGGCGGGTTTAACAACACATTTATATTTACGCCATCTAACCTAAAAAAATCGATATAATGGATCTCAAAGTGCTTTGCACCAGATCTCAACAATCATTTCAAAGCCCAGCTCTAGTTACACTTCTATTTTGTAATGGTCTAACCATGTGCAATGTCTACCTTAATCTCCATACAAATAAATAGCAGGCAAACCTTGTACAGTGAGCTTGGCGGTGGAGCTGTCACTGCTGACATCACAACAATATTCCCCTCTGTCCTCCAGGGTCACACCAAGGATTGTGAGTCTTGCCGTGTTGGCCTCCTGCCACATATGGACCCGATCGCTGGCCTCCATCACCCGCCCAGCCTTCCTCCACGTGACCCCAGATGGTCCAGACAGCTCACACAGGAAGGTCGCCTCCCCAGACTCATAAGCCTCAGTGTCCTGCAGTGGCTGAGTGATGTGGACTGGACGATCTGTAGAGACAAAATGAAAATACAATTGCTGCAATGAATGCAAAGAAAAAATTCCATTCTGTCATGAATCATGGAAGCAATTACACGTTGTTTACATTAATTATAAATCTGTTATGAATGGCTTAATATAAAAGAGTAAATATGTTAGCGTATGAGATTCCAATCCTTACGTTTGACAGTGAGATGAGCAGAGGAAGTGGCATTCCTTGCACTGAAGCTGACAGTGCCACTCTCCTCCACCGTGAGGTGGTTAATCGTCAGCACGTGGGTCTTGCCATTTGTGACACTGATTTCATTTAGCTCGTTGTTCTGTAGCGGTGTGTCCGCCAACGACCACTTGGCTTCCTTCACATTAGCGTGGGAGATCTCACAAGTGAATATGGCCGAGCCCTGCTCAAACACCTCACAGTCCTCCAGGCCCCTCGTGATGGAGATGAAGGGTTCTGAAAGTAGATTGCTTTTATGAAAATTATGCAGGATAAATTAAATCTTGAGATAATTTCTAAACATTAAAAGCAACAGTTTAACAGAGAACATTTTACGTGGAATTTGTATTTTAGGACAGTATCATCAATTTAATTTACCTGTGACATTGAGCGTGGCGGTGGTGACATCATGACCAGTATCACAGGAGTAGTGCCCAGCGTCGTGCAGGCCCAAGTGATGCAGGACCAGTCTGGCCGCTCTTCCATCCTGACTCATCTCACACTTTGCTCCAGGGTAAAGCACCCCACCATTTTTCAACCACGTTACTGGGGCCCCTTCTTTGGACACCTCGCACACAAACACAGCGTCTCCGAGTTCCTCTTCTGTCAGATCCTGCAGGCCCTTGGTGAAGACGACTGGTTTCTCTGTAAATAGATATTCCAAGAATTAAGCAAATAAAGTCATACATCACAGACATTTGCGAAATAAACGGGGAAGAGCTGAACCCACCCCACACGATGAGTGAAGCCGTGCTCTGCTGATCTCCGGCCAGGCAGCTGTAGCTTCCTGCATCCTCCAGCTCCAGTTTGTGAATGGTCAAACTTGCAGTGAAGTCCTTCTGGTGCACTTCAAATTTATCACCTGGCTGAATGGGCTGGGAGTCCTTCCTCCACTCCACATCCACTCTGGGTTTAGAGAGGCGGCAGTACAGAGTTGCAGAGCTGTCTTCCACAGCTTCGGCATTCTGTAAATGCTCCAAGATCTGGACTGGCAGCTCTGTTGGATAAACAATAAGAACAGATTTATGAGGAATAAATATTTTTTTGGTGATTTTATTTCAATATAGTCGCTGAGCACAGAACCAAAGGTCTAAACTTTTAAGCAACCAGCAAGAAATAGTTGCAACAGATAAGCATTCACATTTTGACATGTTTCTCAATTTAGGAAATATTCTAAAAGCCCCAGGATTTCTAATGGCTTTACACGACAACAATAGTTTCAATACATAGGTCTATATTTCACTTATATTTTGGAAGAGCCTAACCATGTGCAATGTCTATTTTGATCACCATTAAAATGAAGAGGAGACAAACCTTGTATATTGAGCTTGGCGGTGGAGCTGTCACTGCCGACATCGCAGCAATATTCCCCTCTGTCCTCCAGGGTCACACCAAGGATTGTGAGTCTTGCCGTGTTGGCCTCCTGCCACATATTAACCCGATCGCTGGCCTTCATCACTCGCCCGGCCTTCCTCCATGTGACCTCAGAAGGTCCAGACAGCTCACACAGGAACGTCACCTCCCCAGACTCATAAGCCTCAGAGTTTTGCAGTGGCTGCGTGATGGTGACTGGACGATCTGTAGACACAATAAAAAATATGTAGTTCCAAATGAATGCAAAGTAGCTATCCAAATCATAAATAAATCATGAAAGCGTTGTTTTCATAAATTACAAATCTGTTTTGAAGTAAATATGCAAGCGTATAAGATTCAAATCCTTACGTTTGACAGTGAGCTGAGCAGAGGAAGTGGCATTCCTTGTACTAAAGCTGACAGTGCCACTCTCCTCCACCGTGAGGTGGTTAATCGTCAGCACGTGGGTCTTGCCATTGATGACACTGATTTCATTGAGCTCGTTGTTCTGTAGCGGTGTGTCCGCCAACGACCACTTGGCTTCCTTCACATTAGCGTGGGAGATCTCACAAGTGAATATGGCCGAGCCCTGCTCAAACACCTCACAGTCCTCCAGGCCCCTCGTGATGGAGATGATGGGTTCTGAAAGTAGATTTCTTTCATGATTATTACGCAGGATAAATGAATACCTGAGATAATTTATAAACATTAATGATAACAGTTCAAGAGATAACATTTTATCTAGAATGTGCTTAGTAGGACAATATTGTAACTTTAAATCACCTGTGACAATCAGCCTGGCTGTGGTGACATCATGACCAGTGTCACAGGAGTAGTGCCCAGCGTCGTGCAGGCCCAAGTGATGCAGGACCAGTCTGGCCGCTCTTCCATCCTGACTCATCTCACACTTTGCTCCAGGGTAAAGCACCCCACCATTTTTCAGCCACGTTACTGGGGCCCCTTCTTTGGACACCTCGCACACAAACACAGCGTCTCCAAGTTCCTCTTCTGTCAGATCCTGCAGGCCCTTGGTGAACACCACTGGCTTCTCTGTGAACATACAGGTCACCATACGTCGATGGTGATTAACTGTGAGCAGCCATTAAGAAGTATTACGATTTTTGCACCCAAAAACGGCCGAATAAACATAATCTACATACATAATGTGCATGCACAATGTATGCTGATTCACTGTGAATAACCCAACCAATAGAAGATATTCAATGTAGTTGATATGACTACATTACCCCCCCCCCCCACCTCTGGTCTTCGCACCTGATTGGCTTACAGTGACAACATCACATCAGTTAAACTGATGGCTTTAATCTAAGTTGTCTTGTGGTTGTTGGTGTTGTTTGACTTGCATCTCACTGGAATTTTTGCACACAGCGTTGGTGTACGGTGCTTTTTCTGGAAGATTTTGCTGTTTTTTCCTGGATTTTTCTGTTTGCGCATAGTCACTTTAAGATGTTTTTTTGTTCATGTTTTTGTTTGTTGCGGTTGCACCTGATTCAAGAGCCGAATGGCTCACAGGGCTATACCAAATAATTGAAAATGAAAAATGAAATCACATTTATCCCTCTAATTTAAGATTGAAAGAGGAGGATTTCTTCACAATCCTGGCTGTCGCCTGATGAGGCTAGTTGTAATTACCGGCAAAACTTTTTACTAGAATTATAAACATGCCAAGTTCAGCACACCGGTGTGCTGAACTTTGCATGTTTTGTATATGTGACAAACCTTACTAATTGGCTGTGTCGGTGGTGGCAGGTTTAACGACACATTTATATTTACACAATCTAACCCATAAAAAAACCCATTATGGAAAATGATCAAATGTAAACCGGTTTTTTTTTACATTTTCATACAGAAACATACTTAATATGAACAATAAAGTTAGAGCTGAACCCACCCCACACAATGAGAAAGGCCGTGCTCTGTTGATCCCCGGCCAGGCAGCTGTAGCTTCCCGCATCCTCCAGCTCCAGTTTGTGAACGGTCAAACTTTCAGTGAAGTCCTTCTGGTGCACTTCAAATTTATTGTCTGCCTTAATGGGCTGGGAGTCCTTCCTCCACTCGACATCCACTCTGGGTTTGGAGAGGCGGCAGGAGAGAGTTGCAGAGCTGTCTTCCAAAGCTTCAGTGTTCTGTAGATGCTCCAAAACCCGGACTGGCATTTCTGTTGGATATAAACAATATAAATAGCTAAATAACCATAGTTTTTACGTGTTTTATAAAATGTCTTTTCATAATAAAGAGTAAACAAACCTTGTACAGTGAGCTTGGCGGTGGAGCTATCACTCTCAACATCACATGAATATTCTCCTTTGTCCTCCAGGGTCACACCAAGGATTGTGAGTCTTGCTGTGTTGGCCTCCTGCCACATGTGGACCCGATCGCTGGCCTCCATCACTCGCCCAGCTTTCCTCCACGTGACCTCAGATGGTCCAGAGAGCTCACAGAGGAAGGTCGCCTCCCCAGACTCATGAACCTCAACGTCTTGCAGTGGCTGAGTGATGTGGGCGGGGCGCTCTTAATGGATGACATGAAAAGGAGGTTTCAAAAAAACATTTACATTAATGCCCTATAACATACATACATGCAAACCTCACCATCTTGCACATGAACTGCCTAAAAATATATTTCTTCAAATTTTAGTCCTGTACACACAAGACAAATAGTCCTGTATACACAAGATATATAGTCCTGTATACACAAGACAAATAGTTCAGTATACACAACATGTATAATCCAGTATACACAAGACATATAGCCCTGTATACACAGGAAACATAGTCCTGTATACACGTGACAAACATTGCAGTATACTCTGCCGCCAGAGAGGCGCCAGCAATTAGGGGGAGAAGCAGTAGTAATTAAGCAGGTGCATTTGGGGACAAGCAGGTGCGAGCGTGGGAACACGGAGTAGGCGCCGGAGAGGCGGGAGATGGAGATGATAAGAGAGAGAGAGCACGTGCAGGAGGCGCCACTGAGGCGCCAGCTGAATGGGGGGTAACTGAGGACCCTGAATGAGGAGGCGGATATCAGGGTGTGTGCGGAGCAACACAGTGTTGTTGGTTGGAGCTGAAGGAACGAAGAGGACAAGAGCCGGGGAGAAGAAGCCTGGGACCTCGCCCTCGACACCTCGTCCTCCCCAGCGGTGTTGGCTGATCCCCCGTCGGGGGCAAGGACGAGGTGGAGGTGTGAGAGAAAAGTGGCAGGCTAGCGGAGTGTTAAATGACAGGCTAGCGGAGTATTAAGAGACAGGCTAGCGGAGTATTAAGTGACAGGCTAGCGGAGTATTAAGTGACAGGCTAGCGGAGTATTAAGTGACAGGCTAGCAGAGTAGTAAGTGACAGGCTAGTGGAGTATTAAGTGACAGGCTAGTGGAGTATTAAGTGACAGGCTAGTGGAGTGTTAAATGACAGGCTAGCGGAGTATTAAGTGAGAGGATAGCAGAGTGTTAAATGACAGGCTAGTGGAGTGTTAAGTGACAGGCTAGGAGAGTATTGAGTGACAGGCTAGTGGAGTGTTAAGTGACAGGCTAGCGGAGTATTCAGTGACAGGCTAGGAGAGTATTGAGTGACAGGCTAGTGGAGTATTCTTAGCTCTTTCGGTAAAGTCACGTTGAAGGGAAACAATCAAATAATAAAATATATATAAAACAATGAAAATTCTCACGACGTTTCGACCATAACACAAACCGCAAAGAGCCAGCAGGGGAGAAGAAAGCGTCGGAGCACGCGGCCGCCATTTTGTTTGCGGAGCGGGGCGGAGAGCCCGCGAAATCGGAGACTGCGCCAAGTTCGCCTGTTGAGTTTCCATCCCTCAGGCGATGTCAACCTTTTGTGAAATAATTTTCAGCCACGGGAGGCGACTGGGTGGCCCTCAAGCACCGGTTCCAGACGAACTGCGACTTGGCAGGATGGATGGAGGCGAAGGCGCTGAGAGCTCTGCCCGCCGCACTTGACGACGACGCCTTGGCGGCGTTTTGTACCATCCCACCGTCGGAGAGGGCCATGCTCCAAGAAGCCTTTGCTCAAATGGTGGCAATCTACATACCGCCGTAAAATGTCCGCCATAAGTTCGCTGCGCGGAGGAGAGGGGAGGCTGAGACGCCCCTCACCTTCCGCAGCGCACTATTGGTGCTAGAAAAGGCTGCCTTCCTGAAGATGGACCGTGGCGAAGTCGACTTGCTGGTCCGAGAAAGATTGTTGGCGTTGGCGAAGGACCTCAACATCGTCCTGCCAGCCGTCGACGACGACGATCTGTCTTCCCTCAAGGTTGCAAGATGCATCCAGACGAAACTGCTCTTACAACGACATAAGGGGTTGGCGGCGTGCACCGCGCCTCATGAGAAGCGTGATACACCCGAAGATGTGGAGCCTGTCCAAGCCTGCGTTTTGACCCAAGGCGGAGGCTGGCGGGGGGGGGGGGGGCAGCACGGTGCGACGGGATGAACAACAACGACGGCGGAAGACATCTCCTCGTCCTGGGAGCGGGCTCATCGTGTGCCACAACTTCAGCCTGTCGGGGACACGTCTCGTTGGGTTGCCGCGTGCCGCGACGACGCCTCCCTGGACCACCGCCGTCATCCACCCAACCATCCTCCACTCCACTATACCCCAAGGCGAGTCGAGGCACACCACACACTTGGCCCCTGAATCCACCTCACTCATCGCGTTCGGGTGGTTTTCGTTCCCGTGCGTGTGTCGGGGCATGAGGGTTCAGATTTTACTCGGGCTGACTGACCACTCCGACCGGGTCAGTGGTCAGAGGCCCATAGAGCGGTTGCTGTGACCGCACGTTCATCCGCTGTTATCGGAATCATAGAGGGGGTTGAAATCAGAATGCTCGTCGATACCGGTGCATCCGCGACTATCATTTACGAGTTTATTTTTTAAATTCTGCCCCCTAAATGTCGTACCCTATGTCCTGTTGGGGTTCCGTGCTTCGCCGCAAACGGCGGCTCATTGGGCATCATTGGGAAGATAACAGCAGAGGTGTCTATTGGAGACATCAAATTGACGGGACAAGTTCTTGTATCAACGTCCCTTGCTGTTCCTTGCTTGCTTGGGACTGACTTCCTTGGGAAGATGCCACTCAAAATTTTGATTGATCAGGGTTGCCTCGAGTTACCATTGGGCCGTCGCATGGCCTTTGTGCCTTCTCCCACTCGATTGCGCACGGTCAACGCTACTGTACAAGGAACTTGTAAGTAGGACCGTCAAAATTATTCTTGGCACGCAAATGTTGGTACCTTTACGATTGCGAAAGCCACTTGACCAGGAGGCGACTGCGGGAGGAATCCTCCTAGGACCGTCAAACAAAGCCGTTTGTGGGTTGACATTGGTGGGGGCCCAGACTCTGGTGTCCAATGACCAGGAACCATTCATTTAGGTCCTTAATGCAGGGTTGGACACATCTGTCATACAGGAGGGGACCGTGCTAGCACACGCGTTGCCCGCACTTCGCGAGGGAAACATCGTTGGCAGAGTGGGGGTCGCGTCGAATCTTAAGCCACAACAGGTTTCCGATGAAAAGTGGATGGATACGCTTTGTTCTGACAATTCTGAATTGTCCAAGTCCCAGAGGAGAGAGTTGAGGTCGCTTTTGTGTGAATTCTCCGATCTGTTTAGCAGAGGCAAATTTGATATCGGCCGCACTAACCTTTTGAGTCACCAGATCGATATGGGCGATGCCGCTCCCATCCGGCAGAACCTCTACCGGCTGAGCCTGATGGAAAAATAGCATGTACGGCTGGCAGTGAATGAGATGTTGGCCGCCGATATTATCTCGCCATCCACCAGCCCATGGGGAGCCCCGATTGTTCTGGTTAAAAAGCAAGATGGAAGTCTGTGCTTCTGTTTTGACTTCCGTAAACTTAATAAGATCTCTGTGGCTGACGCGTATCCCCTTCCTCGAATTGACAATTCCCTGGATACTCTGGCAGGAGCACATTATTTTTCAACTCTTGACCTCCTATCGGGATTTTTGCAGTTGCCCCTGGATGAGTCCTCTAAGCCCAGGACAGCCTTTCATACACCACAAGGCTTATTTGAATTTAATCAGCTTCCGATGGGTCTTCACTCCGCTCCGCTACATTCCAGCGATTGATGGAACTGGTTCTGGCTGGCCTCCAGTGGGACTCGTGCCTGGTATATCTGGACGATGTTATCGTTTTTAGCCGTACGTTTAATGAACATCTGGAACAGTTACGTGTGGTCTTTCTTAAGATGCGTGTGGCGAACCTCAAATATAAGCTGCAGAAGTGTCACCTGCTCCAAAAATCTGTTCCGTACCTTGGCCACATTGTAAGTAAATCTGGGATAGTGACGGACCCGGACAAAACCGCGTGTGTGCGTTCTTGACCGACCCCCGCGTTGGTGGGGGAGGTGCAGAGTTTCATTGGTTTTGTGTCCTATTACCGCCATTTTGTCGCCGGGTTCAGCACAATCGCCAAACCTCTTCACACCCTGACGGCAAAGGGTCAGAAGTCCCATTGGGGGGAGGCCGCATTTGTTGCGGTCCGGGATGGCTTTGTGAACGCCCTTCCTCTCCGATACCCCGACTTTTCCATGCCGTTCGTTCTTGATACAGACGCTAGCAACACCGGAATTGGTGCTGTTCTGTCTCAAGTCGTTAATGGCTTGGAGAGTGTTGTAGCATATGGCAGCAGAGTGCTGTCTCTGGCCGAACAACGGTACTGTGTCATATGCCGGGAACTTTTGGCTATGACCATGCAGCACTGCAGTACGCGCTGCGTATTGAAAAGCTGTCTGGCAAACTGTCACGTTGGTTGGGAGTCCTACAGGACTATTATTTTACTGTTTCTTACCGCAAAGGTACCCGACGCACGAACGCGGATGCCCTGTCGCGATTACCAACGAGCGACGGGTGCGCGTGTTTCTCGGGCTCGGGGCGCTGTAAGACGCCTGCTAAGGCCTCGCCCCCTCCCCTTACAACATTGTCGTGCCCACTGCCCTGCGGGGTACAATCCTCTGGGCAGTGCACGAATGACTGGTGTGTCTGGGTGTGCATAAGACACTAGCCACACTTAAGCTCGACTTCTTCTGGCCCGGCATGGCGGAAGATGTAGCTAATGTATTGAAGGGTTGTGTGCAGTGCGCTCGGCGGAAACCCCCGTCTAAACCCTGTTGTCTACCATTGAAATACATTCAAGTTTCCTGCATAAATGAGCTGGTCGCTCTTGATGTCCTTGGTCCAATTCCGACCACCCCTGGCGGGAATAAATATTTACTGGTGGGCGTCAAATATTTTTCATGGTGGCCGATGGCCTGGCCACTTTCCAACCAGTCAGCGGCGGCCATCACGAGGCGTTCCTCGACGGCTATGTGATGGACAAGGGGGCCCTTGAGCGTCTTCTGACCGATCAGGGTAAAGATTTTTCTTCTAAATTTCTGCGGGAGGTGTGTGATTTGTTTGGAACAAAAAAAGTAAGTACGTCACCCTACCACCCCCAGACGGACGGAATGGTGGAGCGGTTGAAGTCTGATGTCCATGTTGAGTCATCAGGTCAGCGAGTTCCAGTTTGACTTGGACTTGCATGTTCCCGAGGTCCTCGCTGCCTATAAAAAGGCCCCTCACGCATCCACCGGCTACTTGCCATTTTTTTCAATGTAGGGAGAGAACACGACCCCTCCCCCCCCCCCATTAATGTCCAATTACGAGCCGAGCCAAGCAAGACTAAATATAAAATAAAAATTCCATGCGCCTTACCCTTCAGAGGCTTTTCGGAAGTGTGCGAGGCTTCCAGGGAAAATTCCAAGTCGCGCCAATTGGCATATGAGCGGTTGAGGGGTCTCCGTCTTTCCGGACATGAGTGAGCTCCAGGTGACAAGGCCTGGCTGCACTGTCCCCAGGTAACAGTGGGTACATCACCCAATTTGTTTAAAACCCTGGAGGGGGCCGGTTGATGTGATTCGGGTCATTCGGCCCCAGTGTGTTCAAATTCGCTGGGGTCATCGGAGCTGGTTTGTACATCCATCTCGCCTGAAACCTTTCATTGCGCCGCGTGAATTCATCCCATTTCCACTACAAAGGGGCCGAGTGTCGGGTGTGTCGGGCGAGCTGAGGTGTGTACCCACTAAGGTTGATCCTCAGGGGTGTGATATGATCCCGTCCTCAGGTTCCGCGTTTAACGTCCCCCGAGCCGCCGCCTGCGCCGCCTCCACAAACTTCGGGAGCGGAGGGCTTGTCTGCCCGGCCGACTGCTCTTGGTGAGGAGCCGGGTTCAACGGGACATTTTCAAATTCCCCCCTGGGACCCCCAGGGAGAGTACGCCCACCTCACCTGGGGGCCCAGCCACGAGGACTAGATCAAAGACTCTTCAGTTTTCGTGATCCCCATACACACAAACTCCCACACCGTCAGTTGGATGTCACACTCGGCATGTCGTATTGGTCATTGGCTGAACCTGGCCTTTTTTGTGCTTGTGAGTGTTCTTCCACGGTGAGGGTGGGAGATGCCAGCGATGGAGGGGGATCCGAGGTTTCGCGTGTTACTGCGTGTTGTTTTTTTTCTCTCTCTTTATCTCTCTCTCTTCCCTTCCCTCTTCCGTTGTGGACTATTGGTTCTGTTCCCTTCCCCTGTCTGTTACTGTATATATTGTATTTATGGGATGGGGTATTTATTTGTTGAGGCACACTTAGGGGTTTTGCTGTTTGTTGAGGGAGAGTTGACAGCCGTGACGGCTGAGTTCTATGAAAGGGGGGGGGGGTGATGTAGTGACATTGCTGTATGTCACTGTGCTGGGTGCAGTGCCGGCCCTAGAGGGGCACGGCGTGCGATGTAACGACATCGCGGATACCATAAGGGTGTGGGTGTAGTACCGGCCCTAGAGGCGCCTCGGTGAGCGCTGAATATGATAGCGCCAGATGGCACCACGCTTTGCATGAAGTGCCGGCCCTATAGGACAGGGCGTGTGAGTGCCGGCCGAAGGATGAGGTTACGTGAGGCCATGGCACTCTGGTTGACCCATGAGGACACGTGACCAGTTAAGTCTACAGAGGGGTCCCACGCCACAGAGAATATAAGCCAGGTCCCGAGAGTGACCGGGGTTGTTGTTATTCTGGAAGAAACGCTTAATCTACGTTCTCCGTTCAACGAGTCTCCAACACGTGGACCCGGACCAAAGCTATTGGTCCCGGTCCGTAGTAGCAGTTACGTTGTAACTAGTGTAGTTAGCCTGATGGTCACCACCATAGGTTGTTATTCTGTTAAGGGGAAAGTTACCCCGTGTGCTGGATTGAATAAATGTGTTGCCTCCAAATCTACATCTGCGACACAATTGAACCCACTACACAGACATGGAGACAAGACACTACAATGAGACTATAGACAGTACAGACAATGAGACTATAGACAGTACAGACAATGAGACTATAGACAGTACAGACAAGGAGACTATACATAATAAAGGTTTTTGGGTTAGATCGCGTTTATTTATAAATGTGTCGTAACCCTCCACCACCCGACACGGCCAATCAGCAAAAAAAGTGTCACGTTGACAAAAGACAAATAATTCACTACTTCAGCCCACCGGTGTGTTGAAGAGTTAATCCACATTTACAGTTTGAATTCGACACAATTGAACCCACTACACAGACATGGAGACAAGACACTACAATGAGACTATAGACAGTACAGACAATGAGACTATAGACAGTACAGACAATGAGACTATAGACAGTACAGACAAGGAGACTATACATAATAAAGGTTTTTGGGTTAGATCGCGTTTATTTATAAATGTGTCGTAACCCTCCACCACCCGACACGGCCAATCAGCAAAAAAAGTGTCACGTTGACAAAAGACAAATAATTCACTACTTCAGCCCACCGGTGTGTTGAAGAGTTAATCCACATTTACAGTTTGAATTCGCCAGAATTGCCCGATGATGCTGGAAGTATTTACCAGCGAAACGTCGTATTCTGGCGAATTGCCCGATGATGCTGGAAGTATTTACCAGCGAAACGTCGTACTCAAACTGTAAATGTGGATTAACTCTTCAACACACCGGTGGGCTGAAGTAGTGAATTATTTGTCTTTTGTCAACGTGACACTTTTTTTGCTGATTGGCCGTGTCGGGTGGTGGAGGGTTACGACACATTTATAAATAAACGCGATCTAACCCAAAAACCTTTATTATGAATAATATTGGTCGCGAAAGCCTACGTGTTAAAAGGAGACTATAGACAGTACAGACAAGGAGACTATAGACAGTACAGACAATGAGACTATAGACAGTACAGACAATGAGACTATAGACAGTACAGACAATGAGACTATAGACAGTACAGACAAGGAGACTATAGACAGTACAGACAAGGAGACTATAGACAGTACAGACAATGAGACTATAGACAGTACAGACAATGAGACTATAGACAGTACATACAATGAGACTATAGACAGTACAGACAATGAGATTATAGACAGTACAGACAATGAGACTATAGACAGTACAGACAATGAGACTATAGACAGTACAGACAATGAGACTATAGACAGTACAGACAATGAGACTACATACAGTACAGACAATGAGACTATAGACAGTACAGACAATGAGACTATAGACAGTACAGACAATGAGACTATAGACAGTACAGACAATGACTACAGACAGTACAGACAATGAGACTATAGACAGTACAGACAATGAGACTATAGACAGTACACACAATGAGACTATAGACAGTACAGACAATAAGACTACAGACAGTACAGACAATGAGACTACAGACAGTACAGACAATGAGACTATAGACAGTACAGACAATGAGACTATAGACAGTACAGACAATGAGACTATAAACAGTACAGACAATGAGACTACAGACAGTACAGACAATGAGACTATTGACAGTACAGACAATGAGACTATAGACAGTACAGACAATGAGACTATAGACAGTACAGACAATGAGACTATAGACAGTTCAGACAAGACAGAGTACGAGCGTGGAAGTACAACAAGGACAGAAACAACTTAATGAGTCAGGGAGTGGTTGTCTTGCAACAAGGTAGAATGGACCAGTGGTAGCGTGTGGTCAGGCCAAATGCTCGTGCCTTGTACTAGGCCCAGTGGGATAGAGCTAAAATTATTAAAAATACTAGTTTTTACAACCAAACAAGGTCTAATAGTTGCACTCCTTTTATAATAAAACCAAATTATGATGTACAAACGAGTATGAAAACTGTCTAACTTTAGCTATATAGCAGACAATGGGTGTGGCTATGTAGGTGGCAACATAAATAACCTACATTTGTAATATATGTAACATTTGTAATATATGTAACATTTATAATATATATAACATTTGTAATATATGTAATTTAAAACAAAATTAAACTGTTCTGAGTAAGTAAAATTTGTTACCATTTGAAAAGCAAACGTGTTATTTTATTGACAGAGATATCTACACGAGTAAAAAACTGCCTCACCTTTCACCGTCAATTGGCCAGATGAGGATGCATTCAGGGCACTGAACCTGATCGTGCCGCTATCTTGTAGCGTGAGATGCTTCATGGCCAGCACTTGCGTCCTTCCGTTCACCACGCTAATCTCGTTGAGATCGTTATTCCGGAGTGGCGTGTCACCCAGAAACCACGCGGATTCCCGTACGTCGGCAACGGAGATCTCGCATGTGAATGTAGCCGAACCGCCCTCGTAAGCGACGCAGTCTCCTAGGCCCCGTATAATAGTACACGGCTCTGAAAGGCATGTGGAAACCAACATGATAAACATGTTTGAATGTTATGTTGGCGAGGCATTCGGTACAGAACAATGAGCAGCACTGCGATCGGTGCTCGTTACATCACGACTGGTGGTGGAGGAGCCCCTAACCTTGTTGAGGCTCCGCACCCTGAAGTGGCTCCAGCATGACGACCGGGAGCTCTGGCGAATGAAAGGAAAATAAGTTAATGGTTACAAAAACAAAGTGATGAACACTTACGTTTTCTGCATGAGCGATATAAAACAATTGACAAACCGTGTACGCTGAGCTCAGCGGTGGAGCTTTCACTCCCAATGTCACACGAATATTCCCCTCTGTCCTCCAGGGTCACACCAACGATTGTGAGTCTTGCCGTGTTGGCCTCCTGCCACATGTGGACCCGATCGCTGGCCTTCATCACTCGCCCAGCCTTCCTCCACGTGACCTCAGATGGTCCAGAGAGCTCACACAGGAAGGTCACCTCTCCAGATGCATAAGCCTCAGTGTCCTGCAGTGGCTGAGTGATGTGGACTGGACGCCCTGTGGAGATGCAATTATACATAAATCAAAATATCCACATATTTAGGGATGTTTTATGCCAAATGGTACTAAATTCATTTACGCAATCATAGTAACATTTATAAAATGCTCACGTTTGACGGTTAGTTGAGCAGAGGATGTAGCATTCCTCGCACTGAAGCTGACAGTGCCACTCTCCTCCACCGTGAGGTGGTTAATCGTCAGCACGTGGGTCTTGCCATTGATGACACTGATTTCATTGAGCTCGTTGTTCTGTAGCGGTGTGTCCGCCAACGACCACTTGGCTTCCTTCACATTAGCGTGGGAGATCTCACAAGTGAATATGGCCGAGCCCTGCTCAAACACCTCACAGTCCTCCAGGCCCCTTGTAATGGAGATGATGGGTTCTGAACGTACATTAAAAACACATTATTTAAACATGCCTGCACATAACGTAGAACATATTACTACATTAACCTAAATGCTTACATTATAAATGTGTACAGTGCTCATAAAATAATACACAGATCACCTGTGACATTGAGCATGGCGGTGGTGACATCATGACCAGTATCACAGGAGTACTGCCCAGCGTCGTGCAGGCCCAAGTGATGCAGGACCAGTCTGGCCGCTCTTCCATCCTGACTCATCTCACACTTTGCTCCAGGGTAAAGCACCCCACCATTTTTCAGCCACGTTACTGGGGCCCCTTCTTTGGACACCTCGCACACAAACACAGCGTCTCCAAGTTCCTCTTCTGTCAGATCCTGCAGGCCCTTGGTGAACACCACTGGCTTCTCTGTTAAATATAATACATACAAATGTATTTAGTGGTTACATTTGGTTGTACATAATGAGCATCATGGAGAAAAAAAAACTTCAAAAACGTAACATTCTACCTTAATGTTACACTTTTCAGAAGTAAAAATATCATTATCAATGTAGTTATACCTGTAAGAGTAAGCACAGCAAAGGTGCGGCCATCGTCCGTCTCACACTCGTAGCTCCCAGCATCATCCGGTTGAACGTTGTGGATAATGAGTGTGGCAACATTTCCCTCCAGCTTCATCTCATACTTGTCACTCGGGTGCAGGACTGAGGATTCCTTCCTCCAGGTGACCCTCGCTGCTGGCTTTGAGAAGCGGCAGCGGAGAGTCGCAGTTCCACTCTCTTCAACCTCCTGGTCCTGAAGGGCCTCAGAGATCAGCACCGGGGCCTCTGTAGGCAAGATAGACGAGGCCACATTATTTCGGGAAAACTATTGTTAGATTCATCTGATAGATATATATAATCAAACAAAACAAGTTTACTATGTTTGTTTTCTCATTCATTTGTACCTGATGATTGCTTGTGTTGCAATCGAAACGTTGTATTCTATTATAATTTTTTTTATATATATTTACGTGACTTTACTGAAAGAGCCAAAGAGTAATTCCTGCAGTCGCGAAAGCTTCGAATCTAGTTTGAACCACATCTATGGGGAGGGTTTGCCGTACTCGTTTGTTTCACACTTAACTTCTAATTTAGCAATCTTTGGAAGAACGTAATCAACCAGGCTATGCGTTAACTGTGTGCTACCCGACTCTCTGTGTTGCATTGCATTACACTTCCTAATTTTACTAAATTTGCTCTCTACCGTGCTTGTTCCATGCTTGTTTATAAGTCCATTCTCTCCTCCGACCGCTATGGGCAGGAATTCCACACAACTCCCCCTCTGCCCCAACCCCCCCTCTCTATTTAAGGCCTCGACACAGAGACGTTGTCTTTCTGTTTGCTTATGTGTGTGCCTCTCTCTGTTTGTCTCTGTGTGAGTCTCTTTATGCTTGTGTGTCTGTCTGTGTGTCTGTGTTTTGTCTCTCTCTCAAATTTAGCAATCTTTGGAAGAATGTAATCAACCAGGTGGGGTGTTGACTGTTGTGTTGGCCGACTCTCTGTGTTGTATTGCATTATATTTCTAAGTTTACTATGTTTCTCATTCATTTGTACCTGATGATGGTTGCTTGTGTGGCAATCGAAACGTCGTATTCTATTATTATTTTATTTTATTTCTACGTGACTTTCCCGAAAGAACCAAAGAGTAAATAGTATTCTTGTAATAATCTGGCATCACATAGACTTGGGAGAACTAAGTTTTAATGATCATGGCTCACCTTGAATGTGGAGTTTGGCAGAGGTGGCCTCATTTCCTGCATCACAAATGTACACCCCCGCGTCCTCTGGCCGCAACTTTGTGATAACGAGTATTACAGTCGCTCCGTCTCTGTGCATCACGTACTTCTGAGAAGGACTCAGGTGTTGATCACCTTTACGCCATGTGACTGAGGCACTGGGCTGGGAAACTTCGCAGACAAATTGTGCTTCTCCATTCTCCATGCAATGTACATCCTCCAAAGTCTTCACAAACCTTACAGGCAATCCTGTGCAGATGTTTACGCATGGAGATAGAAGCACAGGAGAAAAGGTGTTGAATATCAATGGCATGAAATTGTATCAGGCAGATTTGGACTAACATTCTACCTGCAGGAAATGGAAGCTGCCATTCCACCCCACTGAATGAGTGCAGCATAAGTCGACATCACAAATACAGCCCAAGTCCATGTTAGAAGCAGGCTGAAGTAATTCCATCAGAGGATTTATGATGCGATGGTGCACTCACCACCAACATTTGGCGTTGAGCTACGAACCCGGCGAACTGAATTCAAGTCACGTTCATGGCTAACACCAGTGACGATTATCTGAATCAGTCCTTGGCATCCCCTAGTTCAGCTCAGCCTCCACTCATTTTAGGATTGTTTCTATATCATAAGTTACGGTTCCAACTTTCTCCCGCAGGGATAATATTTGTGAACTGCCTTTTTGCTGGTTTAAAACGTAGGCTTTCACGACCAATATTATCCATAATAGAGGTTGCTGGGTTAGATCGCGTAAATATAAATGTCTTTTTGCTGCTCTCATGCTCCCATTGCTCACTGTGATGTCTTCAGCCATGTCGATCTTTTTCTCTGATTTCTCTTCTCATGATTTTCCCAAACGTTTTTACAGAGTTCTACCCATTCAATCTTCAGTTTTAAATCTCCGCCGATGTTTACATGCACCTCTTCCTCAACACATATTTTATTGTTTCAGACAATTTGCTCTCCACTTTTGAACCTTTCAGTCCAATTTAAATTGACATTAAATACTCGACTAGTTATTCATTATTTCAAGTGGTGACATCCAATGAAATAAATTTGAATGACCTACCCTTAATGGACAAAGTAGCTGAGGACGTCTGTTTGCCTGCCTTGAAGGTAACACAGCCGCCGTCCTGCAGGGTGAGGTTGTTGAGGGTAAGGACGTGTGTTTTCCCTCCGTCCACACTGATTTCATTAAACTCGTTATGATACAGCCGGCTCTGATCCAGCCACCACTCCACCTCCAGCACATCAGCGTGGGAAATCTCGCAGGAGAACGTGGTCGAGTTGTTCTCAAACACCTCACAGTCCTCCAGGCCTCTCACAATGTGGATGTCTCGCTCTGGAAAGAAGGATATTTAAATGAATCCTGGTTCTCTCATATTGACATGAATTCTAAATGGAAACAATTAATATTAAATGTAAAAAAATACCTTTAGCAATACTATTTTTTTCTTTCAAATTTACGTGAATGTACTTTTAAAATGTACTAATCACCTGTGACATTGAGCTTGGCGGTGGTGACATCATCACCAGTGTCACAGGAGTACTGCCCAGCATCGTGCAGGTCCAAGTGATGCAGGACCAGTCTGGCAGCTCTTCCATCCTGACTCATCTCACACTTTGCCCCAGGGTAAAGCACCCCACCATTTTTCAGCCACGTTACTGGGGCCCCTTCTTTGGACACCTCGCACACAAACACAGCGTCTCCAAGTTCCTCTTCTGTCAGATCCTGCAGGCCCTTGGTGAACACCAATGGCTTCTCTGTGAAATAAGAGGACAATATTATTATCTCCCTTCACTGTTTCACAGCGTAAATCTGTCATTATCTAATCGGAAGTATTTTTAAATGTTTCATGAGATAAAAAAACAACACCTTTTATTGCCAGCATTGCAGAAGTCCGATCATTCTCCGTCTCACATTCGTAGCTCCCAGCATCCTCTGATTGAACGTTATGGATAACAAGAGTGGCTACGTTTCCCTGAAGTTTCATCTCATACTTGTCACTCGGGTGCAGGACTGAGGAGTCCTTCCTCCAGGTGACGCTCGCTGCTGGCTTTGAGAAACGGCATCGGAGAGTCGCTATTCCACTCTCTTCAGCTTCCTGGTTCTGAAGGGCCTCCAGAATCAGCACTGGGGTTTCTGTCATGTAAATAAACCAATTTATTTTTGTATAATATACGAAACAGAGTTTGATCAAACTAAAAAAAGAAAAGAAATTACAGAAATATATTTAACAATTGCCAATCCAACACCATGACCTCGTTTTTTACGCACATTTATTATGCATAAAAAAAATAATTGGCACACCTTGAACTCGAAGGGTTGAGGACGTCCGATCATTCTCCGTCTCACACTCATAGCTCCCAGCATCCTCCAGCTGCACATTATGGATTACAAGAGTGGCCAGGTTACCCTCCAGTTTGATCTCATACTTGGCACTCGGGTGCAGGACTGAGGAGTCCTTCCTCCAGGTGACTCTCGCTGCTGGCTTTGAGAAGTGGCAACGGAGAGTTGCAGTCCCACACTCTTCAACCTCCTGGTCCTGAAGGGCCTTGGAGATCAACACCGGGGCCTCTGCAAGCAAAATATGAGGCCAGGTTATGATTGGTAAACTGTGGAACTTGGCAGAATATCCATGTATCAAGATCACTATTATCTTTGGTTGAGGAGAACCAACACATCTCACCTTGAACACGGAGTTTGGCAGAGGTGGCGTCATCTCCGGCATCACAAGTGTACGCCCCTGCGTCTTCTGGCTGCAGCTTTGTGACAACGAGACTCGCGACCGCTCCGTCTCTGTGCATCACGTACTTCTGAGAAGGGCTCAGCTGTTTATCGCCCCTGTGCCATGTGACCGGCGCGCTGGGCTGGGACACCTCACACACAAATTCTGCTTCTCCATCCTCCACACAATCTACATCCTCTAGTCGCTTCACAAACTTCACTGGTACCGCTGTGCACACCACAACACAAGAAGATGGACTTTAGAGCACGTTCAATATGAATTAATACGAAGACTAACTTAACAAACCAGACATTGAGATGTCATGAAATACACAGAGAACCTTTTATATCAATATCAAAGGTGAGCTTATTACAGCACGTAGCGTACCCTTAATGGACAAAGTTGCTGAGGACGTCTGTTTCCCTGCCTTGAAGGTGACACAGCCGCCGTCCTGCAGGGTGAGGTTGTTGAGGGTAAGGACGTGTGTTTTCCCTCCGTCCACACTGATTTCATTGAACTCGTTATGATACAGCCGGCTCTGATCCAGCAACCACTCCACCTCCAGCACATCAGCGTGGGAGATCTCACAGGAGAACGTGGCCGAGTTGTTCTCAAACACCTCACGGTTCTCCAGGCCTCTGACAATGCAAATGTCTCGCTCTGGAAAGAAGGATATTTAAATCAGTCGTGGTTGGATATCAAAACACTCTAAGGCTGATGAAATAATCATTCATTTTATGGATAAATCTTTTTTTATATTGACCGGACATTTAAATGGTATTACTGTGCCTACATATAATGAAATATATCTTAAATAAATCACCTGTGACATTGAGCGTGGCGGTGGTTATATCATGGCCAGTGTCACAGGAGTAGTGCCCAGCGTCGTGCAGGCCCAAGTGATGCAGGACCAGTCTGGCCGCTCTTCCATCCTGACTCATCTCACACTTTGCTCCAGGGTAAAGCACCCCACCACTTTTCAGCCACGTTACTGGGGCCCCTTCTTTGGACACCTCGCACACAAACACAGCATCTCCAAGTTCCTCTTCTGTCAGATCCTGCAGGCCCTTGGTGAACATCACTGGCTTCTCTGTGAAATAGGAAGGCAGTAGATTTTATCCCACCGTTATTTTACTGGAAGAATCTAGTCACTTAGTTGCAAATATGTTTTGCATGTGTAGTGTCTTTAAAAATTACTCACACCGACATGTGGTACACACGTCACCTGCTTACACTTGATTACTCCTGGACTTAAAGCTTTCGTGACTGCAGGAATTAATATTCTTTGGGTCTTTCGGTAAAGTCACGTAGATAGGTTCAAAGGAAATAACAAAAATAACCAAAAATTACGACGTTTCGATCGCAACGCAAGCAGTCGTCATCATGCGTTGTGATCGAAGCATCATCATTTGATGACGACCGCTTGCGTTGCGATCGAAACGTCGTAATTTTTGGTTATTTTTGTTATTTACTTTGAACCTATTTACGTGACTTTACCGAAAGACACAAAGAATATTTATTACTCGTATTCACACGCCAGTTGTAGGTACTCCTATGCCTCTCTTTGCCGTCACATACACTTGACTTCTCTCCGCTCTCACTTATTCTGCACCTCGCCTATCCTGCACTCAGCAACTCTGCACACAGCAACTCCTAGAACTCTACATCTCCACTGTTGTCCTCACCTACGTTGCCTCATACCCACCCACCCGTCTGTCCCAGGCGGGGGGTTCAGACGGTGTGAGGGTTGAGGCTTCATTGACAGCTTGAGCGGCCGCGGGGAGATGTCTTCACTCTTGGTTCCCGGGCAACTCCCTCCACTCACGCACACTCCCGCTTATATCCTCCTGCTCATTGCGAGACCTCACACACTTCCCCTTAAGCCGCCGCCTGCCCGGCGCCTGTGGCCCTATTAATCCCTTATCATCACCCCCCATTCCCGTCACCCCGACGCCAACCTCCGGCCTCAATGTTCCCACCTGTTCGACCTCGTTTGCACCCGCTTCTCCCCTTAATTACTGTCAGTTTGTTGGTGCAAACCTCATGTTGCAACGAGCACACCTGTTTGTTCTCAGTTGCACCTGCTTAACTGCACGCACCACGTATATCTCTCCTCTACATATGTGTTATGTGACAATAACCTTTTATTGCCAATATTCCAGAAGTTTGATCATTCTCCGTCTCACAATCGAAACTCCCAGCATCCTCTGGTTGAACGTTGTGGATAACCAGCATGGCCAGGTTACCCTCCAGTTTCATCTCATACTTGTCACTCGGGTGCAGGACTGAGGAGTCCTTTCTCCAGGTGACTCTCGCTACCGGCTTTGAGAAGCGGCAGCGGATAGTCGCAGTTCCATTTTCTTCAACCTCCTGATCATGAAGGGCCTCAGTGATCATCACTGGGGTTTCTGCAGCAAAAACAAACCATGATTGTGTCATGGAAGTCTCAACATGCTCAAATTATTTCAAACCAATTCAGTAATTAATTACCAATCACGTGCAAACTTGTTTTTACATACCGTATAGTAGACAATTATTAAAAACTCATTGGGATAACTAACCTTTCACTCTTAGCACTGCAGAAGTCTGATCATTCTCCGTCTTGCACTCATAGCTCCCAGCATCCTCCAGCTGTACATTGTGGATAACAAGAGTGGCCAGGTTACCCTCCAGCTTCATCTCATACTTGTCACTCGGGTGCAGGACTGAGGAGTCCTTCCTCCAGGTGACCCTCGCTGCTGGCTTTGAGAAGCGACATCGGAGAGTCGCAGTTCCACTCTCTTCAACCTCCTGGTCCCAAAGGGCCTCGGAGATTAGCACCGGGGCCTCTGTCACAAAAAAGAGCATCCAATATTGTATAAAGTAATATTTGAATCCGGGTAATTATTCTTGGTAGATAAACTCTTGCACAAAGGTATCCATGACTGTCACTTTAAGGAAAGTCACGTGAAAATGATCACATCTCACCTTGAACACAGAGATTAGCAGACGTGGCTTCATCCCCTGCATCACAAGTGTACGGCCCTGCGTCTTCTGTCTGCAGCTTTGTGACAATGAGACTCGCGACCGCTCCGTCTCTGTGCATCACGTACTTCTGAGAAGGGCTCAGCTGTTTATCACCCCTGTGCCATGTGACCAGTGCGCTGGGCTGGGACACCTCACACACAAATTCTGCTTCTCCATCCTCCACACAATCTACATCCTCTAGTCGCTTCACAAACTTCACTGGTACCGCTGTGCACACCACAACACAAGAAGATAGACTTTAGAGCACGTTCAATATTAATTATTATGAATATCAACTTAACAAACCAGACATTGAGATGTCATGAAATACACAGGCAACATTTTATGATATTAACATCAAAGATGGGCTTATGACAGTATGTAGCGTACCCTTAATGGACAAAGTTGCTGAGGACGTCTGTTTCCCTGCCTTGAAGGTGACACAGCCGCCGTCCTGCAGGGTGAGGTTGTTGAGGGTAAGGACGTGTGTTTTCCCTCTGTCCACACTGATTTCATTGAACTCGTTATGATACAGCCGGCTCTGATCCAGCAACCACTCCACCTCCAGCACATCAGCGTGGGAGATCTCGCAGGAGAACGTGGCCGAGTTGTTCTCAAACACCTCACAGTCCTCCAGGCCTCTCACAATTTGGATGTCTCGTTCTGGAAAGAAGGATATTTAAATCAGTCGGGGTTGCACTGAAAAGTATGATGAAATAATTATTAATATTCCATAGATGTTTGTTATTGAATTAAAATTGTAAAACTTTGGACCGAGTCTACATTTAATGACATATGCATTAAATAAATTTACCTGTGACGTTGAGCGTGGCAGTGGTGACATCATGACCAGTGTCACAGGAGTACTGCCCAGCATCGTGCAGGCCCAAGTGATGCAGGACCAGTCTGGCCGCTCTTCCATCCTGACTCATCTCACACTTTGCTCCAGGGTAAAGCACCCCACCATTTTTCAGCCACGTTACTGGGGCCCCTTCTTTGGACACCTCGCACACAAACACAGCGTCTCCAAGTTCCTCTTCTGTCAGATCCTGCAGGCCCTTGGTGAAGACGACTGGCTTCTCTGTGAAATAAGAAGACGATCAAATTTATCCCACCACTGTTGCTCTGCGACAAAACTTCAATGAGTAAATCACAAGTAATTTTGAATGTGTCATGAGACAAAAACCTGTTATTTTCAACATTGCAAAAGTCCTATCATTTTCTGTCTCGCACTCGTAGCTCCCAGCATCCTCCAGCAGCACGTTGTGGATGAGAAGGATGGCCATGTTTCCCTCCAGCTTCATCTCATACTTGTCACTCGGGTGCAGGACTGAGGAGTCCTTCCTCCAGGTGACCCTCGCTGCTGGCTTTGAGAAGCGACAGCGGAGAGTCGCAGTTCCACTCTCTTCAACCTCCTGGTCCTGAAGGACCTCAGAGATCAGCACCGGGGTCTCTGTAGCGAAAACAAATCAAGATTGTGTAACGTAAAGGAAGCACGGTTTGCTACGCACGGTGCGAAATATGTTCAACAAACATACATCAAGCTGAGATCATAGCATAGCCGCCAGTCACCCCCGCCATCCACCCCTCCCTGTGCGAAACCCACCCATGCACCCCCTACCTGCGCTTCCCCTCGGTGCACCCCCCCGCACGCCCGCTCGCCTCCACTCGTGCGCCAACTCCCCTCTGCGTGTTAGCCAGCACATGGCCATCAGCCAATCAGAACGCACGCTGGCCGGCACATTGCCAGCCGGGAAGTTAACCAGCCAGCAAATCTTTTTTTATAATATAGTATGACTTAGCACTACCCTCGCATCTCCACGGCCAGGGTGGAGAGTGGGTGGCATTGGGGGGGTGGGGGGGGTGTTATGACGTCGCCACCACGCAAGAATGCGGCTCAGCGCTGTGGATTCCGGGTGACGTCATGACGCAGGTGCGTGCGGTGATGTCACCACTGCGCAACTTGCCTGCCCACATGTCAGACAGCAAAACTTTTGCTTTAATAATCATCATAAGATATGACAACAAATGCATTCTAAAAACTCATTGGCACATCTCACCTTTAACTCTAAGCATTCCACAAGTATGATCGTTCTCTGTCTCGCAGTTGTAGCTCCCAGCATCCTCTGGTTGAACGTTAAGGATAACAAGAGTGGCCAGGTTACCCTCCAGCTTCATCTCATACTTGTCACTCGGGTGCAGGACTGAGGAGTCCTTCCTCCAGGTGACCCTCGCTGCTGGCTTTGAGAAGCGGCAGCGGAGAGTCGCAGTTCCACTCTCTTCAACATCCTGGTCCCGAATGGCCTCGGAGATCAGCACCGGGGCCTCTGTCTCAAAAAAGAGCATCCAATATTGTATAAAGTAATATTTGACTCCGGGTTATTATTGTTGGTAGATAAACTCTTGTACAGAGGTAACCATGACTGTCGCTTGAGGAAAATCACGTGAAGATCACATCTCACCTTGAACACAGAGATTAGCAGACGTGGCTTCATCCCCTGCATCACAAGTGTACGGCCCTGCGTCTTCTGGCTGCAGCTTTGTGACAATGAGACTCGCGACCGCTCCGTCTCTGTGTATCACGTACTTCTGAGAAGGGCTCAGCTGTTTATCGCCCCTGTGCCATGTGACCGGTGCGCTGGGCTGGGACACCTCACACACAAATTCTGCTTCTCCATCCTCCACACAATCTACATCCTCTAGTCGCTTCACAAACTTCACTGGTACCGCTGTGCACACCACAACACAAGAAGATGGACTTTAGAGCACGTTCAATATGAATTATTATGAAGATCAACTTAACAAACCAGACATTGAGATGTCATGAAATACACAGAGAACCTTTTATATCAATATCAAAGATGGGCTTATTACAGCACGTAGCGTACCCTTAATGGACAAAGTTGCTGAGGACGTCTGTTTCCCTGCCTTGAAGGTGACACAGCCACCGTCCTGCAGGGTGAGGTTGTTGAGGGTAAGGACGTGTGTTTTCCCTCCGTCCACACTGATTTCATTGAACTCGTTATGATACAGCCGGCTCTGATCCAGCCACCACTCCACCTCCAGCACATCAGCGTGGGAGATCTCACAGGAGAACGTGGCCGAGTTGTTCTCAAACACCTCACGGTTCTCCAGGCCTCTGACAATGCAAATGTCTCGCTCTGGAAAGAAGGATATTTAAATCAGTCGTGGTTGGATATCAAAACACTCTAAAGCTGATGAAATAATCATTCATTTTATGGATAAATCTTTTTTTATATTGACCGGACATTTAAATTGTATTACTGTGCCTACATATAATGAAATATATCTTAAATAAATCACCTGTGACATTGAGCGTGGCTGTGGTGACTTCATGGCCAGTGTCACAGGAGTAGTGCCCAGCGTCGTGCAGGCCCAAGTGATGCAGGACCAGTCTGGCCACTCTTCCATCCTGACTCATCTCACACTTGGCTCCAGGGTAAAGCACCCCACCATTTTTCAGCCACGTTACTGGGGCCCCTTCTTTGGACACCTCGCACACAAACACAGCGTCTCCAAGTTCCTCTTCTGTCAGATCCTGCAGACCCTTGGTGAACACCACTGGCTTCTCTGTGGATACATTATAACAAATAATAAGAGGCGTCATCATGCGGTTTAATTGTGATGCAATTAGTTACTTACCGATTGTGGTTTTGGAAACCTGGTGGAATATTACATTGTCATACATTACTAGAGTTTGCTTCTCTTATCTCTCGTAATACACGACTAAGCTGGCAATTGCAATCTATTAATTTCATTAACTGGTTAAACAAGCGTTCACGAACATGCATACTGCCATGCATGCGCTCATGTGAACGGCGACCATACCCATGATGGTAGACAACACAGCCTCCTGTGGCGGCTGCTCCTCCTGGGTTGGCATGGCAACTTCATTTGGAGCTGATAATAACAAAAAAATATAAGTTACAAATGTTCTATATCGTCCTTGGTCTTTCCTTTTACAAACTACACATTTGTATCAGTTGAAAACTCGTCACATAATAAACATTATATACACATGAATTAATCATAATCATCCATGATCTATCCACAGCTGTATAGTTTCCCCACAAATGTACCATCCGAACGATCCAGCGGTGCCATGATCTTTATTGCGCTCTATCTGATCTAATCAAATCCACCTTTACAGTGGTCGACATGTTAGCTTCGATCTGCTCTTTGGGTACCATTCCACCGCCAGCCTCGTCCATAGTCCCTGCTAGCAATGTGTTCTGCCCAAGACCACTTGCTTTTATCAACTATTATCGTAGAGTGTCGGATTTTCATTTGTTCATCGATTTACGTCTTACTTTTTCTGTCAGTGTAATTCCCAGCATGCACCTCTCTCGGCTTCTTTGAACACTTTTCAACGTTGGTTCTTTCGTTCGTGCCAGCATCCATGTCTCAAATCCACAAGTCGCATCAGGCAACATCCACTGATCGAAAACGTTGCTCTTGGATACACTTTTCTTCGTTGCTTTTCATTACGACATAAAATGACTAAATTCACTCCAACCTGCGCTTGCTTGCCTCCTCCAGAGTACCTCCCCCGTCTGTCGCGGCCTGCGGCAATAATTGCTAAGGGTGTAGCAGACACTCTGTTGCGCTTCAGAGTTGTGTACTGACAACAACAAATGTTTTATGCTGCTCTTCAGCAAACTAGTGGCGAATGCCTTTTTTTCTGCTCGTATTTCACTTCAGCCACAGTTTGCACGGTAATCTGCGAAGTTTTTCAGTAATTTCCTGTTGTTTAGTACCGTTGGTTTTCACAACGTATGTTGGACTTCTTTTGCACCGTATATAGCCAACTGTGCTAATCGTAGGTACGGGGAAAGGACAACACACTAAACACAAAAAGCCGTTCTAAAGAAATAAGTTTTACATTTAAGTTTAAAAGTACATAGCTCCAGTGACTTCCTAATATCGGAAGGAAGAGCATTCCAGATGGCCGTAGAAGCGCATCTGAAAACGTGGGATGCAGTGACCATCTTTGCTGATGGTTAGCCAGTTTATAACTCATTACAACTGCGATGTAATGCTACCAGTAGCAAGCCCCAATATCTCTCCCCTTCTCGCCCAACTCTATTTCCCCCCTCTTCACCCGGTTACCTCATTTTCCAGAACAAAAAGGGATACTTGCAAATTAAATACTTCGAAATCCAAACACGCTGGAAAGAGTAACATAAACAATGCGTGTGCATGCGTTTTCCTAACTTTTTCATTTAATAATTAGTTTTTTGATCAGCTGGCATTTTCCACAGAATATGCAAGTCATGAGCTCTCGATTGACACCCAACTCAACGTAACCCAGGGATAGGGGGGCCGTTGCAGGCTATATATTCTCGTAAGCTGTGTTTTAATCCCTTCCTCATGGATAATTTTGGCTAAAAGCCTATTTTTATCCATGCGAATTATATTAATATGTAGATTAAATGAAATACTCAACTAAAAACAGTAAAATCTATGAATAACATTGTTTGCTACGACTCAAAAAAACAAAGTGAAATTTTTACTTTCAAAACGCAGAGTACGAAACTAAATATCCACTATATTCACTTGCTGTGTATGTCTCTTCAAAGACATGCGGTGTACACGGAACACAATAAATGTTTCCTATAATTTAATAGTACCATGAATTTAAAAGTAAACGTAATAAATTACATTAACTGGAAAAATACACATTAAGTCACAGAGGTGCAACACTCCCACCAACACCTCTACCAGTGAGCAGGAGCTCACAGTCAAACGTGAATTATTATCATAGGTCGTGTATATAAATGTGTACCGAATAATGTTGCTTTACCTTTCACAATCAGTGATGCACATGTCCTATCATTCGCCGTCTCACACTCGTAGCTCCCAGCATCCTGTAGCTGCACGTTGTGGATAACAAGAGTGGCCAGGTTACCCTCCAGCTTCATCTCATACTTGTCACTCGGGTGCAGGACTGAGGAGTCCTTCCTCCAGGTGACCCTCGCTGCTGGCTTTGAGAAACGGCAGCGGAGAGTCGCAGTTCCACTCTCTTCAACCTCCTTGTCCTGAAGGGCCTCAGAGATCAGCACCGGTGCCTCTGTAAACAAGGTTGATGAAGAAAGGTCATGATTGCAAAACTGGACGGCAACACCAGCGTCGAGGTCGTGTCTTTAAATGTTCGTGAGCTGAGATGGGGGAGAATTACCTTTAGATGATCAAGGCACCTAATAAGTGAAAATTATTATTTTTGTTATTAAGTTTCACCTTGAACGTGGAGTTTGGCAGAGGTGGCGTCATCTCCTGCATCACAAGTGTACGGCCCTGCGTCTTCTGGCTGCAGCTTTGTGACAACGAGACTCGCGACCGCTCCGTCTCTGTGCATCACGTACTTCTGAGAAGGGCTCAGCTGTTTATCGCCCCTGTGCCATGTGACCGGTGCGCTGGGCTGGGACACCTCACACACAAATTCTGCTTCTCCATCCTCCACACAATCTACATCCTCTAGTCGCTTCACAAACTTCACTGGTACCGCTGTGCACACCACAACACAAGAAGATGGAGTTGGACTTTAAAGCACGTTCAATATACATATTTACGTAGATCTACTTAACAAACCAGACATTAAGATGGCATGAAATACACAGATCTTTTCATATCAATATCAAAGATAGGCTTATCACAGCCCGTAGCGTACCCTTAATGGACAAAGTTGCTGAGGACGTCTGTTTCCCTGCCTTGAAGGTGACACAGCCGCCGTCCTGCAGGGTGAGGTTGTTGAGGGTAAGGACGTGTGTTTTCCCTCCGTCCACACTGATTTCATTAAACTCGTTATGATACAGCTGGCTCTGATCCAGCAACCACTCCACCTCCAGCACATCAGCGTGGGAGATCTCACAGGAGAACGTGGCCGAGTTGTTCTCAAACACCTCACAGTCCTCCAGGCCTCTCACAATGTGGATGTCTCGCTCTGGAAAGAAGAATATTTAAATCAATTCTGGTTCTCTTATCTAATAATTTATAAAGGTTTAGTGTTCACATAAACTGAAAAAGAAACGTTTAAATTCTCGTGAATGTACTTTTAAAATGTACTAATCACCTGTGACATTGAGCGTGGCGGTGGTGACATCATGACCAGTGTCACAGGAGTAGTGCCCAGCGTCGTGCAGGCCCAAGTGATGCAGGACCAGTCTGGCCGCTCTTCCATCCTGACTCATCTCACACTTTGCTCCAGGGTAAAGCACCCCACCATTTTTCAGCCACGTTACTGGGGCCCCTTCTTTGGACACCTCGCACACAAACACAGCGTCTCCAAGTTCCTCTTCTGTCAGATCCTGCAGGCCCTTGGTGAACACCAATGGCTTCTCTGTGAATTACAAAGAGAGTAGTGTTCATCGTAAAAATCTACTTTAAAAAAAAATCACAATTGTATGTATACATGACATGCTGTGACGTGTCACGATGTGTATACGTGTCATGATGTGACACGAACCTTGTACTGTCATCATTGCAGAAGTCTGATCATTCTCCGTCTTGCACTCATAGCTCCCAGAATCCTCCAGCTGTACATTGTGGATAACAAGAGTGGCCAGGTCTCCCTCCAGCTTCATCTCATACTTGTCACTCGGGTGCAGGACTGAGGAGTCCTTCCTCCAGGTGACTCTCGCTGCTGGCTTTGAGAAGCGACAGCGGAGAGTCGCAGTTCCACTCTCTTTAACCTCCTGGTCCCGAAGGGCCTCGGAGATCAGCACCGGGGCCTCTGTAGCAAACAGAAGCCAACGCCATATAAATTCGTAAACGTAGCTTTCATTAACAAAGTCATCCAGTTTTTCTAAGCCTTGAAAAGGTAGCATCCGATGATTTCGTAATATAATTATTTTAAGTGGTATTCTGATTTGTATTGGTAAGGCATAGAAAACTGTTGTTATATGCACCAGTAGCCTACCTGTGACCAAAATAGTAGCTACTGTTCTATCATCTCCAGTGTCACATTCGTAATCTCCAGCATCTTCCAATTCAATATCATAGATGACAAGTCTAACTATGTCCCCGTTCTGGACCATGTTGTACTTTGCGCTCGGATGAAGCAGCTTGGACCCTTTTTGCCAAGCAACCGGCACGTCTGGTTTGGAGAGTCGGCAACTGAGGGTAGCCGTCCCAAACTCCTCAACCTCCTGGTCCCGGAGGGCCTCACGGATCAGCACCGGGGCTTCTGCGAGCGAGACATTATAGGGGCCAGATTACTCAATGAAAAACTATTAGTCGATCAATCCCTTTGCTGAGATTACTGTGAACCATGACAGACAGTGCAGTGAAGTTTGAGCCATTTCAATAAAAATTAAACGCAATTGAGCACAAAAATATATGTGCAGTTTCTGAAAAAAATATATATCTGATTGGACTGAGTTATGTAAATTCGTGAAATAATAATTGCGTCAATGTATGAAACGTTTACACGGTGCGATTGGCGACGAGTACCTTGTACGAGCAGCATTGCCGAAGTCCTGTCGTTGCCTGTTTCGCAGGTGTACTCGCCGGTGTCGTCCAGCTGCACCTTGTGGATGATGAGTGTGGCCACGTCGTGCTCCTGCTTCATCACGTGGTCGGCACTGGGGTGCAGGACTGTGGAACCTTTCTTCCAGGTGACTCTCAGTGGAGGTTTTGAGAAGCGGCAGCTGAGAGTAGCCGTTTCAAACTCTTCAACCTCTTGGTTCTCAAGAGCTTCAGAGATCAGCACTGGAGCCTCTGTGGGTGGATTTTTTTTCGAACACATTAATACCATACTCTTTGGATCTTTCGGTAAAGTCACGTGACTTTACGCCACAAATAATAGCTCAACGAAATGGCTTTTCACGTGGTAATTTACAGAAGCCAAATATTCTAAATACATGTTGATTCTAAATGTGGAGGGAAAAACCAGAGAACCCGGAAAAAAATCCACGTGACCATGGGGAGAGAGACACGCAAACTACAAATATATATAGGCGTCAGGGTCGGGATCGAAACCATGCCCTCCTGTATACCAGGCGAGGTAGTTAACATTTCATCACCTTGAGTCTCAAGACTCAGTGAGGCTCCAGCTTTGGCGAATTCCATTAAAGAGCTTTTGGAATGTGGGAGTGAATCCAATTACCCAGAAAATGCCCATGCATACGAGGGGGTGAAGAACAAACAGCAATACACATTGCATTTGTTCGTGAAGTACAAACACTTGTCATGTGCATGACTACCTTGCACAATGAGCAGCGCCGAGGTTTGATCTTTCTCGGTTTCACACGTGTAGCTTCCAGCATCTTCCAGCTGAACGTTGTGGATGAGAAGAGTAGCCATACCTCCCTCCTGCGTCATCTCGTACTTGTTACTCGGGTGCAGGGCTGAGGAGTCCTTTTTCCAGGTGACTCTCTCTGCTAGTTTGGAGAAGCGGCAGTGGAGAGTCGCTGTTCTAAACTCTTCTACCTCCTGGTCATGAAGAGCCTCACGAATTAGGCCTGGAGCCTCTGCAAGTAAAAAACGTAATACCACCATTTGCTTTTGAGAAACACAAAATAAAAATGCACAGTATATGTATCAATAGTCACATTCTACTTGAAGCAAACCATTAGAAATGGATTAATTGTTCAACGCAACAATTATATGACGTTTGTTAATATGTGAGAGAATAAGACCCTACTGTAACTGTTAAACATAATCATTGCAACACTTTTAACATCTATGTTACAAAACATACCTCTAACTGTGAGCACTGCCGATGTTTTCAGAACATCCCCAATCTCACATTCATATTTTCCTGCATCGCCTGTCTGCAAATTGTACACTGTGAGCTTAAGGATATGTCCAGTTTGGCCAATGGAGTATTTGGAGCCAGGTTGTAGCGGTAAAGTTCCTTTCCTCCATGCCACCTTCATGCCAGCTTTTGAGACTCGGCAGCTGAAAGTGATGTTCCCGAGTTCCTCTCCCTCCTGATCCTGGAGTTGCTCCTCAAGATGAATGGGGGCCTCTGTGGGTGGACGCCAGCATGATCCAGTACAAGCAGCAGACTTGGGTCACTCGAGCCGTGGAACAGGGGCAACTTTATGTTTCAAGTTAATTTTTTCAAGCAGGTGAGAACCCACGAGGTATGCGTAGTCACTTCACTTGAAAAGATGAAAGCCACACGAGACCACTGGACATTGCATGATAAGCAGAGCTCGCGGATTTGCAATTACAAAGTAAAGTGGCTCAGGTCACATAGCTAAAACACCATTAGCACGTAAACATCACACATTTGCTGTGAATTAAATCCCTCACTGAGAAGCTAATGGTTAATATTCCAACAGCTGAAAGAGAGATATGCACGAGGATATATTTAGAAGAGACAACTCTGATTGAAAACATACATTTGTTAATGCATGCCTAACAACATCACTATTACATATTATCATTGTCCAAACTCAATTTGACAGGTATCGCCATTTATTAATGTAATGTTTAACCAAGAAAATATTGAAATTCCGTCATTGGCTAAAGTTTACCTGTCACAGTGAGTTTTGCAGACGTTTGGAAATTTCCAGAGTCGCACGTGTACTGGTCACTGTCTCCCAGCTCCACTGAGCTGATGACGAGGCTGGCCTTCCTGCCCTCGCGCACCATGCGATACTTGGCTCCAGCTTTCAGGGTCTTCTTGCCCTTGAGCCACACGACAGGAGTGTCTCCACGAGATGTTTCACACGTCAGCTCAGCCTCGTGTCCTTCCTCAACTGACAATTCTCCCAGCTCTTTTGAGAATTCAATAGGGAGCTCTGAAAAAGAAAATTAACATTGTAATTGGTCGTTAACATGTTATTATAACAATTACACATTCAAATCTTACCTACGTGAGTTTTAACGAGGAGCTGTACCTGTGACGTTCAAGGTGGCACTGGTTTTCTCAAAGCCCGAGTCACAGACGTACTTTCCGCTGTCTATTAACTCCACGCAACTGATCTTGAGCACCGCTGCCTTTCCATCTCGCTTCACATGGAACCGCTTGTCGCTACCATCCAGCAGCTGATCATCGTGGTACCACTGCACTGGGGACCCGGCCTTGGAGGTCTCACACGAGAGGGTCACTTCACCCTCTGCCTGGACTTGGGTATCGGACAGAGGTTTGGTGAATACAACTCCAGCTTCTGAAAGAAAATATGCGGATATTTTTCTTTTAAGTCAGTTTCCGAATTAAAGACGTTACACACATGTCTCTGTCTACATAATACATTATGCACTTGAATATCATATCATCTGGTTTAGGTGTGTCGATCATAAGGACATCAGTGGGCTTGGGCAGGGCACTTTGCAAGAAAGGATGATGGTAAAGTGGATTAGACAACTGACAACCAAAGAAGAGAAGACGGCCGAGTGAACGGGCGCTGCAGGGATTGAGGGATGAGATTAGCTCGTGCAGGAGTGGGATGGATTGTGGCATCGTGAAACCATGAAGGAATGTGATGACGTGGAGATAATTGAATGAGTCTGAGAATAAACCATGTCTGATGATGATATAATAAATGCACATGGTAACATTTGTACATCACTATCAAGACGGGTTCCTTGATGGAAAAGGCCAATATCAATGTGTACAATATCACCCGTGGTTTCAAATGCATTACAATCACAAAAAACAAAGCATAATCGGATTCACCACAGATTATACATTTCATTATTTACCTGTCACAGTGAGCTTTGCTGATGTCTGGAAGTTTCCAGAGTCGCACGTGTACTGGTCACTGTCTCCCAGCTCCACTGAGCTGATGACGAGGCTGGCCTTCCTGCCCTCGCGCACCATGCGATACTTGGCTCCAGCTTTCAGGGTCTTCTTGCCCTTGAGCCACACGACAGGAGTGTCTCCACGAGATGTTTCACACGTCAGCTCAGCCTCGTGTCCTTCCTCAACTGACAATTCTCCCAGCTCTTTTGAGAATTCAATAGGGAGCTCTGAAAAAGAAAATTAACATTGTAATTGGTCGTTAACATGTTATTATAACAATTACACATTCAAATCTTACCTACGTGAGTTTTAACGAGGAGCTGTACCTGTGACGTTCAAGGTGGCACTGGTTTTCTCAAAGCCCGAGTCACAGACGTACTTTCCGCTGTCTATTAACTCCACGCAACTGATCTTGAGCACCGCTGCCTTTCCATCTCGCTTCACAAGGAACCGCTTGTCGCTACCATCCAGCAGCTGATCATCGTGGTACCACTGCACTGGGGACCCGGCCTTGGAGGTCTCACACGAGAGGGTCACTTCACCCTCTGCCTGGACTTGGGTATCGGACAGAGGTTTGGTGAATACAACTCCAGCTTCTGAAAGAAAATATGCGGATATTTTTCTTTTAAGTCAGTTTCCGAATTAAAGACGTTACACACATGTCTCTGTCTACATAATACATTATGCATTTGAATATCATATCATCTGGTTTAGGTGTGTCGATCATAAGGACATCAGTGGGCTTGGGCAGGGCACTTTGCAAGAAAGGATGATGGTAAAGTGGATTAGACAACTGACAACCAAAGAAGAGAAGACGGCCGAGTGAACGGGCGCTGCAGGGATTGAGGGATGAGATTAGCTCGTGCAGGAGTGGGATGGATTGTGGCATCGTGAAACCGTGAAGGAATGTGATGACGTGGAGATAATTGAATGAGTCTGAGAATAAACCATGTCTGATGATGATATAATAAATGCACATGGTAACATTTGTACATCACTATCAAGACGGGTTCCTTGATGGAAAAGGCCAATATCAATGTGTACAATATCACCCGTGGTTTCAAATGCATTACAATCACAAAAAACAAAGCATAATCGGATTCACCACAGATTATACATTTCATTATTTACCTGTCACAGTGAGCTTTGCTGATGTCTGGAAGTTTCCAGAGTCGCACGTGTACTGGTCACTGTCTCCCAGCTCCACTGAGCTGATGACGAGGCTGGCCTTCCTGCCCTCGCGCACCATGCGATACTTGGCTCCAGCTTTCAGGGTCTTCTTTCCCTTGAGCCACACGACAGGAGTGTCTCCACGAGATGTTTCACACGTCAGCTCAGCCTCGTGTCCTTCCTCAACTGACAATTCTCCCAGCTCTTTTGAGAATTCAATAGGGAGCTCTGAAAAAGAAAATGAACATTGTAATTGGTCGTTAACATGTTATTATAACAATTACACATTCAAATCTTACCTATGTGAGTTTTAACGAGGAGCTGTACCTGTGACGTTCAAGGTGGCACTGGTTTTCTCAAAGCCCGAGTCACAGACGTACTTTCCGCTGTCTATTAACTCCACGCAACTGATCTTGAGCACCGCTGCCATTCCATCTCGCTTCACATGGAACCGCTTGTCGCTACCATCCAGCAGCTGATCATCGTGGTACCACTGCACTGGGGACCCGGCCTTGGAGGTCTCACACGAGAGGGTCACTTCACCCTCTGCCTGGACTTGGGTATCGGACAGAGGTTTGGTGAATACAACTCCAGCTTCTGAAAGAAAATATACGGATATTTTTCTTTTAAGTCAGTTTCCGAATTAAAGACGTTACACACATGTCTCTGTCTACATAATACATTATGAATTTGAATATCATATCATCTGGTTTAGGTGTGTCGATCATAAGGACATCAGTGGGCTTGGGCAGGGCACTTTGCAAGAAAGGATGATGGTAAAGTGGATTAGACAACTGACAACCAAAGAAGAGAAGACGGCCGAGTGAACGGGCGCTGCAGGGATTGAGGGATGAGATTAGCTCGTGCAGGAGTGGGATGGATTGTGGCATCGTGAAACCATGAAGGAATGTGATGACGTGGAGATAATTGAATGAGTCTGAGAATAAACCATGTCTGATGATGATATAATAAATGCACATGGTAACATTTGTACATCACTATCAAGACGGGTTCCTTGATGGAAAAGGCCAATATCAATGTGTACAATATCACCCGTGGTTTCAAATGCATTACAATCACAAAAAACAAAGCATAATCGGATTCACCACAGATTATACATTTCATTATTTACCTGTCACAGTGAGCTTTGCTGATGTCTGGAAGTTTCCAGAGTCGCACGTGTACTGGTCACTGTCTCCCAGCTCCACTGAGCTGATGACGAGGCTGGCCTTCCTGCCCTCGCGCACCATGCGATACTTGGCTCCAGCTTTCAGGGTCTTCTTTCCCTTGAGCCACACGACAGGAGTGTCTCCACGAGATGTTTCACACGTCAGCTCAGCCTCGTGTCCTTCCTCAACTGACAATTCTCCCAGCTCTTTTGAGAATTCAATAGGGAGCTCTGAAAATGAAAATGAACATTGTAATTAGATATATAAATATTGTAATTATAACAATTACATATGTCTGCATTATGTTTGTGTAGTGGAGTAGAAAATACACATGGGTAAATTGGCCATATACAGTACATACAAACAGTGTGGGTCATGTAAGGTCTGGCAGGTGATGAAGTCACGGGTGGCGTAAACAGGCCAAAGTAATTAAGGGAGTCAAGGGACGAGGGCTGTTAGCGTTAAGTGGCGGCGTCACGGAGTCTGGGCCGTTGGACAGGTGCGGAGCTGGCGGGATAATGCCAGCGAGGCACGTGACAATTAATAAAGGCTGATTGGAAAGGGGATAAAAACGCTAGGTGATTTGGACGGCGGGGGAGTTGGCGAGAAGTGGAGACAGCAGCGGGTAGAGAGAGATGCGAAGAGTGGAAGCCCGGCAAGTGTTAGTGGAGAATAGATTGAGAGCCGAACCCAGATGACAATAGATAGCGATAGCGAGAGTTAGTGTTAGGAGAGTGGAGATTACGGTATAGGTAGGTACAGGGAGAGTTAGCGATAGACAAGTCACTGTGTGTGAGGAGATAGACAGGTCACTGTGTATGAAGAGATAGACAGAGTCACTGCGTGTGAAGAGATAGACAGGTCACTGTGTATGAAGAGACAGACAAGTCACTGTGTGTGAGGAGATAGACAGGTCACTGTGTATGAAGAGATAGACAGAGTCACTGCGTGTGAAGAGATAGACAGGTCACTGTGTATGAAGAGACAGACAAGTCACTGTGTGTGAGGAGATAGACAGGTCACTGTGTATGAAGAGATAGACAGAGTCACTGCGTGTGAAGAGATAGACAGAACCACTGTGGGTGAAGAGATATACGAGTCACTGTGTGTGAGGAGATAGAGAGAGTCACTGTGTGTGAAGAGATAGAGAGAGTCACTGTGTGTGAAGAGATAGACGAGTCACTGTGTGTGAGGAGATAGAGAGTCACTGTGTGTGAGGAGATAGAGAGAGTCACTGTGTGTGAAGAGATAGACAGGTCACTGTGTGTGCGGAGATAGAGATAGGAACACTGTGTGTGCGGTGAGAGAAGAAGAGACTGTGTGTGGAGACAAGGAGTATGAGCGGACGGTGCTGAGGGGAATTCGAGTGTTCGAGTTGGCGGAGCGCGGAGAGGAGAAATTATATTGTGTGTGTGTGTGAAATTATATAGTGTGTGTGTGAAATTATATAGTGTGTGTATGAAATTATATAGTGTGTGTGTGAAATTATATAGTGTGTGTGTGTGAAATTATATAGTGTGTGTGTGTGTGAAATTATATAGTGTGTGTGTGTGTGTGAAATTATATAGTGTGTGTGTGTGAAATTATATAGTGTGTGTGTGTGAAATTATATAGTGTGTGTGTGAAATTATATAGTGTGTGTGTGAAATTATATAGTGTGTGTGTGTGTGAAATTATATAGTGTGTGTGTGTGTGAAATTATATAGTGTGTGTGTGTGTGAAATTATATAGTGTGTGTGTGAAATTATATATAGTGTGTGTGTGTGTGAAATTATATATAGTGTGTGTGTGAAATTATATATAGTGTGTGTGTGAAATTATATATAGTGTGTGTGTGTGAAATTATATATAGTGTGTGTGTGTGAAATTATATATATAGTGTGTGTGTGTGAAATTATATAGTGTGTGTGTGTGTGAAATTATATAGTGTGTGTGTGTGTGTGTGAAATTATATAGTGTGTGTGTGAAATTATATAGTGTGTGTGTGTGTGTGAAATTATATAGTGTGTGTGTGTGTGAAATTATATAGTGTGTGTGTGTGAAATTATATAGTGTGTGTGTGAAATTATATAGTGTGTGTGTGTGAAATTATATAGTGTGTGTGTGAAATTATATAGTGTGTGTGTGTGTGAAATTATATAGTGTGTGAAATTATATAGTGTGTGTGTGTGAAATTATATAGTGTGTGTGTGTGAAATTATATAGTGTGTGTGTGAAATTATATAGTGTGTGAAATTATATAGTGTGTGTGTGAAATTATATAGTGTGTGTGTGTGTGAAATTACATAGTGTGTGTGTGAAATTATATAGTGTGTGTGTGTGTGTGAAATTATATAGTGTGTGTGTGTGAAATTATATAGTGTGTGTGTGTGTGAAATTATATAGTGTGTGTGTGTGAAATTATATAGTGTGTGTGTGTGAAATTATATAGTGTGTGTGTATGTGTGAAATTATATAGTGTGTGTGTGTGAAATTATATAGTGTGTGTGTGTGTGAAATTATATAGTGTGTGTGTGTGTGTGAAATTATATAGTGTGTGTGTGTGTGTGAAATTATACAGTGTGTGTGTGAAATTATATAGTGTGTGTGTGTGAAATTATATAGTGTGTGTGTGTGTGTGTGAAATTATATAGTGTGTGTGTGTGAAATTATATAGTGTGTGTGTGTGAAATTATATAGTGTGTGTGTGTGTGTGAAATTATATAGTGTGTGTGTGTGTGTGAAATTATATAGTGTGTGTGTGTGTGAAATTATATAGTGTGTGTGTGTAAAATTATATAGTGTGTGTGTGTGAAATTATATAGTGTGTGTGTGTGAAATTATATAGTGTGTGTGTGTGTGAAATTATATAGTGTGTGTGTGTGTGAAATTATATAGTGTGTGTGTGTGAAATTATATAGTGTGTGTGTGTGAAATTATATAGTGTGTGTGTGTGTGAAATTATATAGTGTGTGTGTGTGTGAAATTATATATAGTGTGTGTGTGTGTGTGAAATTATATAGTGTGTGTGTGTGAAATTATATAGTGTGTGTGTGTGAAATTATATAGTGTGTGTGTGAAATTATATAGTGTGTGTGTGTGTGAAATTATATAGTGTGTGTGTGTGAAATTATATAGTGTGTGTGTAATTATATATATAGTGTGTGTGTGTAATGATACTGTGTGTGTGTAATTATATATAGTGTGTGTGTGAAATGATATAAAGTGTGTGTGTGAAATTATATATAGTGTGTGTGTGTGAAATTATATAGTGTGTGTGTGTGAAATTATATAGTGTGTGTGTGTAATTCTATAGTGTGTGTGTGTGAAATTATATAGTGTGTGTGTGTGTGTGAAATTATATAGTGTGTGTGTGTGTGTGAAATTATATAGTGTGTGTGTGTGTGTGAAATTATATAGTGTGTGTGTGAAATTATATAGTGTGTGTGTGTGTGTGTGAAATTATATAGTGTGTGTGTAATTATATATAGTGTGTGTGTGTGTAATGATACTGTGTGTGTGTGTGTAATGATATATAGTGTGTGTGTGTAATGATATATAGTGTGTGTGTGAAATGATATAAAGTGTGTGTGTGAAATTATATATTTTGTGTGTGTGTGAAATTATATAGTGTGTGTGTGTAATGATATATATAGTGTGTGTGTGTAATGATATATAGTGTGTGTGTGTAATGATATATAGTGTGTGTGTGTAATGATATATAGTGTGTGTGTGTAATGATATATAGTGTGTGTGTAATGATATATAGTGTGTGTGTAATGATATATAAAGTGTGTGTGTGTGTAATGATATATATAGTGTGTGTGTAATGATATATAGTGTGTGTGTAATGATATATAAAGTGTGTGTGTGTGTGTAATGATATATAGTGTGTGTGTGTAATGATATATAGTGTGTGTGTGTAATGATATATAGTGTGTGTGTGTAATATATAAAGTGTGTGTGTGTGTAATGATATATAGTGTGTGTGTGTGTGTAATGATATATAGTGTGTGTGTGTAATGATATATAGTGTGTGTGTGTGTGCGGAACAATGGAAATAAAAGTGACGGTGGAAGAAAGGCGATTGTCGTCCGAGTGAATCCAAGGCACTAAATTTGTATTCAGGAGGAGCTGTACCTGAAACAGTCAAGGTGGCACTGGTTTTCTCAAAGCCCGAGTCACAGACGTACTTCCCGCTGTCCATTAGCTCCACGCAACTGATCTTAAGCGTGGCTGCCTTTCCATCTCGCTTCACATGGAACCGCTTGTCACGACCATCCAGCAGCTGATCCTCGTGGTACCACTGCACTGGTGACCCGGCCTTGGAGGTCTCACACGAGAGGGTCACTTCACCCTCTGCCTGGACTTGGGTATCGGACAGAGATTTGGTGAATACAACTCCAGCTTCTGAAATATATAATGCGGATAATTTAAAAAGTTAATTTCTGATCTAAAGACGTCAAACACATGTCGCTGTCTAAATAAATACATTATGCATTTGGATATCATATCATCTGGTTTCGGTGTGTCGATCATAAGGACATCAGTGGGCTTGGGCAGGACACTTTGCAAGAAGGGATGATGGTCAAGGGGATGAGACGACTGACGTAGAGGCAGTCAAGGAAGAGAAGACGGTCGAGCGAACGAGCGCTGCAGTGATTGAGTGATGAGATCAGCTCATGTGCAGGAGTGAGATGGATTGTGGCATCGTGAAACCATGAGGGAATGTGATGGCGTGGAGAGAAATTAATGAAGCTGAGGGTAGGCCATGTCTGATGATGGAATTAATAATTGACATGGTAATATTTGGATATCACCATCAAGAGTATACTTTGAGGTGATATCAAAAGGTAACGGGTTCCTTGTTGGAAAAGGCCAACATCAATGTGTACAATATCACCCGTGGTATCAAATGTATTACAATCACAAAAAACAAAGCATCGTCGGACACACCGGAGATGATTCAGTTGAATGTTTACCTGTGACAGTGAGCTTTGCTGACGTCTGGAAGTTTCCAGAGTCGCACGTGTACTGGTCACTGTCTCCCAGCTCCACTGAGCTGATGACGAGGCTGGCCTTCCTGCCCTCGCGCACCATGCGATACTTGGCTCCAGCTTTCAGGGTCTTGTCACCCTTGAGCCACACGACAGGAGTGTCTCCACGAGATGTTTCACACGTCAGCTCAGCCTCGTGGGCTTCCTCAACCGATAAAGATCCCAACTCCTTGGAGAATTCAACAGGAAGCTCTGAAAACGATAATGAATATTGTAATTGGATATATAAATATTGTAATTATAACAATTACATAAGTCTGAATTATGTTTGTATTCAGGAGGAGCTGTACCTGTAACAGTCAAGGTGGCACTGGTTTTCTCAAAGCCCGAGTCACAGACGTACTTCCCGCTGTCTATTAACTCCACGCAACTGATCTTGAGCACCGCTGCCTTTCCATCTCGCTTCACATGGACCCGCTTGTCGCTACCATCCAGCAGCTGACCATCGTGGTACCACTGCACTGGTGACCCGGCCTTGGAGGTCTCACACGAGAGGGTCACTTCACCCTCTGCCTGGACTTGGGTATCGGACAGAGGTTTGGTGAATACAACTCCAGCTTCTGAAAGAAAATATGCAGATATTTTCTTTTAAGCCAGTTTCCGAATAAAAGACGTTACACACATGTCTCTGTCTACATAAATACATTATGCATTTGCATATCATATCATCTGGTTTAGGTGTGTCGATCATAAGGACATCAGTGGGCTTGGGCAGCACACTTTACAAGAAGGGATGATGGTCAAGGGGATTAGACAACTGACAACTAAGGAAGAGAAGATGGCCGAGTGAATGGGCGCTGCAGGGATTCAGGGATGAGATCAGCTCATGCAGGAGTGGGATGGATTGTGGCATCGTGAACCATGAGGGAATATGAAGGCGTGGAGATAATTGATGGAGTCTGAGGATAAACCATGTCTGATGATGATATCATAAATGCACATGGTGATATTTGGGCATCACTATCAAGACGGGTTCCTTGATGGAAAAGGCCAATATCAATATGTACAATATCACCCGTGGTTTCAAATGCATTACAATCACAAAAAAAAAGCATAATCAGATTCACCACAGATTATACATTTCATTGTTTACCTGTCACAGTGAGCTTTGCTGATGTCTGGAAGTTTCCAGAGTCGCACGTGTACTGGTCACTGTCTCCCAGCTCCACTGAGCTGATGACGAGGCTGGCCTTCCTGCCCTCGCGCACCACGCGATACTTGGCTCCAGATTTCAGGATCGTGTCACCCTTGAGCCACACGACAGGAGTGTCTCCACGAGATGTTTCACACGTCAGTTCAGCCTCGTGTCCTTCCTCAACCGATAAAGATCCCAACTCCTTGGAGAATTCAACAGGAAGCTCTGAAAACGAAAATGAAAATTGTAATTGGATATATAAATATTGTAATTATAACAATTACATTTTCAAGTCTGAATTATGTTTGTATTCAGGAGGAGCTGTACCTGTAACAGTCAAGGTGGCACTGGTTGTCTCAAAGCCCGAGTCACAGACGTACTTCCCGCTGTCCGTTAGCTCCACGTGACTGATCTTAAGCGTGGCTGCCTTTCCATGTCGCTTCACATGGACCCGCTTGTTAAGACCATCCAGCAGCTGACCATCGTGGTACCACTGCACTGGTGACCCGGCCTTGGAGGTCTCACACGAGAGGGTCACTTCACCCTCTGCCTGGACTTGGGTATCGGACAGAGGTTTGGTGAATACAACTCCAGCTTCTGAAAGAAAATATGCAGATATTTTTCGATTTAAAGCTTTCGTGAATGCAAGGATTCATCTTCTTTGGTTCTTTGGGTAAAGTCACGTAGAATGGGAATAAAATAATAAATTGATAAAATAAAATAACAATAAAATTCTCACGACGTTTCGGCCACAACACTAGCGGCCTTCATCAGGTGAAGGGATGAGACTCTCTGGAGGACAGCGCTGGAGCGAACACAGCCAAGCTCAGACCGCGACCTTTAAGCTGTGTGAGAAGAAACAGAGCGCCTTGACAAAGGAATTAGCATAGAATTTAGCATTGAAATAGCTGAGTGATTAGCTTGTGACTGGTCACAGAAATGGCTATGTTAAAGTCAAAGCATACACATCCACAGAGGCACCCCTTGACAAAGGAATTAGCATAGAATTTAGCATTGAAATAGCTGAGTGATTAGCTTGTGACTGGTCACAGAAATGGCTATGTTAAAGTCAAAGCATACACATCCACAGAATAAATGTACTCAATATATTCTTCAATAAGCTGAGCTATTAACAGTAACTGGGTATACACTACACTATATAATGAATACTATATACTAAACCAATAAAAAACTAAAATATAAATTACCTCAATGTTATCAATAAACTCTATATATTCTCTAATCAGCTAAGCTACCAACAATGAGTCGTTATATATCACAATGCTATTTGGCGAAAAAATGGGTGGATTCTTACCCTCAACTTTTAGCACCACGGATAGCTACGAGCCCCGTTCAGACGGACGAGTTCATCCATCGTCGGAACAGAGGAGGGGGAGAGAGACAGCTGCGAGGCGCTGTTATACTCCACGTTGTAAACCATACCATTAACCGTGGTGTGAGAGGTATTAAGAGTCAATGCCAGCGAAAGAGCTGTGGTCTCAAGGTCATCGTAAAATACAATAAATTAACAAAGGAAATGGTTTAAAACATCTTTCCAATGGTTACTAAGCCAGAATCCATCTTCTCGGTTGAAATTGTCTCTGTGCTTGTATATGTGAATGGCCTCATGAACGAATCTCTCATGGTAGCCGGTTGGTTTGCAAAGAACCTCCGTCTTGGAGAAGTCAATGTCATGTGAGCCCACTGAATTATAACAGTGATCTGCCACAGCAGAGGAGTTCGTTCTACCGTGTTTCAAGTCTGCTTTATGTTCGCGGATGCGGTCCGAGATATGTTGTTTGGTTTCTCCAAAGTAGCTACTACCACAGAGGCACTTTAGTTTGTAAACGCCCGGGTACTGTATGTCTGGAACAGCATCGTTTACAAATGGAACCAGATCACGGATTTTATGTACTGTGTTGAATCAGACCTGGATCTTGTGTTTATTCAGGATTTTGGAGATATTTTTAGTGACCCCTGGAATGTAGGGTAAGGTGATGGTTTTGAGTGGCTCCACAAGAGGACCCTTCTTCATGACTGGAGTGATGGCTTTGCGGATTGTGTAGTCGGAGTAACCATTAGCCCTGGGAGCCTGGTGTACGTGCTTGAGTTCACTGGTAATGTGTTCCTGGTCGGAAATGCATTGGGCTCTATGGTATAGAGTCTTGATGAGGGAATTCTTCTGGGATGGATGGTGGTGGGAATCCGGTTTCAAGTAAGCATCTGTATGGGTAGCTTTCCTGTAGACAGAGTGGCTCATTGAACCATCATGTCTCCTTTTAATTAAGACATCCAAAAAGGGTAGTTTGCCTTCTTTTTCGACCTCCATGGTAAATCTGATGGCTGGGTGTATGGAATTGATGTGGTCGCGGAATTGGTCTAGAGCAGGCTGGCCATGTGGCGAGATGACAAAAGTGTCATCCACGTACCTCTTCCATAAGGTCGGGCGTAGAGTGGCAGTCTGGATGGCGTCAGTTTCTAATTTTTTCCAAAATTTTCCATGAATACGTTGGCTACAACCAGAGATAGGGGGGAGCCCATTGGGGTGCCCTCAGTTTGTTTGTAGAAAGTTCCATTCCAGGTGAAGTATGTGTTGGTTAAGCAATGTCTCACCAGGGGGGGTACAGCAGTATGCAGTCCTTGATGAACCAGGTCTTCAATGATGGCGATGGTGTCAGGTACCGGGACTTAGGTGAACAAGGACATCACATCAAAACTGACAAGCAGGTCGTCTGGGGACAGGGGAATGCCTTTGATTGTCGATACCAGGTGAGTAGAATTTATTACCGCAGGAGGTGGTTTTTCCAGTGAAAGGTCGCAGTATATCAGCAAGTAAACGTGCCAGTTCATAGGTGGGGGAGTTGATAGTAGAGACGATGGGACGAAGGGGTGTATCTTCTTTGTGTATCTTTGGAAGGCCATATAATATTGGTGATCTGGCAGCAGAGGGGTTTCAACGAGAACTGTTTGGTCTGATCAATTAATGCTGTTGAATCAGAGGTGATTTGCAGTCACGAAAGCTTTAAATCGAAATTTATCCGCCTCTATGGGGAGGGATTCCACGCAACCTTAAGATAATTCAACAGACTCCGGGATAAGAAGGCTCAACTAATCGAGTCTCTCACCTTTCTGAAGAGATGCCGCGACTCTAAGGTAATACCAACCGCATTCACACTAACCTCTGCTGCTGCAACTTCTCTCAATGCAAAACGAATTCTAGCTAGAACTAGCTTCGCTCTCATCTCAGAAAAAATCAGACTTACACCTCACCGAACACGATCAGTTAGACAAGACACTCTACAAATCACACTTAACTTTGACAGCAACAATGTCTACATCGGATTGGGAACATGTAGACAATATGACTACCTCTTCGGCTGCCACTATGTCGACCAAATGTAGGGGAAATTTGATTTCCAAATTCAATCACCTCTCCAACAAAAAATCGGATCCACACACCGAAAAGATAGACGTCAAAAAAGTCGTAATTAATCGCAGTAACAGTTCCATTTCTGATGGTCTGAAATCCGTTTTAGTTAAAGGTCTAAACTTTGCTGTCACACCGAGACACATACCGGTTAATGATATCATTGCCCATGTCGACGTTGCACTCAAGGGCTTGAGTCACATCTCTGCAGACGTAGCAAGATCTGAAATCGCTGCAACCCTCAAAAACGCTAAGTTGCCACCTAGCAACATCAGCAAAGATGAACACTTTGAATTATCTCAATTAAAAAAGAGAGATGATATTGTCGTCCTCTCAGCCGACAAGGGCAATGCCACTGTCATCATGGACAACACAGAATATAACAACACAATTCAAGAACTACTCAACGATGGCAGCTATACAAAAATAAAAAGAGATCCCACCAACAGCCTGGTTACCAAAACGAACAAAATCATCTCTGATTCAACAGCATTAATTGATCAGACCAAACAGTTCTCGTTGAAACCCTGTGTTGCCAGACCACCAATATTATATGGCCTTCCAAAGATACACAAAGAAGATACACCCCTTCGTCCCGTCGTCTCTACTAACAACTCCCCCACCTATGAACTGGCACGTTTCCTTGCTGATATACTGCGACCTTTCACTGGAAAAACCACCTCCTGCGGTACTAAATTCTACTCACCTGGTATCGACAATCAAAGGCATTTCCCTGTCCCCAGACGACCTGCTTGTCAGCTTTGATGTGGTGTCCTTGTTCACCAAAGTCCCGGTACCTGACACCATCGCTATCATTGAAGACCTGGTTCATCAAGGACTGCATACTGATGTACCCCCCCTGGTGAGACATTGCTTAACCAACACATACTTCACCTGGAATGGAACTTTCTACAAACAAACTGAGGGCACCCCAATGGGCTCCCCCTATCTCCGGTTGTAGCCAACGTATTCATGGAAAAATTTGGAAAAAAAATTGAAACTGACGCCATCCAGACTGCTACTCTACGCCCGACCTTATGGAAGAGGTACGTGGATGACACTTTTGTCATCTGGCTACATGACCAGCCTGCTCTAGACCAATTCCGCGACCACATCAATTCCATACACCCAGCCATCAGATTTACTATGGAGGTCGAAAAAGATGGCAAACTACCATTTTTGGATGTCTTAATTAAAAGGAGACATGATGGTTCAATAAGCCACTCTGTCTACAGGAAAGCTACCCATACAGATGCTTACTTGAAACCGGATTCCCACCACCATCCATCCCAGAAGAACTCCCTCATCAAGACTGTATACCATAGAGCCCAATGCATTTCCGACCAGGAACACATTACCAGTGAACTCAAGCACGTACACCAGGCTCTCAGGGCTAATGGTTACTCCGACTACACAATCCGCAAAGCCATCACTCTAGTCATGAAGAAGGATCCTCTTGTGGAGCCACTCAAAACCATCACCTTACCCTACATTGCAGGGGTCACTAAAAATATCTCCAAAATCCTGAATAAACACAAGATCCAGGTCCGATTCAACACAGTACATAAAATCCGTGATCTGGTTCCATCTGTAAACGATGCTGTTCCAGACATACAGTACCCGGGCGTTTACAAACTAAAGTCCCTCTGTGGTAGTAGCTACTTTGGAGAAACCAAACAACATATCTCTGACCGCATCCGCGAACATAAAGCAGACTTGAAACACGATAGAACGAACTTCTCTGCTGTGGCATATCACTGTTATAATTCAGTGGGCTCACATGACATTGACTTCTCCAAGACGGAGGTTCTTTGCAAACCAACCGGCTACCATGAGAGATTCGTTCATGAGGCCATTCACATATACAAGCACAGAGACAATTTCAACCGAGAAGATGGATTCTGGCTTAGTAACCATTGGAAAGATGTTTTAAACCATTTCCATTCTTAATTAATTGTATTTTACGATGACCTTCAGACCGCAGCTCTTTCGCTGGCATTGACTCTTAATACCTCTCACACCACGGTTAATGGTATGGTTTACAACATGGAGTATAACAGCGCCTCGCAGCTGTCTCTTTCCCCCTCCTCCGTTGCGACCATGGATGAACTCGTTCGTCTGAACGGGGCTCGTAGCTATCCGTGGTGCTAAAAGTTGAGGGTAAGAATCCACCAATTTTTTCGCCATATAGCATTGTGATATATAACGACTTATTGTTGGTAGCTTAGCTGATTGGAGAATATATAGAGTTTATTGATAACATTGAGGTAATTTATATTTTAGTTTTTTTATTGGTTTACTATATGGTATTCATTATATAGTGTAGTGTATACCCAGTTACTGTTAATAGCTCAGCTTATTGAAGAATATATTGAGTACATTTATTCTGTGGATGTGTATGCTTTGAATTTAACATAGCCATTTCTGTGACGAGTCACAAGCTAATCACTCAGCTCCATTGGAAACCTCATTTGCCAGTGACAAAATATGATAATTGTTTTTTTACCCTTTTATCTGGCAACAAAACTGACGCCTTTTTTTACAAGGAGTCATGTTTACATTGACCACGATACCTGCGGTCGGAACGCAAACAAAAAACAACAACTCTGATAATGTATGCACTGTCCTTGAAATGGATTGGTCCACACCCGAGACAGCTTTCTTTAGAGCCTCGTCTCACATGGTGTTGGACCAGAAGACGCCAAAAGGCGCGCAACTCAAAGGCAATGCACCATCAGAGTATGAGAGCTCGGGGTAAGCATTTACACCATTGGAAACCTCATTTGCCAGTAACAAAATATGATAATTGTTTTTTACCCTTTTATCTGGCAACAAAACTGACGCCTTTTTTACAAGGAGTCATTTTTACATTTACCACAATACCTGCGGTCGGAACGCAAACAAAAAACAACAACTCTGAAAATGTATGCACTGTCCTTGAAATTGATTGGTCCACACCCGAGACAGCTTTCTTTAGAGCCTCGTCTCACATGGTGTTGGAACAGAAGACGCCAATAGGCGCACAACTCAAAGGCAATGCACCATTAGAGTATGAGAGCTCGGGGTAAGCATTTACACCAATTATCATATTTTGTTACTGGCAAATGAGGTTTCTAATGGATGTGTATGCTTTGACTTTAACATAGCCATTTCTGTGACCAGTCACAAGCAAATTACTCAGCTATTTCAATGCTAAATTCTATGCTAATTCCTTTGTCAAGGCGCTATGTTTCTTCTCACATAGCTTAAAGGTCGCGGTCTGAGCTTGGCTGTGTTCGCTCCAGCGCTGTCCTCCAGACAGTCTCGTCCCTTCACCTGATGAAGGCCGCTTGTGTTGTGGCCGAAACGTCGTGAGAATTTTATTGTGTTATTTTATTTTATCAATTTATTATTTTATTCTCATTCTACGTGACTTTACCGAAAGAACCAAAGAAGATGCAGATATTTTCTTTTAAGCCAGTTTCCGAATAAAAGACGTTACACACATGTCTCTGTCTACATAAATACATTATGCATTTGAATATCATATCATCGGGTTTAGGTGTGTCGATCATAAGGACATCAGTGGGCTTGGGCAGCACACTTTGCGAGAAAGGATGGTGGTAAAGTGGGTTGGACAACTGACAACCAAGGAAGAGAAGACGGCCGAGTGAATGGGCGCTGTAGGGATTGAGGGATGAGATTAGCTTGTGCAGGAGTGGGATGGATTGTGGCATCGTGAACCATGAGGGAATGTGATGGCGTGGAGATAAATGAATGAGTCTGAGGATAAAACCATGTCTGATGATGGTATTAATAAATGCACAAGGTAATACTTGGACATCACTATCAAGACGGGTTCCTTGATGGAAAAGGCCAATAGCAATGTGTACAATATCACCCGTGGTTTCAAATGCATTACAATCACAAAAAAACAAAGCATAATCGGATTCACCACAGATTATACATTTAATTATTTACCTGTCACAGTGAGCTTTGCTGATGTCTGGAAGTTTCCAGAGTCGCACGTGTACTGGTCACTGTCTCCCAGCTCCACTGAGCTGATGACGAGGCTGGCCTTCCTGCCCTCGCGCACCATGCGATACTTGGCTCCAGCTTTCAGGGTCTTCTTGCCCTTGAGCCACACGACAGGAGTGTCTCCACGAGATGTTTCACACGTCAGCTCAGCCTCGTGGGCTTCCTCAACCGATAAAGATCCCAACTCCTTGGAGAATTCAACAGGAAGCTCTGAAAATAAAAATGAAAATTGTAATTGGATATATAAATATTGTAATTATAACAATTACATAAGTCTGAATAATGTTTGTATTCAGGAGGAGCTGTACCTGTAACAGTTAAGGTGGCACTGGTTTTCTCAAAGCCCGAGTCACAGACGTACTTCCCGCTGTCCGTTAGCTCCACGCGACTGATCTTAAGCGTGGCTGCCTTTCCATCTCGCTTCACATGGACCCGCTTGTCGCTACCATCCAGCAGCTGACCATCGTGGTACCACTGCACTGGTGACCCGGCCTTGGAGGCCTCACACGAGAGGGTCACTTCACCCTCTGCCTGGACTTGGGTATCGGACAGAGGTTTGCTGAATACAACTCCAGCTTCTGAAAGAAAATATGCAGATATTTTCTTTTAAGCCAGTTTCCGAATAAAAGACGTTACACACATGTCTCTGTCTACATTAATACATTATGCATTTGAATATCATATCATCTGGTTTAGGTGTGTCGATCATGAGGACATCAGTGGGCTTGGGCAGGACACTTTGCGAGAAAGGATGATGGTAAAGTGGATTGGACAACTGACAACTAAGGAAGAGAAGACGGCCGAGTGAACGGGGGTTGCAGGGATTGAGGGATGAGATTAGCTCGTGCAGGAGTGGGATGGATTGTGGCATCGTGAACCATGAGGGAATGTGAAGGCGTGGAGATAAATGAATAAGTCTGAGGATAAACCATGTCTGATGATGATATAATAAATGCACATGGTAATATTTGGACATCACTATCAAGACGGGTTCCTTGATGGAAAAGGCCAATTTCAATGTGTACAATATCACCCGTGGTTTCAAATGCATTACAATCACAAAAAAACACAAAGCATAATCGGATTCACCACAGATTATACATTTCATTATTTACCTGTCACAGTGAGCTTTGCTGATGTCTGGAAGTTTCCAGAGTCGCACGTGTACTGGTCACTGTCTCCCAGCTCCACTGAGCTGATGACGAGGCTGGCCTTCCTGCCCTTGCGCACCATGTGATACTTGGCTCCAGCTTTCAGGATCTTATCACCCTTGAGCCACACGACAGGAGTGTCTCCACGAGATGTTTCACATGTCAGCTCAGCCTCGTGGGCTTCCTCAACCGATAAAGATCCCAACTCCTCGGAGAATTCAACAGGAAGCTCTGAAAGCGAAAATGAAAATAGTAATTGGATATATAAATATTGTAATTATAACAATTACATATTCAAGTCTGAATTATGTTTGCATTCAGGAGGAGCTGTACCTGCAACAGTCAAGGTGGCACTGGTTTTCTCAAAGCCCGAGTCACAGACGTACTTCCCGCTGTCCGTTAGCTCCACGCGACTAATCTTAAGTGTGGCTGCCTTTCCATCTCGCTTCACACGGCACCGCTTGTCGCTACCATCCAGCAGCTGATCCTCGTGGTACCACTGCACTGGGGACCCAGCCTTGGAGGTCTCACACGAGAGGGTCACTTCACCCTCTGCCTCGACTTTCGTATTGGACAGAGATTTGGTGAATACAACTCCAGCTTCTGAAAGAATATATGCAGATATTTTTTGAGTTAGTTTCCGATTTAAAGACGTCAAACACATGTCACTATCTACATAAATACATTATGCATTTGGATATCATATCATCTGGTTTAGGGGTGTCGATCATAAGGACATCAGTGGGCTTGTGCGGGACACTTTGCGAGAAAGGATGATAGTTAAGTGGATTAGACAACTGACAACCAAGGAAGAGAAGACGGCAGGGATTGAGGGATGAGATTAGCTCGTGCAGGAGTGGGATGGATTGTGGCATCGTGAAACCATGAGGGAATATGAAGGCGTTGAGATAATTGAATGAATCTGAGGATAAACCATGTCTGATGATGATATCATGAATGCACATGGTAATATTTGGACTTCACTATCAAGACGGGTTCCTTGATGGAAAAGGCCAATATCAATGTGTACAATATCACCCGTGGTTTGAAATGCATTACAATCACAAAAAAAAGCATAATCAGATTCACCACAGATTATACATTTCATTATTTACCTGTAACAGTGAGCTTTGCTGATGTCTGGAAGTTTCCAGAGTCGCACGTGTACTGGTCACTGTCTCCAAGGTCCACTGAGCTGATGACGAGGCTGGCCTTCCTGCCCTCGCGCACCATGCGATACTTGGCTCCAGCTTTCAGGGTCTTCTTGCCCTTGAGCCACACCACAGGAGTGTCGCCACGAGATGTTTCACATGTCAGCTCAGCCTCGTGTCCTTCCTCAACCGACAGCTCTCCCAGCTCTTTGGAGAATTCAACAGGGAGCTCTGAAGAAGAAAATCAACATTGTAATTGTACATATAAATATTATAATTAAAGTAATTTCACATTCAAGTCTGAATTATGATTGTATTCAGAACGAGCTGTACCTGTTACTGTCAAGGTGGCACTGGTTTTCTCAAAGCCCGAGTCACAGACGTACTTCCCGCTGTCCGTTAGCTCCACGCGACTGATCTTGAGCACCGCTGCCTTTCCATCTCGCTTCACACGGAACCGCTTGTTGCTACCATCCAGCAGCTGACCATCGTGGTACCACTGCACTGGTGACCCGGCCTTGGAGGTCTCACACGAGAGGGTCACTTCACCCTCTGCCTGGACTTTGGTATCGGACAGATGTTTGGTGAAAACAACTCCAGCTTCTGAAAGAAAATGTGGATAATGTTTTTATTTATTTATTTTCCCATTGAAAGAGATATGTTAAACACGTCCCTTTCTACGAAAACACATTTCGCATATGGATATCATATCATCTGGTTTAGACTTGTCGGCCACAAGGACATCAGTGGACTTGGGCAGGACACTTTGCAAGAAGGGATGATGGTCAAGGGGATGAGACGACTGACGTAGAGACAGCCAAGGAAGAGAAGACAGTCGAGTGAATGAGCGCTGCAGTGATTGAGTGATGAGATCAGCTCATGTGCAGGAGTGAGATGGATTGTGGCATTGTGAAACCATGAGGGAATGTGATGGCATGAAAATAAATTCATGAAGCTGAGGATAAACCATGGCTCATGATGATGATGATATGAATAATTGAGGTGAATAATTCCATTGACCAATATCAATTTACACACTATCACCCGTGGTTCAAAAGTCATTACATTCACATATAGAAACTCATTGTCGGATACTCCACAGATGATACAATTCATTGTTTACCTGTCACAGTGAGCTTTGCTGATGTCTGGAAGTTTCCAGAGTCGCACGTGTACTGGTCACTGTCTCCCAGGTCCACTGAGCTGATGACGAGGCTGGCCTTCCTGCCCTCGCGCACCATGCGATACTTGGCTCCAGCTTTCAGGGTCTTGTCACCCTTGAGCCACACGACAGGAGTGTCTCCACGAGATGTTTCACACGTCAGCTCAGCCTCGTGTCCTTCCTCAACCGATAAAGATCCCAACTCCTTGGAGAATTCAATAGGAAGCTCTGAAAGCGAAAATGAAAATAGTAATTGGATATATAAATTTTGTTATTATAACAATTACATTTTCAAGTCTGAATTATGTTTGTATTCAGGAGGAGCTGTACCTGTAACAGTCAAGGTGGCACTGGTTTTCTCAAAGCCCGAGTCACAGACGTACTTCCCGCTGTCTGTTAGCTCCACGCGACTGATCTTAAGTGTGGCTGCCTTTCCATCTCGCTTCACATGGACCCGCTTGTCACGACCATCCAGCAGCTGATCCTCATGGTACCACTGCACTGGGGACCCGGCCTTGGAGGTCTCACACGAGAGGGTCACTTCACCCTCTGCCTGGACTTGGGTATTGGACAGAGGTTTGGTGAATACAACTCCAGCTTCTGAAAGAAAATATGCAAATACTTTTTTAAAGTTAGTTTCCGATTTAAAGACGTCAAACACACGTCACTATCTACATAAACACATTATGCATTTGGATATCATATCATCTGGTTTAGGTGTGTCGATCATAAGGACATCAGTGGGCTTGGGCAGGACACTTTGCGAGAAAGGATGATGGTTAAGTGGATTAGACAACTGACAACTAAGGAAGAGAAGACGGCCGAGTGAACGGGGGTTGCAGGGATTGAGGGATGAGATTAGCTCGTGCAGGAGTGGGATGGATTGTGGCATCGTGAAACCATGAGGGAATATGAAGGCGTTGAGAAAATTGAATGAATCTGAGGATAAACCACGGCTGATGATGATATAATAAATGCACCTGGTAATACTTGGACATCACTATCAAGACGGGTTCCTTGATGGAAAAGGCCAATAGCAACGTGTACAATATCACCCGTGGTTTCAAATGCATTACAATCACAAAAACAAAGCATCGTCGGACACACCAAAGATGATTCATTTGAATGTTTACCTGTGACAGTGAGCTTTGCTGACGTCTGGAAGTTTCCAGAGTCGCACGTGTACTGGTCACTGTCTCCCAGCTCCACTGAGCTGATGACGAGGCTGGCCTTCCTGCCCTTGCGCACCATGCGATACTTGGCTCCAGCTTTCAGGGTCTTGTCACCCTTGAGCCACACGACAGGAGTGTCTCCACGAGATGTTTCACACGTCAGCTCAGCCTCGTGGGCTTCCTCAACCGATAAAGATCCCAACTCCTTGGAGAATTCAACAGGAAGCTCTGAAAAACAGAATGGTTGGATGTTATACTAATTGAATAAATCATAACATTAAACCTTGAAAATACGATTATGTCTAATCTTGATTTGAAGCTTTCGTGACTCCAGGAATCCATACTCTTTGATTTGTTTGGTAAAGTCTCGTAGGTATAAAATAAAAGAAATCACGATGTTTGGGGCGCAAAACAAGCGTCCGTCATCAGGTGGGAAAGTTTTTAGGCTTTCCCACCTGATGACGGACGGTTGTGTTGCACCCGAAACGTCGTGATTTATTTTATTTTATACCTATGTGACTTTGCCGAAAGAACCAAAGAGTATGCTTATGTCTGGCTGCAGTAGACGTCTTACCTGTGACAGTCAAGGTGGCACTGGTTTTCTCAAAGCCCGAGTCACAGACGTACTTCCCGCTGTCCGTTAGCTCCACGCCACTGATCTTCAGCGTGGCTGCCTTTCCATCTCGCTTCACACAGAACCGCTTGTCGCTACCATCCAGCAGCTGATCCTCGTGGTACCACTGCACTGGTGACCCGGCCTTGGAGGTCTCACACGAGAGGGTCACTTCACCCTCTGCCTGGACTTTGGTATCGGACAGAGGTTTGGTGAAAACAACTCCAGCTTCTGAAAGAAAATGTGGATAATGTTTTTTTTTTATTTTCCCATTGAAAGAGATATGTTAAACACGTCCCTTTCTACGAAAACACATTTCGCATATGGATATCATATAATCTGGTTTAGACTTGTCGGCCACAAGGACATCAGTGGACTTGGGCAGGACACTTTGCAAGAAGGGATGATGGTCAAGGGGATGAGACGACTGACGTAGAGACAGCCAAGGAAGAGAAGACGGTCGAGTGAATGAGCGCTGCAGTGATTGAGTGATGAGATCAGCTCATGTGCAGGAGTGAGATGGATTGTGGCATTGTGAAACCATGAGGGAATGTGATGGCGTGGAGAGAAATTCATGAAGCTGAGGATAAACCATGGCTGATGATGATGATGATATGAATAATTGAGGTGAATAATTCCGTTGACCAATATCAATTAACACACTATCACCCGTGGTTCAAAAGTCATTACATTCACATATAGAAACTCATTGTCGGATACTCCACAGATGATACAATTCATTGTTTACCTGTCACAGTGAGCTTTGCTGATGTCTGGAAGTTTCCAGAGTCGCACGTGTACTGGTCACTGTCTCCCAGCTCCACTGAGCTGATGACGAGGCTGGCCTTCCTGCCCTCGCGCACCATGCGATACTTGGCTCCAGCTTTCAGGGTCTTCTTGCCCTTGAGCCAAACGACAGGAGTGTCTCCCCGAGATGTTTCACACGTCAGCTCAGCCTCGTGTCCTTCCTCAACTGACAATTCTCCCAGCTCTTTTGAGAATTCAACAGGAAGCTCTGAAAGCGAAAATTAAAATTGTAATTGGATATATAAATATTGTAATAATAACAATTACATGAGTCTGAATTATGTTTGTACTCAGGAGGAGCTGTACCTTTAACAGTCAAGGTGGCACTGGTTTTCTCAAAGCCCGAGTCACAGATGTACTTCCCGCTGTCCGTTAGCTCCACGCGACTGATCTTAAGTGTGGCTGCCTTTCCATCTCGCTTCACATGGAACCGCTTGTCACGACCATCCAGCAGCTGATCCTCGTGGTACCACTGCACTGGGGACCCGGCCTTGGAGGTCTCACACGAGAGGGTCACTTCACCCTCTGCCTGGACTTGGGTATTGGACAGAGGTTTGATGAATACAACTCCAGCTTCTGAAAGAAAATATGCAGATACTTTTTAAAAGTTCGTTTCCGATTTAAAGACGTCAAACACACGTCACTATCTACATAAACACATTATGCATTTGGATATCATATCATCTGGTTTAGGTGTGTCGATCATAAGGACATCAGTGGGCTTGGGCAGGACACTTTGCGAGAAAGGATGATGGTAAAGTGGATTGGACAACTGACAACCAAGGAAGAGAAGACGGCCGAGTGAACGGGCATTGCAGGGACTGAGGGATGAGATTAGCTCGTGCAGGAGTGGGATGGATTGTGGCATCGTGAAACCATGAGGGAACATGAAGGCATTGAGATAATTGAATGAATCTGAGGATAAACCATGTCTGATGATGATATAATAAATGCACCTGGTAATACTTGGACATCACTATCAAGACGGGTTCCTTGATGGAAAAGGCCAATAGCAACGTGTACAATATCACCCGTGGTTTCAAATGCATTACAATCACAAAAACAAAGCATCGTCGGACACACCAAAGATGATTCAGTTGAATGTTTACCTGTGACAGTGAGCTTTGCTGACGTCTGGAAGTTTCCAGAGTCGCACGTGTACTGGTCACTGTCTCCCAGCTCCACTGAGCTGATGACGAGGCTGGCCTTCCTGCCGTCGCGCACCATGCGATACTTGGCTCCAGCTTTCAGGGTCTTCTTGCCCTTGAGCCACACGACAGGAGTGTCTCCACGAGATGTTTCACACGTCAGCTCAGCCTCGTGTCCTTCCTCAATGGACAGCTTTCCCAATTCCTTGGAAAATTTAACAGGGAGCTCTGAAAAACAGAATGGTTGGATGTTATACTAATTCAATAAATCATAACATTAAACCTTGAAAATATGATTATGTCTAATCTTGATTTGAATCTTTCGTGACTGCAGGAATCCATACTCTTTGCTTTTTACGGTAAAGTCACGTAGGTATAAAATAAAATAAATCACGACGTTTCGTGTGCAACACAAGAGTCCGTCATCCCTACTGATGACGGACGCTTGTGTTCCACCCGAAACGTCGTGATTTATTTCATTTTATACCTACGTGACTTTACCGAAAGAACCAAAGAGTATGATTTTGTCTGGCTGCAGTAGACGTCTTACCCGTGACAGTCAAGGTGGCACTGGTTTTCTCAAAGCCCGAGTCACAGACGTACTTCCCGCTGTCCGTTAGCTCCACGCGACTGATCTTCAGCGTGGCTGCCTTTCCATCTCGCTTCACACGGAATCGCTTGTCGCTAGCATCCAGCAGCCGATCCTCGTGGTACCACTGCACTGGTGACCCGGCCTTGGAGGTCTCACACGAGAGGGTCACTTCACCCTCTGCCTGGACTTTGGCGTCAGACAGTGGTTTGGTGAAAACAACTCCAGCTTCTGAAAAAAGGTAACAGTAATTAACGTCTTGTTTTATCTGAATTTACTTACATTTACCACGACGTATTATAAAAGTTTACTTGTTTATACAGGTTTGATTGCTGTATAATGCACGTTTGTATCTGAAATGTGTGCGTTGTTGGAACAGACCTATGACACTGAGTTTGGCCTTGCTAGAGGCAGCTCTGGCCTTGAAGGTGACATCTCCACTGTCCTTCGCCGTCAGCTGCTTCATGGCAAGGGCGTGCTTCTGGCCCACGGAGCTCATCTCTATCCTGTTTCCTGCCTTCAGCTCCTTATTGTTCAACAGCCATCGGCAACCAGAGATGCCCTCGTGTGAAATCTCGCAATAAAATTCAGCGCTCTCCCCCTCTTTGGCTTCCACATTCTCGAGCGCTTTGATGATGGTCACTTTCAGCTCTGTAACACACAGACACATCGCATTACACTTGATACGCTGGCGGGATGTTAATTACCTTGCTTGGTAAGCAGGAGTCCGTGGGTTCGATCCTGACCTGAACGCCTGTAAATTTGGAGTTTGCATGTTCTCCCAGTGATTGCATGGATTTTTCTACGGTTCCTCCACTTTTTTCCCTCCACAATTATAAATAAGCATTTAGAGTATTTGGCTGCTATACATTTCCACGTGATAAGTCACTTAATTGATCTATCATTTATGGCCAGGTTGCTTCTGAAAAAAGAGCTATATATTCTTTGGGTCTTTCGGTAAAGTCACGTACAGTGAGGGAAAAAAGTATTTGATCCCCTGCTGATTTTGTACGTTTGCCCACTGACAAAGATATGATCAGTCTATAATTTTAATGGTAGGTTTATGTGAACAGTGAGAGACAGAATAACAACAACAAAAATCCAGAAAAACGTATGTCAAAAATGTTATAAATTGATTTGCATTTTAATGAGGGAAATAAGTATTTGACCTCCTCTCAATCAGAAAGATTTCTGGCTCCCAGGTGTCTTTTATACAAGTAACGAGCTGAGATTAAGAGCACACACTTAAAGGAAGTGATCCTAATCTCAGCTTGTTACCTGTATAAAAGACACCTGTCCACAGAAGCAATCAATCAGATTCCAAACTCTCCACCATGGCCAAGACCAAAGAGCTTTCCAAGGATGTCAGGGACAAGATTGTAGACCTACACAAGTCTTGAATGGGCTAGAAGACCATTGCCAAGCAGCTTGGTGAGAAGGTGATAACAGTTGGTCCGATTATTCGCAAATGGAAGAAACACAAAAGAACTGTCAATCTCCCTCAGCCTGGGGCTCCATGCAAGATCTCACCTCGTGGAGTTGCAATGATCATGAGAATGGTGAGGAATCAGGCCAGAACTACACGGGAGGATCTTGTCAATGATCTCAAGGCAGCTGGGACAATTGGTAACACACTACACCGTGAAGGACTGAAATCCTGCAGCGCCCGCAAAGTCCCCCTGCTCAAGAAAGCACATATACATGCCCGTCTGAAGTTTGCCAATGAACATCTGAATGATTCAGAGGACAACTGGGTGAAAGTGTTGTGGTCAGATGAGACCAAAATGGAGCTCTTTGGCATCAACTCAACTCGCCGTATTTGGAGGAGGAGGAATGCTGCCTATGACCCCAAGAACACCATCTCCACCGTCAAACATGGAGGTGGAAACATTATGCTTTGGGGGTGTTTTTCTGCTAAGGGAACAGGACAACTTCACCGCATCAACGGGACGATGGACGGGGCCATGTACCGTCAAATCTTGGGTGAAAAACTCCTTCCCACAGCCAGGGCATTGAAAATGGGTCGTGGATGGGTATTCCAACATGACAATGACCCAAAACACACGGCCAAGGCAACAAAGTAGTGGCTCAAGAAGAAGCACATTAAGGTCCTGGAGTGGCCTAGCCAGTCTCCAGACCTTAATCCCTTAGAAAATCTGTGGAGGGAGCTGAAGGTTTGAGTTGCCAAACGTCAACCTCGAAACCTTAATGACTTGGAGAAGATCTACAAAGAGGAGTGGGACAGAATCCCCCCTGAGATGTGTGCAAACCTGGTGGCCAACTACAAGAAACGTCTGACCTCTGTGATTGCCAACAAGGGTTTTGCCACCAAGTACTAAGTCATGTTTTGCAGAGGAGTTAAATACTGTCTTTTATACAGGGAACAAGCTGAGATTACGAGCACTCCCTTTAAGAGTGTGCTCCTAATCTCAGCTCGTTACCTGTTTAAAAGACACCTGGGAGCCAGAAATCTTTCTGATTGAGAGGGGGTCAAATACTTATTTCCCTCATTAAAATGCAAATCAATTTATAACATTTTTGACATGCGTTTTCCTGGATTTTGTTGTTGTTATTCTGTCTCTCACTGTTCAAATAAACCTACCATTAAAATTATAGACTGGTCATTTCTTTGTCAGTGGGCAAATGTACAAAATCAGCAGGGGATCAAATACTTTGTTCCCTCACTGTAGATAGGTTGAAAGAAAATAACGAAAAACTACGACGTTTTGATCACAACACAAGCGATCGTCATCGGGAGAACGATCGCTTGTGTTGTGATCAAAACTTTTTTTCTTATTTTCTTTCAACCTATCTACGTGACTTTACCGAAAGACCCAAAAAATATGAATTCCTGCAGTCACGAAAGCTTTAAGTCAAGGTTTAAGAGCTATATAGCTCAATGGGTCTTCCCTGGGTAAATAAAAATTGTTTCAATAGTTTATAGTTTACATAAATGTTGCACAAAACAGCAAAATATAATAAATATATATTTTTGTCATTTTAAACGATTATTACTTTTTGTTCAACACGTCAACAGATAAAAGTAAATAAACCCCCATGCTAAATTAACGAGGTTGACAAGAAATAAGTATTGGGAATCTTGAATTCAGAACCACCTCGGAAATATGCATCTGGACAAACTGTGCAGCGATCGTTAGCCAACACAAACAAACACCAACTCATGTAAAAAGAAACCCCCCCCCCAGTAAAACCTAAACAACCATCTTAATCGCTGAAGTAACCTTGCACGTGCAGAGAAGCGGAGGTGGTGTCATTGCCCACAACGCAGGAGTACTGTCCGCTGTCGGATGGCTGAAGGCCACGCACGAACAGGCCCAGGCTGCGGCCAGCCTGAAGCAGCTCGTGCTTGTCGCTGGGGTGCAGCGCGTGGGGGCCCTTCCTCCACGCGACGGCGCTTGGTGGCACGGGCCGGGACACCTCGCACTCCAGCGCCGCTTGGCCGCCCTCCTCCCCGCTCACCGCCTCCAGTCGTTTCGTGAACACCACCGGCTTCTCTGCGCACGCGGGAGAAGTATTCCAACGGCTCCGCTCTGATCCTGTGATTGGCCGCTCGCGGCCACGTTCTCACGACTTCAAAAAGGTGATTGATTTCCTATACAAATCACCACTGAGGCAGCACCCATCTCCTGTTTAATGCTCTGAGACAATAGTGGCAATTCCTCATTCCTATGGCATAAGCGATTCTATCCATAGGTTAACCTCTGTTCATTCCCCCACGAGGTAGTACTTATTTTACCGGCTCTGGGAGGGATGATGATAATAATAATTGACATTTGAAAGGTGCATTTCAGCCGTAGATCCCAATGCCCAATGATGGGCTGCATTTCACCGCCGAGTTTGAGCTAAAAGAAAAATCCCCATCAAGTCAATAAAGTGCGGGATTGATTAAGAACGTTGGCGACACTGACCTCGCACGTGCAATTGAGCGGTCTCCTTAACGTCTTCCGCCGTGAAGACGATGGTCCCGGTGTCGTCCACCGTGACGTTTCGCAGGACGAGCGTGTGGCTGCTGCCATCGCGCTTGATCTCGTTGAGCTCGCTGGACACGAGGCGCGAGGCGTTGAGGAACCAAGCGACGTCCTCCACGTCGGCGCGAGACAGCTCGCACACGAACACGGCCGTGCCTTCCTCCTCCACGGCCACGTCACGCATCTTGCCCAACACCCCGAGCTGACGCTCTGAAGGGGGCAACATTTGTCCGTCTTTATTAACCAGGGTAAACCCCCCTCAGGATTCGCATTTCACTTCTGAGGGCTTCCGACGCAAAAATGATTAGTTTCCACGTAAAAACTGCAAAATCGGTAGATATGACCACTAAATAATTTAAAAAGTCATTTAAAAAAGCCCTCCCCTCCTTTCCCTACCCCACCTGTGTTCAATAAAAGTAAAGAACGACCAACCCAGTGGTATTCCAGCGATAGGCTCTGTAAAGGCGCGTATAACCTATAACATTGGGCGGCATGTTTACCGTTGGATTGTACCATGCGTCGTAAAACGTGAATAAAAGAAAATGTGTATATTTAAGGAAACTAAATTAAATGACAGCGATTTCAAATAAAACATTAAAAGCAAATACAAATGACTTGACAAAGCTAATATCAAATGTTCTAAATAATAATAATAATAACATTTGCCGGCGACAGTAACAGGGGAATTCGTTTCGCAGCTTGTGACACCGCAGCCCTGTGATTTGTTGTGCTGCTCGCCACGGCCACCGAGCTGCATCTTGGTGACTTCTTTAATCAATGCCTCACGCGTGATATTTTAATCCACTGCTAACATTTCCATGTTTCATTGTTGTGCTACGCAACTGGGTGATTTACAGCATCAGCAAATTCTCCAATAATTAAATGTCTGCGAAGCAGACAATATGTTGCTATATTTTCTTGGACAACTCAACCACTTGACAGAAAATGTGGCTTTTGGGTTTAATGTCCAAAGGAGAATCCATGCATAATTCATGGTCCAGTACCACGTGGAGTGGTAATGCAGTGGATAACACTCTGTACTTCAAACCCGGTGACCTCAGTTAAATGCCTGGCCACGGCTAACATCAGTGGTGAGTGCTTTCTGCATTATGTTGAACTTCTTTCACACCATACGTAGCCAACCATGCTAATCGGAGAGGCGGAGGAAGGACAACAAATTAAACACAAAAGTAGTTTGACAGAAATTAGTTTTCAACCCTGAACGAGTCCTGAGCCCCGTACGTTACCGACCCACACCAACAAGCTTGGTGAAGTATGGTCAAACAACTCACATGACCTACAAACCATGAGAGATCCTCTATCTAGCAGTAGAATAGCAAAGGGCTGCAAATGATCCTGCTTGTTCGTACCGCAACGATGGAGGGACGGTGCTATGGGTGAAGGCTCACCGTTCACGCTGATGGTGGCGGTGCTGCGTGTCTCGCCGACACGGCACGTGTAGGTCCCCGCGTCCCTCCGGCGCACCTTGTGGATCGTCAGCAAGGCCGTCGGTCCCTCGTGCCTCATATCGTGCCTGTCCGACGCCTCGATCTGCTTGCTGCCAAAGTACCAGAAGGGCTGCCCCACCGGTCGACCAAACTCGCAGTGCAAGGTCACGGAGCGATTTGCCGTCACGGTCTTGTCCTCCAGCTCTCGCACCACTCCTACTGGCGTTTCTACACATCCCGGAGAGCAGAAACCCAAGGCCGCATCACACACACGCTCACGGCTAGGTGACTCATACCCGTATCTGTGCCACACGCCATCGTGGAAGGATTTTAAGCAACTTAATTTCAGCAGTAACATTTATTGTTAAATGTACTTTGTGACCAAAATTATGTTACAATAATGGTAATGCTGGTGTTGTACCCAATTCACGAAAACCAACCAGACAATAACTGCTAGTAATATCGGCTTGGTCAGGGCTGTAAGAAAGTCTGTCCGGACAAATAAGGAAACGTAATCCTATTGCCTTATGATATATTCAAATACATCTGCTGCGCGGTTCCCTCCTCATGTCGCCGGGGATGGGATAATGAGGGAATGCCTTCTCGTGCTGCTGTCAGTGGTGTAGTGTGGTTGGCGTGGCCCATGGCGTGAGGAATAAATTGAGGCCCCCTGTCCAATCCAAGGGCCCCGGTGCAGCTGCACGGCCTGCAGTCTCGATAGCTCCGCCACTGACTGCTGTGTGGAAATGTACGTTATGTTTGTAGAACTTCGCTCGCACCGTACGTAGCCAACTGTGCCAGCTCGAGGTACGGGGGGAAGGTCAACACACTAAACGCAATAAGTAGTTCTATAGACACGAGTTTTCAACTTATATTTAAAAGCAAATTGCTCCAGTGGCGTTCTAATACGGTGGCTTTCAGACAGCATACATTAATTTTTCGTCTCCCCCCTCCTCTTCTCCGAGCATGGATGGACTCGTCCTGCTAAACAAACCGTCAAATCGCTGTCCGTGGTGCTAACGTTTAAAAATAAATCAATAAATACAAACCGCCACTTCTTTCAAATGTTTCTTGCCGTTGGTTTTCACACCTGATGATGACTGTTTGTGTTACAGTCGAAACGTCGTGAGAATGTTATTGTTTTATATATATATTTTATTATTTTATTGTTTCCCTTCAACGTGACTTTACCGAAAGAACCAAGAATAGGAAGGAAGAGTGTTCCAGACGACCGCAGATATGGGTGAGACGCACAGACACGTGCGGCAGCTACCGTGCACAATCAGCTGGGCGCTGGTCTTAGCCTTTCCAACGGTGAAGCAGACGGTGCCGGCCATGTCGTGGCGCGTGGACGGCAGCGCGAGACGGTGTACCGCGCCATCCTGCTCCGTCTGGGCCCCGTGAGAGGCCAGGTTTGCCTCATCGCCGTTGAGGCTCCAGCGGGCGCCCTTCACCTCATCGGCGGAGAGCTCGCACTCGAACGTGGCGCCCTCCGGCTCCGTGACCTCGGCGTCGGACAGCGGCCGCACCACCTGTATCTCTTGCGCTGCAACGACCGGAGCAGAGAAAAAAAGATGTAGATGATGAAAAAAATACGCCGCCGCTAACAATGCATCACGTTCGCCAATTAGTTACAGTGAATGAATGTTAGCTGGCGCCGCGTGAAAACGGAGGATGCTTTTCCCCCGCAAAGTGGATTTTGTGTGTGAAATATTTGGTGTCGCAATCTGACAAGCACCACGGTGGAGAGGACGGGAAAGAATCCCCCACCTCGATCCACTCTCACACACAGCTGAGAACGCGGCTGCCTTCCGCGGGCGCTTGCGACCAATATTGTAATTCATGATTGATTATTGGGTCACGTCGTGGAAGTAAAATGTTTGTCATGCACCCTACTCCACCCGACACAGGTAATTGAAAAAGTGGTCACGTAAACAAGGGTGCCAATTTATTACGTGTGTGTTGGAGAGCAATCCATACGCAACATTTAGCAGTGTGGATTTCTTTATTCACTGTGTGATTCACGCTCCCACTGGGTCATTTCACATGTTATGACTAATCTTCTTGTTATTTTCTGCTCACATGTTTATTATTGTTGTACGTGCGGGCGAAGGGCAACAAACTAAAACACGAAAAAAACGCATTCATTTTAAAAAGGGCAGCACATCTTTCGAACGCCATGATTTCAACGAATGCGCAAAAAACACGAACAGCAAGGTAGAGAGCTCCGTGAAACCTTCGACTAAGAGGTTTGCGGAGGTGCGGTCGGCGCCGGCGTCACAGGTGTACACGCCCTCGTCGCTCCTGACGACGCTGACGATGAGCAGCTGGCGGTAGCAGCCCTGACTCAGGAGCTGCACGCGCGGCTCCTCGTCGCCCGTGGCCTCCGAGTCAGCCAGCTCGACGTCGTCGTGAAACCAGCGCACGGAGGCGCTGGGCCGCGACACCTGGCACTCCAGCAGCATCTTGTGCCTTTCCATCGCCACCTTGTCCCGGAGCGGCTTCACGAACCGCACGGGTTGCTCTGCGGTGCAGACGACGTTGCAGAGGGTCGGTTAGGCTAACCGTCAAGCCGCGTTCGTGGCTACGAATCGCGTGCGGGGTCTACAAAGGGTTACTGGCAGTGAAAGGCATTTTGATAAATTACCTATCATGAGGAGCTTGGCCCTGCAGGTGACGTTTTCTGCTATAAATGTGATCATTCCCGCGTCCTCCAGCTCCACGTTGCTCATTGTCAAAATATGCCTTCTCCCTGCAATGAGGAATTTAGAACCATTAGAGACAGGATGCCTTCTGGTCATACGACCATCCACGAAGAGAGAGCACCGTCGTTAAAAGTCCCATGAATATTCTTGGCGAGCGCCACTCGCCTTCCTGACGAATACGGACGCTGTAGCTGGAGCGGAGCTTCTTGTCGTTGAGAAGCCACTGCACGTCCACGTCGTCGTGCGACGTCTCGCACATGAACACCGCATTGTCGTTCTCGTTCACCAGCTGGTCCTCCAGGCCTCGCAGAATGCGAATCTCGCGCGCTGCAGAGGGCACAGCGAGAATTGGCAACGTGACCCGTCGGGGAAGTCTCGGGGGGTGGGGGACCTTTGGAAAATGGGAGCCCAAACCGTACACAACGCGACTACATCATCGCCTCATGCAGGGCCGCATTAGCCGAGCAGCCGCCGGGGCATCGACGAGGCGCCTTTAGCTCCCCACCGCGTCCCATGAGATACACGGTGGGGTCGGCACTCGCAGGCAGTACCGCTTCATCAGGGCCACACATCAACTCAGCACCTCTGTTATTTACTGACTCAGTCAGCACACCGAAGCCTCCTGCAAATAGCTACAAGCGGACCGCCACGCATTGTTGGTTTTACACAGTTAATAGGCCACCGTTGAAAATGAAAGCCCATTTATAGCCGGCAATCTATCGCTTCAGCAGCCTTCCTACTTCCTCCTAAATAATATTACTTAATCGCAGCCAGGGGGGGAGTGGTGGTGCAGTGGTTAGCGTGCTGCGCTATGAACCTGGCGACCTCCGGTCGATTCTTGGCCCTGGCTATCATGGGTGGTGAGTGATATCTGGACCGGTCCTAGAAACCCCCTCCTTTCACCAACCCACACTGAGAAAGCAGGGTGAATTACGGCCGACATGGCAAGGCGAGGTTTTCATCTAATAGCGTATTGATATAGGGCTGTAAATGATCGTGATTTTGTTGTTAAAATCACAGCACGTTGGAGAACGAGGTTGACAGACGTAATGTATATACAGCATGTTGAACTTCTTTCGCACCGTACGTAGACAACCATGCTGATCGGAGGTGAGTGACGCTGTGAGCGGGCGAGTGACGAGGAGGAGGATACTGTTGCCAACAAGGATGACCAGGCAGGTCAATGACACAGGCCTGTGTCCAGTGCAGGCACTGTTGCCTCGTGAGGTTACACAGTGGGCGTGCATCTGCCGTGAGCGACGTGCGGCATGCGTGCGTGTGTGGTCGTGCCGTACCGTGGACGTGCAGCTTGGCGGCTGTGCTGTTCTTCTCGGCCTGGCACACATAGAGGCCGCTGTCCTGGGGCTCACACCCGGTAAGGCGCACAGAGCGCCGCACGCCATGCCCCACCACGCGGATGCGCTGGTCCGATTTCAGCTCCGAGCCATCCTGAAGGTGGATTCACGTTAGTTGACCTTCCTGTAATCTTCATCATCATCATCATCATCACTTATTACCTCGTTATTCATACTGTGCCTCGCACGCGGCACTTCTCAAGGCGCTGACTCAAAGAGCTGTTTGAGATAATCACAAAAAAATATATCGGTGGGGAAGCCATGGCAGACCGTTTACAACGAGCAAAAACAATGCAATATGGACAACAATCACGGAAACATGAGAATAAACTGAACTATAAAGCTGAATTGTGCACAAAGCCCTGTCCACAGGTGAAGTCACTCTCATCAACACCAATTTACAGCAAACGAGTCGAAGGCAATGTAAGTGAAATTGATGACGAATCACCTTGAGCCACTTGACCTCCGCGTTGGCACGTGACACTTCGCATTCAAGCACCGTGCTGCCTTTGTGAGGGACGTGCGTCTCCTGCAGCTGCTTCGTGAAGGTCACCGGCGATTCTGTTGACATCGTTTCACATGAGCTCACTTCTGGCACAGCCGCAAGCAGCCACCGGTGGCGTAATTGTGCGCGTGACGTGGTGGCCTCGTGAGTTTGCGTATCTCTCGACCGCGAGGTGAACCTGTGCAGGCACGGCCCACGAGGGCACCGGCTGCTCGTGAGCAGCGATCCTGCCAGGGCTAATGGATGGCTCTTTGCGCGCATAGCCACGTGCCCTTGCAGGCTGCGGAAAAATGCTATAGAGGCGTACGCGCGCAAATTCTGCCACGGCTATGCCTAACACCCTCGCTGACGTAAATATCTGCACGCACTCTTGAATACGGCGCACCGATAAAACAAAAGCCTCGTTTCGGTGAATATCGGACCAGCTAAAGCGGTGCGCTTTGGGATCACGTTACCTGCGACTGTGAGCTGCGCTGACGTGCGCACCCCCTCAGCTTGGAACGCGATGATGCCGGCGTCGTCCTCTCGCACGCTCAGAATGGTCAGGCTGTGCGACTTCCCGAAGGTGGAAATCTGGCATCGGTTGTTTTGCCGAAAGCGGATGCCGTCCCTCGACCACTGGCCCTCCACACCCACGTGGGAGAGCTCCAACTTAAAGGTGGCGGCCTCCTTCTCCATCACGGTCACGGGCTCCAGGGGTTTCACCACACGGATTGCACGCGCTGCGGGGGTGGAATACGGCAGGGTCACGTGGGAATCTGTCGACAATATCTGATTGCACGATTATATATTCCAATGACTAAATATATACTAATTAATGGAGTTGGCCGTACATCACAAATATAGGCTCACAGAACTTTGGAAATTGTTGACGCCTGTTCCGGCTGCCTACCCGCGTGTGGATTCCCTCAGAAATAGCGCGTGTGAGAAGTTCCACAGCGTTTTGAAGCAATAGAACTATCACTGCACTCACGTTGTATGGTCACTTTCGCTTGGGTCTTCTCATGCAGCGTCTCGCATGAGTAAAGGCCTCGGTCGCCCATCTCTGCCGAGAGTATGGTCAGGGAGCGTCGGGAGCCGTCGGCCTCAAAGAGGAAGCGCTTGTTTGGCTGGATCACCAGGCCATTGCGCGTCCACTTCACTTCTGCAGAGGCCTTAGACACGTCCACCTCAAGCACGAACGTCTGCCGCTCCTCCACCTCGACCGGGCCTAGTTTCCGCACGAAATAAATCACAGCCTCTGCGGAAAGGCGCAAAAAAATAAACGTCGTGCATGGGAGATGGTGCAAAATAAATTACTGATCGTTCCAAGAGGGGTATAAGAGAATTAAGATGTTAAGACAATTAAAGCAAAATTCTTGATGGGGCTTAGTCTTCACTCTACAACTCTATAACACGTGAAACAGAGATGATCAAATGAAGGCAGGACACTGCCCCGTGACGTCGACACGTCATCTAACGGCCGGGCGGCTCAGCAGCAGAGCGAGTGGCTCATAATCAGAAGTCTGTAAGTTCAATTCTTGTTGGGGGTTGACTCCCTCTGTGGGATGGAACAACAGTAGATGTCCTTTGAAAAGACTTGCCCTTGCCATAACATTGTGGAATTTCCACCATTGGCTCAGGGCTGTAAATGGGAGATGAGCACCGCCTCCGTGCTCATTTGAACAGCAGGAGATTGCTTTGACTTGATCCAAGCCAGCAAGGGCATCCCCCTGGCTCACCTTGCACCTGCAGCTTGGCGGTAGAACGAATGCCCCCCGCCACCGCCTTGATTTCGCCGGTGTCGGAGAGCTTCACGTTGTGAAAGGTCAAGCAGTGGCAGGGAGGCTCCGCCGAGATGGAGATGCGGCTCGTGGGCTTGAGCTGCATGCCCTCGTGGTACCACTTAACCGCCACGTCACTCGGTGACACAGAGCACCTGAAGGTGACCTCCTCGCCCTCGGTTGCCACCATGCTAGCGATCCCCGTGTTGAACGACACCGTCACAGAGTCTGCCGAGATGGGGAGACGGGTGGAATCGCTTGTCACCTCATGATACCGCTTGCATCTCGTCAACTTCACGCACGGACACTTGATGATAAAGTTCAATCGTGCATCGTGTATGTATGTATGTTGAGTTTCTTCCACACCATACATAGCCAAATGTGCTAATTCGAGGTGCGGGGGTAGGACAACAAACTAAACACAAAAAGCAGTACTAAAGAAATTAGTTTTCAATTTAGATTTAAAAGTGCATAGCTACAGTGGCTTCCTAATATCAGAAGGAAGAGCATTCCAGACGGCCGCAGAAGCACAGCTAACCTTTCGAGGCAGCTGTCGATGCAACGATGGGTTCTGTTGAATGACAAACAATGGAAACCACCAGTAAATGACAGGTCCAATAAAACAACGGCTGACCCTTAGCGCCCGTAAGCACGTCTCGCCTGTGGTGTTGCAGCAGCGCGCGGGAGCCGACCTGTGACCTGCAGCCGGAACGCGGCGTCTCCGCCTTGCGAGCGGCACACGTAGGTGCCGGCGTGAGCGCCGCTCGCTTGCTGGACGACGAGCCGCTGCACCGAGCCGTCCTCCTCCAGCAGGAAACCTTTCCCGGACTCCAGCCGCTCTCCATCCCTCAGCCACTCGACAGCGCCGCCCGCGTCGAGCAGCTCGCAGCGCATCACGGCCTGCCCGCCGGTCTCCACGCGCACCTCCATCTGGGCACCCGGCTTTGCCATCGGCTTCGCTGCTGGGACTGCGCACCGCACGGTGGAACAGACCGAGGGTCAGCGGTCGCGCCGCACCGCCTCGGTTATAACGAGTGCCAAGTGACGCACACAACTCAAAGTGGCTGTGCCGATGGCGTTCGACGCGTGTTACGTCGTTACAACAAATATACTCTTTATCTTTTGATTAAAAAAGCCCCACTGCTTTGTCAAGTTGACAGGCACAGCTCGGACCGACCTATGTAGAACGCTCCAGGGACGTCGACGCAGAGGCTGCGCCCTGCCGCGTTGACGGAGGACAGCCGCAGTTGGTAGTCGCCCTCCTTGGAGAAGTTCTCCACGAGCAACTCGGGCCCGGGCACGCTGGCCGATGCGTGGCAGCGTGTCCACACGCTGCTGCCGAGGCGATTCGCCTCCACCACGTATCCCTCCACGGGGGCGCGGCTCCGCTCGGGAGGTGCGCACCAGCTCAGCAGCAGCCAGCTCTCCGACTGCGCCCTTGCAATGGCATCCGTCGGCGGAGCCGGCGGGGCGCATCGGATCGCTGAAAGTACAAAACACAGTGCCACGATCGCGCTGACCTCCGCGGATTCATCACCGGCCGTGGACTTACAGGGATCATTGCTCCGACGGGTAGAATCGGCACTCTTTGGTGAGGTACGCACCAGTGACAACGAGTTGCGAGGTTGTCCTGGAGCTCCCCGTAAGGAAGGTGATGGTGCTCGATTGCTGCTGCGTGAGCTCCGTGAGCCTCAGCGTGTGACTGTTCCCGGAGACCTCCACCTTCGCCCGGGGGCCAGGGCGGATCTCTACGTTGTTCTGGAGCCAGCGACCCTCCAGGCCCTCCTTGTTCAATTCCACGGTGAAGCAAGCGGTCTCCTTCTCTCGTACCTCCAGCCGACGTGGCAGCTTTTTCACAATCACCCCTGCCGCGAGCAGCACAGCGCAACATCGGAGAGTGGCCGCTTACGATCTGTCGAGGTTCGTGACCCGCAAACCCCCCCCCCACCCCCCACATGCGGCACTCCACATCAAGTATGCATCTTGCTATGGCTGTGGCTACTAGTCACGTGCTTAGTCCGGTCTACCAGCGACCGAGAAAATATCAAGTGAGAAATTAAGCCCTGTTTGTGACAAACCATGCCTAAGATTTTTTTTTAAAAACCCCAACAGTGACCCCAACAGCAAAGCCGAAACGCGTGCGGCGCGTGAAGTCTCGGGTGGCACCACCAGCACGTACCCTTGACGGTGACCTCAGCAACGGTGCGGCTGCCCTCGGACATCTCGCACACGTACACCGCCTCGTCGTCCGCCGTCACGTTGCGGATCGTCAGGCGGCGCATCGTCCCGTCCTCCTCCATCACGTACTTGTCCGGATGAGGCTCCAGCTCTGTCTCCTCCAGGTACCAGCTGGCCTTCACGCCGCGGTGTGGCACCTCGCACTCCAGCGTCACCGACCCCTTCTCTCGCACCTCCACATCGCGCAGCTTGGTCCTGAAGGGCACCCGTGGCTCTGCAGATGGGAAGATTCGCGACCGTCACCCTCCGGGTGCCACGTCACGCCGAGTACAACGACGGGTTCACTGAACAAAAACAAAATACTGGTTGGAAGGACACAGCTGAAAAAGAAAACAGAGTGTGAGTAGCCAGGCTACTGACTCAATGTAACTCACAACATATTAACGGTTAAATAAAGTAAGTGAGCTTGGATAGGACAAGTCGCTACGAGGGATGCTGATGATGATGATGGATGATGAATGGAATGGCAGCCAAATGAAAGAACATCCACAAGAGAATAACCACAATGTAGAAGGCATGACGAGAGCTCAGCTCGTGGGCTGCAATGACACGCACAATGGCAATACAGGAGCATGGCGGATCACGGCAACAGTGGATAGACCATGACCGTTGCGCATGATGATGATGCATGATATATATTCAATGATGCAGGCTGCGCCTTCCCCGGTAAGTACCGTGCACGATGAGCTGTACGGGGCTGTAGGTCTTGCCCACGACGTTGGTGGCCGTGCAGGTGTACAGGCCGTTGTCGCACTGCTTGGAGAAAAGCACTTTGAGGATAAAGTACCCGTCGTCGTCCTCGTAGGTCAGGTGACGGCGTCCCGGGACGATGATCTCACTGTCCTTCTTCCACACGATCTCTGGCTTCGGCTTGCCCGTCACGTAGCAGCTGAAGCGCGCGTGCTTCCCTTCGGTCACCTGCACGGAGCGTGCACGGAACAATCGGGCTCACAGGGTTCCGGGTAATGAGATGGGACAGCTAAACCAGTCGCTCAATAATGTCCCAGACAGGGCTGGGCTCAGCCACTGGATGGATTTGGATTTGCAGGTTGAGCTACTCCTGGAGTAAAGCCATCATATGCTGGAATTTCAACTTCGATATACCGGCAAATGAATTAAGTTAAGCCAACTCCAGGACTGGTGTACCAAGTAAATGTCCCTTGCCATGCAGTCGAAATGGTGGTCAAGACAATTTAGATGGGGGCTCGTAGATTTAAAAAAAAACTATTGCTAAGCACAGTCCCAAAGGCCCAGACCTCAATTGGAAAGCGCCAAACAGCACTATCAAAGTTGTTGTGCGGTGAGTAAAAAAAGAGATCGCGATTCGTTTCTTTCAGGTTATTTTGACAGGATAAATTGGCAAAATTATGCTTGCTTTTTAACATTCTGGGTTGCTAAAAAGCAAAAGAACTGACATTTGCACACGTGACAACTTGATTTAAATGGTTCTGTCGGGTGGTCGAGAGCTATAGATGAAAATAATGACATTACACCTCCACGATCACACGAAAAATAGCTAATTTTGAATCTTAATATTGGTCATGAAAGCCTACGTACAATATATAAAACTGAGCTTTGCAAAAAATGTATAATTAAGCCAAATGATACATACGTATAAAATATTAAATATGTATTTTTTCTCCAAATAATATATTAGACTTGTGAAATTTGTGTCATTTTATGAAATGAACATATTTCTATGTTGAACTCTTGCAGTGAGTAAAACACCACCTTCTCAGGGAGTAGCCGCAGAAGATGATATTACAGAACCACAGCAGGACTGAGCGCTTCAATATGTGCGTTTAGTCACAATAGAGGCACACATTTAAATACCCTGCAAAGGGTGTTTGTCACATGTCATTGAAGCCTTAAACCAAGATTTATATGATTATTATACGCATGGCGGTTAGCCTGCGCCCTTCAATTCATTTCACTAAACTAAGGTGGCTGCCTGGATTCAAACACAGAATTTGAGTAGTGTCAGCTTAGTGCTCGGAGCCAGCATCAGTTTTAGCCTCCTAAGCCATCGTGCCATTTTATACGGCCTCCTAAGCCTCCCAGCCGTAAATATATTTAGGCATTTTTGTGTGCACCACCGAAGCTTGTGATTCACACATTTAACTGGATGTCGATAAAAACGTGCCAAGCCGCCGCTCGCAGCGTCCCAGCGGTGCCTTGCGTACCGTGAAGGTTTTGGTGGTCTTGAGCAGATTCTCCGTGGAGTAGCGCGAGGAGCCCACCCTGGTGTCCGGTGTTTCCTCCACCAGGCGCACGGGAGAACGGGACGCACTCCTGCCCGTCTGCTGCCCGGCACGGCGAACACAAAGCAGACACACGCCGCTCTGGTCCGCAGTGCTGCGCTGTGCGGCCCGACTCGCTCAAAACCACTCGACGTGCCTGGGCAATTTAGGGTCAATGACTCACTCTACTTCTATCAATTCAGCGTACTTAAGAGGTTCAATAAACGGCATGTGCAAACGATTTGAACACGGATGTGCACAAACCAATCGTGCAGATTTCAATGTGCGCAAAATGCTTTGTGTACAAGGACCCACTCGTGCACTGTGAATGCCACTGCAGAGTGGTAGGTGCTTTGGGCATAATGACTCACACAGAGTTGCTCACTGACTTTTGAGCACTAGGAAGCACTCAACTGGCCTACACTTTTCAAAAATTAGGGCCTTTAGGCATTTTGCACTTTCTGTCTGCTCATAACGGAGGGTCACTATTATTGTCGTAAAGATTATTCAATATCCATCCAATTGTAGTCGGCCCAGACACAACTGGCTGCTGCTCAGGCACTCAACATATTTTGAAGTCCTCACTGACAGTGCTTGGATAGCAGTGGTGGATGGGTTGACGTGGAGGGCGTGGTAACTCCGTGCTGCCATGTATCCTGGTGAGTGAGTCCAGTACAACGCCTTGCTGCTGGCAGGGACTGAGCCTTTCTGAAAACCGGCCACGTTGATCGAAGAGTTGCCCAAAACTTGGTAGACACAAAACCAGAGGAACGTGGACTATTTACAAATATGCGAATGGTTTTGTGTTAGCCACTGAGGTCGTCACGGGTGCTTTCTTTTTATTCCTTGTTGCTCTATTCATCCTGCACCGTTCACGTTCCACTGTAAACGTGCACCGATGCCTACTATATTGAGGGGCAATATTGGCAAATAAAATAAATAAATATTGATTGATTTACGTTTTACTCGGCTTCCAAACAGTTGCAAAGCATTACATCACTCCCATGCACTTGAGTGATTTGTATCATGGACGAGCAATCTGGGGGCACACACTCACTCCATCCACACACTGCTAGGGACAATCCAGCTGCCTCTTGGCACCACGGCGTGGGAGCGAAGATGAATGTGGCCCCACTTACCCGGTAGCTGGAGGTGTGGGCAGGCGACAGGTAGTCCTTGCCGGGGCGGCTGGGGGAGGGGGCGCGGGGGGCCCGGGACTCCTGCCGGTAAATGGGCGACTTGCTTCTTGCACGCTGGGGTTCAACACACGGGGTTCAACACATGGGGGTTCAACACACGGGGGTTCAACACACGTGGGGGTTCATCACACGGGGGTTCAACACACGGGGTTCAACACACGGGGTTCAACACACGGGGGTTCAACACACGGGGTTCAACACACGGGGTTCAACACACGGGGGTTCAACACACGGGGGTTCAACACACGGGGGTTCAACACACGGGGTTCAACACACGGGGTTCAACACACGGGGGTTCAACACACGGGGGTTCAACACACGGGGGTTCGACACACGGGGATTCAACACACGGGGGTTCAACACACGGGGTTCAACACACGGGGGTTCAACACACGGGGGTTCAACACACGGGGGTTCAACACACGGGGTTCAACACACGGGGGGGGGGGGTTCAACACACGGGGTTCAACACACGGGGGATTCAACACACGGGGATTCAACACACGGGGTTCAACACACGGGGGTTCATCACACGGGGGTTCAACACACGGGGATTCAACACACGGGGTTCAACACACGGGGTTCAACACACGGGGGGGGGGGGTTCAACACACGGGGTTCAACACACGGGATTCAACACACGGGGGTTCAACACACGGGGTTCAACACACGGGGGATTCAACACACGGGGGTTCAACACACGGGGGTTCAACACACGGGGGTTCAACACACGGGGGTTTCAACACACGGGGGTTCAACACACGGGGGATTCAACACACGGGGGATTCAACACACGGGGGATTCAACACACGGGGATTCAACACACGGGTATTCAACACACGGGGATTCAACACACGGGATTCAACACGCGGGGGTTCATCACACGGGGGTTCAACACACACGTGGGGGTTCAACACACGGGATTCAACACACGGGGATTCAACACACGGGATTCAACACGCGGGGGTTCATCACACGGGGGTTCAACACACACGTGGGGGTTCAACACACGGGATTCAACACACGGGGGTTCAACACACGGGGTTTCAACACACGGGGGGGGGGGGGGGTTCAACACACGTGGGGGTTCAATACACACGTGGGTTCAATACACGTGGGGGTTCAACACACACGTGGGAGTTCATCACACGTGGGGGTTCAACACACACGTGGGGGTTCAACACACGGGTTTTGCAGTCAGATTGTTGTCGCGTCACACTGCCCTCCTTGGCCTCCTCATCCTCACGAGACAATTGCCAATGCATTGAGATAATTTATATTTCATGGTTATATTGTTTCCTGTTCAAAGTATAGTGTTATGCTATACATGTATAAACTATGGGACCTTTTTTACCAGTATCAAAAATTATGAAAAATAAGAATAGGTTTCATCTTTTCTGTCAATAAAACACGTGTTCTTAAAATGTTGATTTAAAGCTTTCGTGACTGCAGGGATTCATATTCTTGGTTCTTTCGGTAAAGTCACCACGTAGAAGGGAAACAATAAAATAATAAAAATATAAAACAATAAAATTCTCACGACGTTTCGATTGCAACACAAGCAATCGTCATCAGGTGTGAAAACCACAGCAATATATTTTTGAAAAAAGTGGCGTTTTTTTTTACGTTAGCACCACGGAGAGCGATTTGGCTGTTATTCAGATGGACGAGTCCATCTATGTTCGGAAAAGAGGAAGGGGGAGACGAAAATAATGGATGCGTGTTCTTTAGTCTAACACTGGTGAAACAAGGCCATAAAGAAGGCGCTGTCTCTGGTGTAGTCAGATGAGTTTCACAGACAATGCATGTTTGTTGACGTGTTCTGCCACACCTATATGCGTGGTTAAATGCAGACTTGTTGCCTGCAAAATGTATCTATTTGGCGTTTGAGCATCTTAACACCACTTGTTGTATTGTCGAAAGATAAAACCTATTATTTTTTTCCCCCCCATCATGTATAAACTGTACTGCTATTGTAAGGAGTTGTTATTCGGGCCACGAATTAGAATTGTGCACAATAATATTGACATAAAATTCTGGGATTGTGCAGGAAATTTGTAAATTACTGGAGACCTTCTTTAAACAATGATACATCCTCACATGGTACTGCACATGTATGGAACCCCTATATGAACAGTGCTTGGATCTCATCTCATTCCGAATGAGCCCCAATTAAATGTATAGGCTGACACAGTTTGGTTGTCTGCAGTGGAGGCTCGGTGACACTGGTGACAAGGATAACACCGCCGTGGCCCCCCGTAGGCCGTGGCTCCTCCCGTGCCTACCATTGTGGCCGCGTCGGTGGGAGACAACTGCTCTCGGCCGTAGCGGCTGGGCGATCGCGAGTAGGACCTGGTGGAGGTCTCCTCCTCCTCCTGCGGACGCACGGGCGAGTGCGAGTAGCTCCGGTACGACGTGTAGGGACTCAGCCGAGATGTCAACGCGTTGCTCGAATATTGGTGATAGTCGAACCTCTTGCGGTGCATGTACGACAGTGCCGGTGTGTCCTCCTCCTTCTTGCCGTAAGCCGTCGACGGGGGCTTTGACCACAAAATCTGCTCCGACGGAACTCCCAGGATGGCGGACGCATTGACCTCCCCGGCGCTGTTCTTCACCTTGCAGCTGTAGGTGCCCATGTCGCTGGGGCGGACGCTGTTGATCTTCAGCGTGTGCATGCCGTCTCTGCCCTCGGTAAGGAAGCGGTAGCTGTCCACAAAGTTGTCGACGTTCTTGCCGTCCCGCTGCCAGGTGACGGTGGGCGCCGGGCGCCCGCTCACCATGCAGGTGAACGTGGCGCTGTACCCCTGGGAGACTTTCTGTGAGGTCGGCCTCATGATGAACGCGGGAGGCTCATGGGGCAGGAGTGGAGCGCTCGATTCCTGCCTGTAGCCCGGCGTGTACTCCACCACCAGCGTGACGGCCGCGTATGCCTCGCCCACGTAGTTGCGGGCCCTGCAGATGTACTGGCCGCTGTCGGACAGCATGAGGTCTCGCACCGTCATGCGGTATGTGTTGCCCTCCTCCACAATCTTGTAGCGGCCTCCCGAGCGGATCTGCTTGCTGTCCTTTTCCCAGGTGACGGTGGGGCTCGGGGAGCTTACGATCTGGCAGCTGAGAGTGGCATCCTGGCCCTGCGGCACCGTGCATGCCTTCGGTCGGGAGAGGAAGCGCGGTGCGCCCCCAAACAGTTCCGCTCTCCTACTCATCTTCACAGATTTCTCTCGTCCTGAAAACAAAACACAACAGCACGGTGCTCATCTCAATCACTGATCCCAGGATACTGGTGGCAAATCCATGTTTCCATGGCTGGGTCTAGGTCTGTCAAAAGCAAGGTTACTGTTGCACCTCACCAGGTGATGCTAATTTTACCCACTCCAGAGGGATGGTGGACTTAATCGGAATGCTTCAGAAGGTTTTCCACAAATGTACGTTCGTTTTCAGGATCTGACTGTGTGCAGTCTTTTGGATATCAATAACACATCATTGTGCGAGGTTATTGCCTTTCGTCTCTGTCACACAGTGGAGGCGAGCTCAGGGACATGGCAAAATTTACGCATCAATATTATATTTATTTCGAATACCAACATATGGGACTTAGATTAGGGTTTGCACAGTGCTTTGTTTGTGAGGACTTCATGTGAAATGGACGCGCTGGGTCAGGACGCAGCTCTACGTGGCATTGGAGTCCAGTGAGCAATGCACGGGTCCGACCAGCACATGCTTCATTAATTTGTGTAAACCACCGTATGCCCCGGCTGACATCACTCGCAATTGGTGTACAAAGCGCCGCGCAGATTCATCGTGAGGCACGGGCGGATATTTCTGGAGGAAATTGTTGGAGCGGAGTGAGCTGCGACCCTCGACACCTATAACGGGGGCAGGGCGGCTGGATCCGCGCCCCGGATTTAGAGGCGGGCGGCCGGGGAGGGCGGCCGGGGAGGGCAGCCGGGGAGGGCAGCTGTCGGCACTGCTCACGGGCCCGGCCGTCAGCGTGATCTATTCGCGGCCCAGGGCTCGGGTTTCGCGCAGCCTACACGCGCCACCCATTCCCATCCCTGCTGGCTGTGCGGGATCATGCGCCCTGCGCATTATCACCGCACGGTGAGCACGTCGCCAGGTCTCTATCTCCGCAGGCACCTCGCAAAGAATTGTGCTCAAAAGCCATCGTCTCTGGAGTCACTCTAAAAAGTTGGTTTGCCTCTTTGAAATTGAATAAACTCGTACTATTATGCATGCTGCATTCTGGGGCTGCGTGTCCTCACGCAGCCTCCGGATCTCTCCCAAAGGACCAAACTGCCGCGAGGTGATGGATGACGCTTCGCTGGATACGAGTCGGGCTCGTGTTCATCACGCCACGTCCCTGAAGCCGCATATTTGCGGCGCCAGGCAATGATTGCCGTGGCCGCGCGCCTGAGCTGCAGTGCGCACGGACGAGTGAAGGGTTCTTGAAGGACATGGGCCTCGTGGGTGGCACGGCCAGACGCGGCCTCCGCGGCCAACTCGGGGGTTCACATGGCAGAGGTTTTCCCCCTCACATATCAAGGCATCAATTGGACGCTCGGGGAAACGTGCAATTTGTTGTGAAGTTAAATGCAACTTTATAACCAAATTCTGGCATTGCACCTGAGCGAAAAAACTGAACGTAAGACAATTTACGTGTTGTAAAATGCGTTGAGCAACATGCAGAGTTTGTAACGTGTCTCTGTTCTCAGCGGGGCACAGACTGGGTGGGCCACGCGCACCTGCAACTCCACAAGCGGAGAGCGGCAGCAGCTCGATACGAGACCCTGTCACCGAGCGAGGCTGGTGCGTGTGAACGGCACGAGCGAGGGCCGAGGTGGTAAGGGGGGGGGGGGTGGCATTGCAAAACATCACCGCACGATGCTCCGAGTGCGCTTACCGTAGGACAGTTGACCCGTTCGCGCGCGCGTCCTTCACGCCTGTCCGCCTTCTCCTGTCCGCCTTCTCCTGTTCTTCACGCGCGGGGCTCCAAGCGCAGCAGCGGCAACCCTCCAGACGCGCGCCGCTCCGACGTTGAGAACCACAACGCGCGGACTTTTGCAGAACCCGACTGGAACCGCTACATGCCTGCGATGGGAGACGGCGGAAGAGTTCGGGACACCCTGCGCCCGTGCTCCCGCCTGCTGCCCCGGGCTGTGATTGCTGCGGAGTGCGGGTCGCGGGCCCGCGTCCCGGACAGATTTAGCACAGCGCCTGAGCGGGACGCGGTCGTGGCGGCCCCCGGGGCAGGAGACCCCCGTGGTCGCCCCCCTCCTTCCCTCACTCCTCCCTACCCCCACAGCCCCAGGCCCCTTCAGCACCCCCGACGGCTCCGTTGCTCCTATTATTAGGCGAGGGAGTTACTCTGCTTGGCCAGAGTCATCGCCTGGTGAAGGTGGAGAGGTGCAGTGACGGTGGCGATGGTGATGAGAGTGTGATGACAATGTGTTTTTTTTTTATTTACGAGGTAAGGCCCACTGAGTTCTATATTATTATTTTTCAGAAGCGGCCTGGCCACAAACGATAGCTCAACGAAAGTGGCTTATCATCACTTGGAAATGTATAGCAGTCAGACACTCTAAACGCTCGTTTCTAAATGTGAAGGTGGAAACCGGAGGACCCGGAGAAAAATCCACGCGACCACGGGGAGAGAGAGGGAGACACGCAAACTCCAAAGATACAGCAGCAGGCGTCAGGGTCGGGATCGAACCCACGACCTCCTGTGTACCAGACGAGGTAGTGAACATCTCCTAGCCACCGTGGCGCCCCGACGGGGATGTTATCAGGGTGTCAAGGTGCGATGAGGGGAGTGATGTTTGAGGGTGGTGATGGTATGGGTGAGGTGCCATTGTGGTGCTGTGCGCGGCGAGGATGGTAAGGACGGTGATGGGACGAGGTTGTGAGGTGCAGTGAAAGCGGTGGCGGCCACCATGGTGATGATAGCGGGGAAGATGGGGGTGGTGTTGACGGCGAGGGTCGTGGTGGTGAGGGTGGTGAGGACGAGTGGGGGTGGTAAGAGTACTCGCGTGGTGGGGATATTGAGTGGTGGAGTGGGGCGGAGTGGTGGTGGTGGTGGACGCGTTGGTGATGATGCGAGTCAGCGCGATTCGCGGTGTGCGCTTGACGGAACATGACAGGGCAGTTCCCAGGGGTCGTCCGTGACGCCCGCTTACATTTCGGGTTTGCTGCGCGATTCCCGAAGACGCATTCCTACGATTCCCACGCGGCGATACACGATGCAGAATAGTTTGCCAAAACTGTAGGCGTTGATGTGATGTATATGGGAAAGACTTCTCAAACCCCGCGGCTCCGCGCGCGCCACTGCACACGCGACCAAGGGTTTTTTTTCCGCAACGAGGCGCGTGCAGGAGACGGCTCCTGCACAGCAACCTCGCACGGGATGAGCCAGACGCCTCTACAATGGCCGATGAATGGTGGACAGACATCTCGTCAACTTGCACGCAGCACAGGCGACGCATGGATGGACAATGACCCCCCCTCCTCCACCCCAAAGCGGCCAGAAGTGACCTCGCCGCTCCCCGACCACTGCTTGGACCAACGTCTCCTTGGAGCCTCACGCCCCATTTGTGCGCAGTCTGTTCGGGGTCGAGTCGGCACACGGGTGCGTCCATCTTCACGGCTGACGAGCGGCGGTGGATGGAGGAGTTCCGAGTCCCGGCTGCAGGGATCCCCACGGATGCTCCGGCACTTCAGCGACGATGCGGCCAAAATGACAAATACCTCATGTTGCAGTCGGGCCTATACCGCGCATCCTCGATGCCAGTTTGGAAGCGTTTTTTTTTTTAGTTCTTTAAAGTTGAGCTCAGGCACTTCCATTTTAGAGGTCTCTTGACTTTATGGCTGCGCAAACCGCGAGTCCAGCCACATCAATTTAAGATCGGACTCTATCAATGTAAACATTTTGGGTGCTTTTAATAAAATCCTCAAACGCGTGTCGGACGAGCTGGCACACACCCCACGTAGGCCTAGGCATCTTGAGGTTTTTTTGCTTGTTAATAATCTTCCAGAGCTGAAGGATGGCGAAGATCCCCGACATTTTTGTGTATATGGCACTGCAGGTGTGACGATCCACGCAGCCGACAGTGGTGTAGAAACATCGACTTTTATTACAAAAAAACAGCCCAATTAAACTACAAAGCACCACTCCACGCGCGCACCGCAACGTGGCAACGCCAATGAAGCGACTGATGAGGTCATCGAAAAGATGTACAGCACAGGAGCATGATCGTAATTAAGACAAACAGTAGCACGCACCTGCAATAAATCTGCTTATCTTGAAAACCAGAATATCCAGTATCAGAGACTTCAAGTACATTATCGGTAAACGGCGCATGGATCCCTGGAATGTGGCCCAAGTCCCATTCCAATATAACTGGAGCTGGCACGACAGATTATAGGAGTAACTATAGCACGCAACTCACACGTCTTGCCGAGTGTGCCAATGTTTCAAAATATTGATTTGACGATTATACAGGGGCACATTTCCGAATTGGAAATTACTGAATTCATAATTGTGGGTAGACGTGAATGATGTAGCCGGTTACATTAAACACTTCACGTGTAGCACTTTCCCCTAAGTTTGCAGTGTATAGCTACGTGTACATTCACAACCCTTGGTCAATCCACTGCTGGACGAGGGCCTCCCCGTGCCATGTGGGTCGTGATGGTTATTTGACCATACTTACCACGCAGGTCTCAGTGTGGGTTGAAGGTGGGGAGCATGGATGTGTGAGCCTAGAACTACAGTACAACAATGGCATTCGTTATCTGCCCCTCTGCTGCCCACTGCACAGCCATGCTCCCTACACAAATATCAGTGTAGAAAAATGTTCACGTGAAGTGTTTACACAAACTGGCTCGGAGCACTGAAGTACCGCAGCCCAAAACAGCTACGTTAATAAGCAACTAACGGATTCCCAAAATAAATGTTTTTAAGACAAATGTAAATTAAAAAAGTCAAAATCCGTACACATTCCTAATTTTGAAAATGCAAAACAAAGGCACGCGAGGCTCATTTTTAAAGCAGAGGGAGCACCGTGACCTCGGCGAAGTGCCCCGCTCTCCCCCTTGTATGCGGTGGGGGGGGGGCACATCAAAACAAACCGACGTCATCAGGTGTGGCCCAGGACATTCTGCTGCGAGCGTGAAAGCCGTAGGGGGCAACATCGCGCTTGATACGCCGCCGTGGCTTCTCGCTGTGGCATCTGAGTGCAAACGCCATCTGGCTCCATCGGCGACAGGGCGGCGGCTGGGGGGATGATTTGACGCTCGGCCTTGGCACGGAGAACAAACTTTAACATCGACACCACCAACGCGTGCATTGAGAGCTTGTTCATATGGTGCTTCAAACATATCCTCTGGGGTCTCCAGGACACGTTCGTAATTTGCGTGGCAGTGACTTCAACTGCGGTCGATAAAAAAAGTGTAAACTTCTAGTTTAATACGTAAGAAAATATGTTTACAGTAATCAGCTTCGACTAGGTGTTCAAATGGCAGCATTTTTACTTTCAGATGTAAAGATAACGTTTCAAGTTAAAACAATCAAAACAGCAGCGCATTACGACTAAGTAAATGGAATGTATTAAAAACATAATGGCTAATAATGCCAAAAAAATCAACTAGCATACAAAACCCAAGGCACGTTAGGGGTGAGACCAAATTAAAATGCATCAAGGCATGGTTTACATTTCCTCTCATATGGGAAAAAAACCCTACAGAGGAATTAGAGGAAGCACTAGGCTACATTCTCTGTTGAAATAAGGAATATTCAGAAGGAGTAAGTCAATGACAAGTTCTAACAAAATAGAAAAACTGCAATTACCAAATCCCTCACATTGCTATGCCCTTGCTCAACAAAACCTGTAACACTTTCAGCAACTTGCATGGATCACCGTTTGTTTTCCCACCTTTCCAGTACACGTGGCTATGGCTGTAACCTGTGGTTGTCAGCTCCACTACCCTTGACTCTTCATTCCCAGCTTCTCAGTCCACTAAACTAACTGCTGGTGCAAGTGGCCTTGAATTTCGTACCGAAGGCAATAAGGTTCCACAGCCAAAATCACGTGCAACCATGATACATGGTGGTGGGCACCCAAGTAGTTTACTTATCAAAATACATGTAAAAGAATCCTCTTTAAAAAAATGACAGCGTTAGGACAAAATCACAGGTACTGAGGCAAAGGCAGCGATGTGAATACATATCGGTCGAAAGGCACTTCTCTGTCTGAGGGGGTGGTGCCACCAACCACGTGGTAGTGGTGGTGGTGGCTCAACGGCACCGGGCGGTCACTTCAGGAGCTCCTGTGCGGCGTTGGCGAGGTTCTGCTCCACCGTGACAATGTCGGTGTCGGGCGTGCTCACACTGCAGGACGCATGAGCTGTGGCCTGCGGGAGCTGAAGGGGCCCCCGGGGCCTAAGGGCCAGCTCCAGTTGCATCTGAAGGTTGCGCAGGTTATCATGGAGCCGCCCAAAATCCTGCGGTGACATTGCGCTGGGATCCACCAAAGCTTGCCTCTGCGACAGCTTACCATCTGTTACCCTGAAAGAGTCGAAATTCAAGAAGGTTATTATAACACGTAGGCTTTCGCGACCAATATTATTCATAATAAAGGTTTTTGGGTTAGATCGCGTTTATTTATAAATGTGTCGTAACCCTCCACCACCCGACACGGCCAATCAGCAAAAAAAAGTGTCACGTTGACAAAAGACAAATAATTCACTACTTTAGCCCACTGGTGTGTTGAAGAGTGAATCCACATTTACAGTTTGAGTACGACTTTTCGCTGGTAAATACATCCAGCATCATTGGGCAATTGTCAACGTGACACTTTTTTTTGCTGATTGGCCGTGTCGGGTGGTGGAGGGTTACGACACATTTATAAATAAACGCGATCTAACCCAAAAACCTTTATTATGAAAGGTTATTATAGTTTAAATAAAATTGAACAAATTATAGTTGATACTGTACGTGTACAGTGCGGTATGCAGAGTGCTCGTGAAATCCACCTGGTGTAGTTTCCGTCTGAGGAGGGCTTTATGGCCGTCAGGTAGCCTGGGGGCGCTGACGGCACGCGCACTCCGTTGCTCTCCCGATAACCACCGTTAGTCATCGTTATCTTCGATGTCACTTTCTTTGCGCACTTGCTCGCTGACCTACAAAATATATAAG